TGAAGCACTGGACGCGGAGGAGAATTGTCAACGATGCTGGTATAAAACCCCCCCCCCCCCCCAAAATCCTCCTTTGACTTGCGTGATAAGACATACTCATCATCTCCTACCTTGCCACTTATTTTTTTTTCTTGTCCTAACAAAATTATAGCTTTCGGAGGTACCCTGAGTTCATATACTTGGATATGTCTTATTATCGCGTTTTTGCAGCTGAGGAACCCTGCTGTTTTACCAGCGCTGCATCAACTGCCACATAAGACTACCAAGCCAGATGGGGCTGTCAGTGACTTTGCTGATAACCTCAAGAAACTCAAGGGCTTTGGCGGCAAGAACAAGTCAAGTGAAGCAGAACTTCTCTTCCAGTTTTTTCGATTCTATGCGCATGAATTCGATTACGACAAGCACGTACTTTCCGTACGGCAGGGCAAGCTGATCACCAAGCAAGAGAAGAAATGGCACTATGCTATGAATAACCAGCTTTGCGTAGAAGAGCCGTTCAACACGTCTCGCAACCTCGGCAATACGGCAGATGAATACTCGTTTCGCGGCCTCCACATGGAGCTTCGAAGAGCGTTTGACCTCATTTCCAACGCAAAGTTGGAAGAGGCATGCGAGCAGTACGTCTACCCGAAGGAGGAAGAGAGAGTTTGGTCCCGGCCAGCCACGCAGCCTCGACCGGCACTGCTGCGAAGTTCTTCGCAAACTCATCCTTCTGGGTCTGGGCGAGGTGGTCGTGGTGGCCATCGCGGCGGCCGACATAGTAACAACTATCACCGCACCGGCGGGTCAAATATCAGGAGAGCATCATCAACTACGCCCACCTACGACCCCAACATGTTTGTCCAGCCTGTCAACATGCAGCAGGATATGACATGGTTTGCGGCTGCTGCTGCCGCTGCCGCTGGCAATCAGTACCCCTTCCCATTTGCTCAGCAGGACCTGGTGCAGATGGCCTACCAGGAGAGCATGCGGCAGCAGCTGCACCATCTCTATGCGCAGCAGCAGTCGCCGGCGTTTATGGCCCACCAAACCATGGGTCAGCAGCGGATGTCTCCCAACGGCGCGACGTCTGGCCAGCAGCCCCCTACCGATCGATCTCGAACAAACTCGTTTGATACTGCTCCAATCGGCGCCACGTTACGGCCCGACCTATATGCCCTCTATGGCATGGGTATCAATCAACAGTTCTACGCGCAAGCGACGGGCTATGGAACCTATCCCTCTTCGCCGGTAACGTCCAACGGCATCGGGGCAGAGTTTCGCCGTCCTTTGCAGAGATCAACGGTCACGTCGGATAATGGCATTTCAGCTTCGTCCAGCTCATTGAGGTCACAGTCTCAGCCCGCCTCGCGATCACCATCTACGGCACATGGCCGGGCTGCTTACAACCCTGGAATCCCTTCAAGCGTGCCGGGCTACGCTCCAAGACAACAGATGCATAGTGTCATCCCCAACTTCATGTCCGACGATGCGGATCTGGATGCCAGATCGAAAGCCTCAGATTCGCCACAGTCCGAAACGGACAACAGGTCGAACAATGGACTCTTGGGGGCACGGGGTTCAAGTCCCAGCCAACAGTCGCTGTTACCCCATAGCCATAGTCCCACGAAGAACGGCATTGCATTTGGGGATGTTGCAAATCAGTCCTCCAGTCCAAGGAGGCGTCGACTGTCGACAGATCAGCTGCCCCAAACCATATTGGACAGGAGGATGAGGAGGACTTCTCGGTCACCTTCGCCCCTCGATCATTCTCGGACGATTCCTTCGTCGCCTCTTGCCTCCGCCCCGTTCCCTGGGGTTAGCCAGGCACAGAACAAGAATGTTGCGGCGAGACCAGTGGTTGTAAATGGATCGGGCCTGAAGAGCAGTATGCTTGCCGCGTCAAATCAGGGACAAAATGACTCCTTGGCAGCCGAGGAGTGTGCCATGCCAAAGATTGATAATGCTCTAAACATCAGTACGGTATCATCAGCTACTGATGCGAGTGCCGCAGATGCGCAAAGCAGCCAGCCATCGCTCGCACCAGCCCCTTTTCTGCCCACGCCGGCCATGGATCGCCCCCCTGTTATTGTTAACGGCTCTAACAGCAAGCCAGCTATGGCCCCTGCCGAGGATGCTTCGTTCAGAGATAGGATTGCCATGATGGGCTCGTATCCGACAGCCCCATACGGGATGCCGCAAGATGTTTTACAGGCCAATGGCATGACGAGACTTCCGCCCTCAACAAAACAGCGCCTCATGTCTAGACAAGCCCAGAACGGCGTGATTGCTCCTCTGGATCTTGCCATTGGTGACCACCGCAAGGGCATGGTTCCTGAGGCAGCCCACCTTTCTCCTGTATACGAGATGCAGACGTCATCTCCGACCGCTACGCGGAAGCCAGATGTGCCTGCGGTCAGCACCGGCAAGACTATCCACGAAAAGGTGGACGCCAAAGCAGACATCAAAGTAACCCACGAGGAGACGGCCAAGCCCACGACAAAGGCTGACGACAAGGTTCAACCGGCTCGAGATAATCAGAAGTCATCGAAGGCGCAAAAGTCGACAGCCCAGAGCAATCAGCGCAACAACACTCCACGCGAAAATGGCCACGTGAGAAGTGCCAAGAGCGATGGCGATGGCGGCTGGCAAAAAGCTGGTAAAGGCAAAAAGAAGGGCTCGAGTGGGCTTGCGCAAGCCGCGCACGCGGAGCAGCCACCAAAAAGCGACTCGGAGCGGAAAGGAGGCTGAACACATGTATGTACGCCACATCAACGACAGCGACGACGATGACGGTTTTCTATCTGGTTTTCCTTCTCCATCTTTCCATTAAAAAAAATACAAGAAAGGGATTGCTTCAATGAATTTTACATCTACATAAGGCGGCAAAAAATTGAAAGGCGAACAAAAAAATGATACCACAGACACGCGGAGCTCGCCAGTTCTATTCATCAAATATGAAAAAGATGATTACAGTGGCGACATTGGATAGGGGAAGCATCAGTGACTGCGACAAACCAGGGTCTCATACCTATCTTGGGAGGAAGGGCGGAAACGTTTTGCTGTACGAGTGACTAAAGCTGCGGTATTCTCAACGAAGCGGCTACGAGAGGCCTTGGATCTGCCTATGTATGAAATTGATTGCATCGCCGGGAGACTGAGCGTGTTGCATGCATGTACGAACGGCTGATGGATGAAGCGAAAACAAAAAAAAAAAAAATGATGACCAAAGACAGACAAACAGAAGAAGTCGCATAGAGAGAGGGAGAATTACAACGCAACGTCCATGAATGAAATATCACAGTACAGCAAAGAATCCAAGATGAGTTTTGACGGAAAGGACACACTGGAATGGTACCACACGGAGAGACAGAGGAATTGATACATATACATCATGGCTTAGGGAGGGCGGAAATGGCGGCGTTTGCATCAATTGAAAGCTCGATAATATTTGCGTCAATGTTTCTTTCCCTTCTTATTGTTGGTTTTTATTTCCTTCCTGTCTTGCTTTATTTCGTTGTCTGCAGCAAAATGGAAGCACAAACACAAGCACAAGCACAAGCACACAAACCCAGCGGCATTAGATGGAAATGTTACACAAAAAGCATTTAAGAAAGATTACGGTACAGCAAATAAATGAAAGCGTAAATTTTTAAAAAGAAACTGTATGAGATGCGGCTTGCATTAGTGTTTTTGCTTTTGTTTGATGGATTCGACGTATTGCGTGTACTTGACTGTATGAAGCGTTTTGATGATGATGGTGGGTTAGTATGAGGAATGTTTTGACGGTTTGATGTTTTTGAGGCTTTAGATTATGGTGTATTTGTTTTGTTATATGTTATATGTTTTGTGGGTTGAATAGAATGGTGTAGTAATATATGTTTTTTTTATCTAATGGTTGTATGAGTTGGCTTGATGTGACGTTTACTTTTGCTCTGGCAGACGTTGTGCCCAGGACTCTGCTAAACGTGATAATTAATTTAGAGCGCCTATGCGCTTGGCAATGTTGGGGAATATGAATTTTCATCCTATTTTGATTTTAGTTTCTTGAGTTTTCTCCAACTTTGATTGTTGTTTATTTGTGGCTCTTTTTGTGTTATGCTGTATTATGTTGAAGCTCGTGTGTCGCATTGGCTCTATTGTTTGGGCATTTCGTAGAGATGAGAGTTGGCGCAGATGATGGGACTTTTATACTCTCCAAAATGATAGAAATTCTTTATACTCTGCTAAAATAAGGGAGATTCTGTTAAAAAAATTTTATTTTATTTTTCTGTTTCTTAAACTACTAGTACAATACAGACGCAATGATTCATTGTATCATGCCAATTGAAGTCGTAATCCGTTCCTTTCTAGGAAGTGTGTTGGAATTACAGTAGTTGGAAGCCGCACGGCAGAGAAAGCATAAGACATAAAATATAAATTTACTGAAAAAGAGCAGACATGTAATATGGTATTTCAGCCTGATAGACCAAATATGCACTATCGGGTCAGTTGAGAGGCCGTTGTTCTGGGTTTCTTCAGGGCTCTGAGGCTATGTAGAGTCTGCATACATGTAGCTTTTATCACCAATCACGATGCTTACCTGAAGGTAGGTAAGGTATAGAATACAGGTAGAGCACATGTACTTTTCAGGAACAGGCCGGCAGCGTATTTGCACCGTATGTGGCTCTGCTCTTCCATATTCATCCCCCCCCTATTGAACAGCTGGTTCGCACGCTATCCTGGGACTGACAAGCATGGGAGACGACGCAATGGTCCAACCAGTAAACCAGCAGTGTTTATTAAATGAGACATTATTCAGCACCCCAATCTTGTTATCTAACACCCTAGCCATAGCATAATAAGGCGGCCGTTTTATATACTAAGATATACATATATAATTACTAAGTACTGAATATTTAAAAATAGTAATAGTAGCAGCAGTAGCAGCAGTAGCAGCCATACTACTGGCAGTAGCCCATGCTTAAACTGGAGGGCTGGATAACCTCTCTTTTTATTAATTGCGACATGTTGGCGAGGCTTTACAATATACTCCCTGTCACTTGACTGGCATCTGAACTTAGGAGCAGACCAATCTTGTTGTCGAATGTGGATGAGATTTCACATGCACGTTGGTGCTGCTTCGACTTCAAATTTGCTCCATTGCTTTTAAAGTCGTCGGGCATCCTGCTCTCAAGAAGCTCCAGCTGGCGTGAAGCATTCGTTGCCAGCATGATAAAAGCAGCAGGTTCTGGTGTATCTTCAACGAACATGGCCATTGCCAACAGTGCTTGAATGGAAAGCAAGCTGGGCTCTTGCAAGATGAGGTGATGTATCACGGCCGTGGCATTGTGGTAAAAAGCAAGTGGAATAGAGCTCAAGTCGTCTTCGGAGCCTGGGGCGGCCTTGAATCGCAATGCAAGCGCAGTCACGGCGTTGACGGTGGCCCATCTGGCGAAGTCATTTTCTGCTGGGCCGGTCGAGCTGGCGATGTATTGGGCGCTGAGAAGAGCGGAAAAGTCTGCCAGATCTAGGAGCTGCCTGTGCTGCATGATTTCCACAAAGGAGTTTTGAATTAGGCGTATTGCGATGTTTTGGGGGAGAAGCGGCGTGAGTGAGTGAGCTAGATTGGCCTGCGCGATGCTGCTCTTTATGTTCTCGAGGTGCGTGTTGAACTGGTCTGCGGCTAGAAAGTCTGGCAACGTTGGGAGCTGAGTTCTGATTTGCAGTTGTCGCTGAGATGGGTGAGATGGGTCGGGTGTGAAGATGGACGTGGACGAGATGCAACTGGGTACGTGGACATTTGACCCTTCGTCGCCAGACTGCTGGACTGGAAAGGTGCTGTCGTCGTCCAAGTTTGGGCGATTGATTTTCTCAGGTCGATGCTCAGACTCCTCCGAGTTGTTGGAATTCTTCTTCCTAATAACGGGTCAACGCGTGTACTCTCGGAGGCATTTTGGTGCCTCACTTTTTACCCGGCCCCCGTGTTTTGCGGACTGTGGCATAGTTGCATTCCGCGTTACTGGCTATGCAGTTGCCGCATCTTGGTGTTTTGCTATCGCATCCCTTCTTGCGAGCTTTGCAGTTGTCGCACGCCTCAAAATGAGTGTTAGACCGCGCATACGTAATCTAAAAAATGGCGATTGCTTACAATGAAAGACTTCAAAGGCTTCATGTTGCTTGCCGATCCTGGTAGTGCGTCGCGAGACTTGGTACGCTGGAGCGGAAGCAAAATGAGCTGCATTTGTCAGACGCGGCTCGCTGAGCTTACGACGAGCTTGCCCCATCCATCCAATTCAGGAGTTGAGGTTTTTCTATTTTCTTTTTAAACCAGGGGCATCGACGTTTGCCTCCGCCTTAGAAATCCAGTTTACTTCCGTTATCCATGATGATTTTAAAAACTATAAAGAGTCGAGTGTTTCTCAAACATGCAATCGCAGGCGGAACATGACATTCTAAGAGCTGCTTCTTCTGCCATCTAGAAGCGACATCGAAAACACGACTCAACAACCTCAATTCAATTCATAGCCGACTGATTTTCTTCCTTTGCATATCGCTCATTATCTTAACGCGCCAAATCCGGGCATCTCAGCACCATGGCTCTATTCGTTCGTGCCAATGACGCTTTACATGTCAATCCCCCTTATGGGCCGGATGAGACGCTGTCTCTGGCAGGATCCGATTGGCTTTGGGCAGTCATGGCAGTTCACTTGCTCGCATTCGTAAGTGCCAACACTACTTTGTTCTTTGATCACGATTCATCTTCGAAATCCAATGCTGATGTCTCTGTTTATGTTTGTAGCTTGTACTCCTAGTCTTCTGTTTCACCACCCCAGAGAGTGATAGGGTGTTCCATTACCTCTTCACCATCACTCTCCTTGTCGGCACTGTAACATACTACGCGGAAGCTTCTGATCTAGGCTGGGACTCAGTCAAGCAGGCCGATCAGCTCGGCAACGGCTCTTCTCGCCAGATATTTTACGTCAAGTATATCAACTGGGCTGTCGCCTTCCCATCTGTCAGCCTTGCGCTGGGCCTCCTATCCAACCTCTCCTGGACCACCATCGTTACAAACATAGCTACGTCTTTGCTCTGGGTGGTGACTTACCTCGCCGCCGCCTACACTACAACAAGCTATAAATGGGGCTTCTTCGCCTTTGGGACTCTGTGCTGGATCATCCTCGCCATGAGCACGCTGAATGAGAGCCGCGAAGCAGCGTCACGAATTGGCATTTCTCGGGACTACATGATGCTCTCTGCGCTGGCAAATTTGTCCTGGGCGCTGTACCCTGTTGCTTTCGGGCTTAGCGATGGCGGCAATGTCATGGGGGTTACCGGCAGCTTCATCTTCTTTGGCATTCTCGATATCCTAGCAGGGCCGGTGCTTGCATTGCTGTTCATGATGCTAGCTCGCAAGTGGGATTTTCGCCGTTTGCATCTGGCTTTCAGCGAGCACCGCTACGCCCCGGAAGATGATGGCACTGGCTTGCCGAAAGGAAGCGAGACTGCAAGTCCCGCCGGCAATGGTTCCACTGTCAAGGTTTAGATGCCAACTTTTACCTCGGCTTCTCATCATCGAATCTTGAGATTGTCAAGGTGCTAAGGCTAAGGACTCTACGTACAAGCCGTGATGCCCGCTAGAAGCGTTCATAGGGGCAAGCAAAGCTGCTTCGTGAGAGAGCGGGCTCTTCCTCTTCCTCTTCCTTCTCTTCTTCTTCCTTCTCTTCTTCTTCCTTTGCCTCTTCTTCCTTTACCTTTACCTTTTCTTTATATTTTTACAGCGGAATTTTATTATTACCCTCCGGGGGCGCCTGCAGCGAGCTTTATGCCTGCGGCGAGCTTTATGCCTGCGGCGCTATAGCGCTTCTTACACAGCGTGTTATATATATATAAATAGCCTAAGTTCTTTACTTTTTAAATATTTACGTTTTAAGATTATTATTTATAAGGGTAAAATAAGATATATAAATATATAAAAGGTATATAGTAAAGCTTTTTAATAAAGTATACTATAGTAAAGTAAAGTAAATAAAGCTTATATATTATAATATTAATATTTAATGCGCTATAATATTAAAAAGCAAGGTAAATAGTATATTATAAGCAGTTAAGAGCTATACTATTAGCAGAATTTAATTAATTATTACTTAGTATTTTAGCTATAGCTAGTGATTATAATAGCTATGTATAAACTTTTCCCATTAAAGAAGCAAATCCGGAAGTCGCCTTTCTTAATTCCTTCGCAAAGCCGCTTCGCAGCTTTCCTTGATAAGTAGAGTGGTTAAAATCTTCATTATTTTAGACTTGTCGGAGTTTTAGATTTGAGAAGACGGAGTAGTAGAGGGTGGTTTGGGAAATCAACGTTACTGTTGGACTGAGGCTGAGTGAAAGAGAGAGAGGCTTGGAAGGATCCAGGATGCGGGCCGCGGATCCGGCAATTGCGACATGGTAAATAGGACCTCTAGATAGTACACTTTGACAATAGTAAGAAGTATTTAGGCTGGGAGTGTAACTACGGGCTGAACCTTGACCTTTGCCTGCTCTATGTGGACACTCCGTCGTGAGGATTGGTTGATACAAGTACATGTATTCTGGATGTGCCTCGCCTCTTACAAGTCAGGCTTTTGTAGGTATGTTTCCAGCGTGATATCAGTCAAAAGACTTTTATTACAAGGGCTGCTTCGTCTGTCTACCTGCTGAAAACGGATTCGCCCTGCCGTGACTGAATCCTCCAGTTTCTTAAAAGTCTCTCGCGCAGCCGGTGGCGTCTGGCGTTAATTAAGCTTGCTTTGAAAGGCCAAGCCGCGTCCTCTGCTAGTCTCTTCCCTAAACAAACTACCTGCAATAGTAAGGACTAGGCTGCGTCTGCCATGAGTCGTATTCGTTGCCTCCTGTGTATGAATTTTCGTTCAATTGTTTAAAATCACCGCTCACGTGCACAGCGTTTTTCTAAGCCCTTTGTCCTTGTCCTTGCCCCTAGTGGCGGGCTGAGCAAGCATCCCTCGCAGAGTTGAATCCTTCGCAAACAGTTGAATTGAGTGATCCCGCCTGTGCATACTATATATATATGTACCTTGTTTGTACTCGGCACTTCACCGATACTACCGCCCGCGCAAAGTCGCAGCGACAGGCCCAGTTTCCCCTGCCCCTTGCAGGTTGTGGTCCCCGTAACTGTACCTGTAGACACGCACAGTGCCCTGGGCCATGTTCTGATGGCGCTTGGCGGATTGCAAAGCTGACTGCGTTGGTTGCCGTGTCAAGTTAGGCGAATAGGTGTTTCACGCTGAAGAGGATCTTGATGCATGTACTACCGCCGCACCGCTAGTACAGATAAATACATTTGATCAAATGCTAGTCCTATACGTGACCCGTAGGACTATAGAATCCCGCAAACGATAGGCGCATGTATTACCAGGCCCTGTGGCAATAGTGACAATAGCCAGTCCGCTCCGCCTGTAGCAGCGCGGGCCACAGTGGCTGCAACCCGCTGAAAAGCCCCCCCCTCCTCCCCCCCTCGTGTGGACTCCTCTGCGCTGGGGTCTCGCTAAACGGCCAGCAGGGCACAAACAACGTGCTGGACTCCAAACTCTCTTACCCCGGATTCTCCCCATCCCATGTCTCCGATCTCGAGACACTAGCCGGCCGGACAATCGAACGACCGCATGTCATCGCCAAAGTCTTTTCGCGCGCCCGTTCTTCTCTCTTCTCCTTCTCACGCACACTGTCGCTGACATCTCGCTTCTTGCTTTCTTTTGCCATTGAACACGAACCTCTGCGTCTTGGATCTCGCCGTCCTCGGAAACGATGCTGCCGACGGATGCTGGCACCGACGCTGCCTTGGACATTGAGGCTTGACAGAGCACAAACAACGACGCGGAGCAGCATCACGAACCCGCCACCACATTCCCAATCGCCTTCTTGCCTTGCATCTGCGTCTCTCGCCTTTTTCTCGCCGACGTCTTCGACCTCGCTCTCCCGTTTACTCTCCCCTGCTCGCTTCGCCCTCGACTCGGGTCGGTCCATTTCGGTTCATTTCAATTCGCCTCGTCTCAGCAACTCGGAAAATCCTTCCGCTCCCTCTATCCTCCTCGCCTCGCCTCGCATCCCGCCATCGTCGCCGCGGCCCGTAAATGAGCGGCACGATGCATCGAACCAACAGCGAGGGCGGCGCTTCGTCCACCGCCTCGTCGCAGAGGTGGCGCATCTCCTCGGCCTTTCGCAAAATCGGGAGCATCAGCGGCTCTAGCAAGGACGACAAGAATGCGACGGTATGTTTTGCGCTTTGCCTTGCTTTTTCTAGTACTCTAGTACTCTAGCCGCGCTTCTGTCTGCCGTTCCATCCGCTCCTCTGTCTGTTTCATCTGCTGCGTCGCCGAGTCGAGCAACTCAGCTTGGCTTACCTCAACTGTTTCTCCTTGTGCTGCCCAAGTCATCATGACTGAGTGCTGACACCCCGCCTAGAATAAGCATGGCAGCCCATCTGTCGACACCGACTCCCACGAACCCTCCATTCACGAAAACAGCTCCATTCATATCCACGAAACATCAAAGTCAAGTCATCACCAGCTGCAAGCTCTTGTTGCGCGCATGCGAGGCGCTCCCCAAGGTCCCAACCACGTTGATGGCGCCTACAAAGAGTTTGAAAAGATCAGCAAGCGGTGCGCAGCCCTCTGCGATGCCATCCTGCGAGAGGAGATTAAGCTGCCTCGCAAGCTCTCCGACACCAACGGTACCCTTCCCTTGATTCGCCACGACTCCCTAGCCGACGGCCCTCGCAGTCCAAGTGCTCTATTCGACCATAGAAGTTCTTTTAGCGGCCGCAGCTTGGCGGAAGTAGTCACAAATGGCGGAAGCAGGAGTCATCATGGCGGGGACATGTGGCTTACTCCTATCCGCGACTGGAAGGCATGTCTCGAGGTGCTGACGGACTCCTTCAAAATCAGCCTCGCCGAGACGTACAAGAGCTACGAACGGGATGCGACACCAGAAATGCTCGAGGCTTTGTTCTCGAGCAAGAAATTTAGAAGAGAAGCAGTTCACCGAATGCGCAATGCGAGCGTCACCAAGATTTTGTCTGCAGATCCCCAATTTGTGAGTACAGACATTGACAGCGTCTTTCTTTAGTTCCTCAGCAATGCTAATGAACACAGTTTCCGCGATATGAAATACGATTTAGAAACTACGAAAAGGTCAAGCAAGAACTCAGCGATGTTCGGAAACTGCTCCAAGCTGGAGAATCGGGCATCTCTCCGGCCAGAGTCATTGAGGAATTTGCCATCCACCCTCGCGGTGACGTTGTTCTCGAGTTTGCCAACATTGGCCCCGATGCTACCGGCAATGAGCCTGCGCTGCGCTTCCGTGTTTCTTCCGCCTTGCTAGCAGAGACGTCGCCCATCTTTGGGCGTTTGTTTTCCGGGCACCCCAACAGTCTCTACATCCATGAAACTGACGACATCAGTGACGAGCTCCCGCCGCCGCCGGTGCCGTATTTCTGCGATGATGGATCCGAGGTCAAGCTGTACAGGATGCCGCAGCAAGAATTCAACCGCGGCGGCTCACTCGAAATCCTGCTCCACGCCGGTCACATGCACAACGATAAGGTGCCTAGAGACGTTACCTTTGAGCAGTTTGTCGCCATTGCTGAGTGTTCCTTGCGGTACAGAAGCACATCGCCGTTGGAATTGGTCGTCGAGCACAGATGGTTGCCGCAGTGGATGCACAAGGGGGCCGATGACATGCCGGATGGACTCCTCATCATTAGCTACGCGTTTGGCCTCCGCCAGCTCTTTACTCGAATGTCCAAGAGCGCTATACTAAATCTTGCCGACGAAAAAGACTTGGACAGTAAGGCTTGGCCCAGGAAGATCAAGGAGAAAGTTTGGGCGGTTCGCTGCGCCAAGGTTGATCAGCTCTACGCAAGCTGTAGGAGCACAATACAGGAATATATTCGACCACCAGCGCAGGATGAGTCCTCGCAAACTAATCAGCACATTCCTCTCTCCGAGCTCGACAGCCACCTCGCCTCGCCCATTCAGCCTTCCATGACGCTGACCAGCACCCCGAGATGTCCCAAGGGCAACCACTGGTGTGACGCCTCCAACCTCGGGTGGATGATGCTGGTGTACAACGAGCTCGGCTTACTGCCCACCATTGTACAGCCCAGCCTCATGTCACACCTTCCCAACGTTCATCCTCCATCCAAGAGCTTGGCACAGATGATGGAAACACTTCGCTCAACACCGAGTCCTCCCGCGCCGCTTCACCCTGGGGGTGTTTGTGACCCCGTTCCCGCGTTTCGGGCATCCATCGCCGATATTTACAACAGCGTCACTGGCTTGACCCTGTTTGATATCAGTGGCAAGAGCCACGGCTGGGCGCTGTCGAAGCACAAAATATCAGAGCCACAGTTGCTTCTCACAGCTGGCCTGAACCGAATGGCTGCTGCGCATGAGAATATTCACAGCGTTGTTTCCGAATTTCCAGAAGAGATTCGACTCCAGATTCTTAGTGAGATGGAGGACCTGGAAGATCTTCAGGCCGCTGCTAGGATCAACCGAGGATTCTACGAGACGTACAAGAGAAACGAACTCCAACTCATGCGTAACATTCTACGTGCCGATAGGATACGGTGGGGAAGTATGGGAAGATACTCGCTAGAAGACGACAGGGCGGAAAGCAAAATCTTAAAGTCAGAGGCCGACATGCTCAAAGAAAGGGGCTTTGGCGATGGCGCAGATGCAATCACTCTACGAAGCGAAGACGACGAGGGGCTGTACGATTCGGACGACTCTGACGAAGACGACGATAGCGTCGACCCGTTGACTCGAAACGGTTCTGTATCCTCACAAGGCGGGCGGTCCCACACCAGCCATGAGGATGATGTTGTGAGTATTCTGGCTCGTGACCCGCCGCCGCCGTTCCAATCACGAGAGGCCAATCCTCCGCCGCCACTGCTGCCAGTCGCCAACGTTGACGAGAGTCATGACGGCTCAGAGGACGACGACACGGCCACTCCAACGACACCTCGGCAACGCTCATTTGAGCTCTCAGATGAATCGACTACGCCTTCAGACCAGACGAGCGTGGTGTCGGCAGACGACATCTACGAGCCCCCGATGACGGAAGAGGAAGCACGCAGAATTTTATGGCCCGATCACTTGGTAGTGGCTGCACCCCCAGAGCGAGGTGCTGTATCTCCCGGGGTGGAGGGGCTGCGCGAAAAGTTTCGGGTTGGTGATATTTCTTTTATCGAGGGCCTTGAAGACAAGGCGCTTATTAAGACTGAGACGAAACAGCTGCAAAGCGAACACGATGCGAGAATTGGTCTTCTTAGAGATGATGCGCGGCCTAGCTCTAGCTCGTCGACGCGAAAGGCTTCTAATGGAGTTGAGCACATTGAGAAGATTAATGGGAGAAATGGGGGGGAAGATGAAGTGGAGGTGGTGTTGTCTTGACAACGTTACTCTCTCTTGACGCAGTAAACAACGACAGCAAGGCCATATTTGGCTTATTCTCGCAAAAGATGGAGAAGTAATGACGAAGAAGAAGAAGAAGAAGAAAAAGGAGAGATGCATAACTGCAGAAACGTGCTCTTTTGTTCACATTTGCATCTGAGCCGCAATTCATACACATGCATGCATACATGTTATTGATCGATGGATCGATAGATGTGCAAAACTGTCTATATATATATACATTCTAACTATTCTACTATATGGGGTAATCCTTCGGCGCAGACTGGAACAGCGAAAGGGCTTTTATTATGACCAAGGGGGGTGGGGGGTGGAAAGAAACAAACATGTTGGGGCTACTTTTTTTCTCCTTTTATCTCTCTGTACTGGATGGGATGTATGGATCTTGGCTGGGACTCAATTTTGGCGATATGAGCGTTTTTGAACTTAATCTATGTTGGATAGCTACGGGATGGGCCATCTACAGGAAGGTTAAAGGGGTTCCAAGGGGGGCTATTGAAATACTTGAAAATGGTTAATAAAAAAGACTATATATAATTGATTGGTAATTATTAAGAGCCTCTATGAGCTGCTATCAAAATGGAATGCCATTAAATGTTATGTTGTAGGGAGATGAATTGACACATCGATGGACTTGTATTGTTCAAAAAAGAAAGGAAAAATCCAAGATTGTGTTTGTTTCTTTGTATACTCAAAGAAATAAATCATCATATAGATTAAGCAGTACTGGGTATATGTATAGATATAGATGTATGTTATATCTTTTTCATTATATCCACCCTTTGAACAATTACGTTATTCCATCTCTCCTTTTATGTAACCGAAACCAAAATTCCTCCTCTTGTCCTTGGTACTTGATATTTCTACTCAGAGCTAGTAGCACCAGCCTCGGTGCCGGTAGCATTCAACTGAGCCTTCCTCGCAGCGTTGAGGGCGCGCAGTTTAGCCGTACCGAAGCCAGCCACGCCATCCTCCTGGTTGTCGCCCAGCCAGGGCTTCTTGGAGTCGCCGAGAATGCTGCCCGAGAGGAAGTAGATGACGAGGCCGATGATGATGCAGACAAAGGCAATGGGGTAGAGATAGTGGATGGTGTAGCCAAAGACGTGGATGCCGATGATGACGCCCCAGAAGTTGGCGGTCAGCAGGGAGATGTCGAAGAAGGCGGCGCTGCCCATGCGCAGGATGAGGGGCGCCAGTGTGTAGAAGACGCACAGGCAGATGGTGTAGCCGGCGAGCCAGCCGCCGACGGAGCTGTCCCAGTGAGCCTGCTGGAAGGACGTGCGGTCGAAGATGGCGGCCTGGATGCCGTTGATGATCATGCCAAAGAGGCCCATAAAGGCCAGGACGTGGTGCATGGGCCGCTTGGAGACGAGCCACTCCTCGAAGACGTTGGAGACGCCGTAGAGGGTGGCGCCCAGCAGGCCAAAGAGATCGCCCTTGACCATGTCGACGCCCGGGCCGCCGTTGGAGCCGGTGATGTGGTCCGAGGCCAGCAGGATGCCCATGCCGCCGCAGCAGATGAGGATGCCCAAGACCTGGAAGATCTTGTAGCGCACGCGCAGCAGGATGAAGGAGATGATGACGACGCAGACAATGGACCAGAAGTTGAGCAGCTGGGCGGACAGCAGGTTGGTGTAGCGGTAGGCGAGCACGGTGAAGTAGTTGCCCTCGACGTCGAGGAAGCTCATGATGAGGTAACGCCAGCCGTCCTTGACGAGGATGTCCCACCAGACGCGCGGGCCGTCGCGCCACAGCATGATGGAGGTGTAGATGAGGAAGAGCAGGATGTAGTTGAAGACGGTCTGGAAGGCGGGGATGTTTGTGCCGACGTTGGCAAGGAACGAGGTGAAGGTGTTTGTGCCGGTGATGCAGAGCGAGAGGACCTGGCCGACGGCGATGACGGCCCAGAAGTCGGCGGTGGTCAGGTAGGACCACCAGTGGGTGGAGGACGCCTCGAGGATGTGGATGCCTTCGGAGAGGGCGGCGTCGGTGGGAGCGGTTTGATCGCCGTTGTTGTTCTCGGCGACAAGAGTATCATTGTTCTTGTCTCCAGAGCCGGACGAGACGACGGTGGTAGAGAAGCCGAGCTTGGAGTCGGCCTCGACGTAGGGCGGGGCGGGGTTGATGGCCATGGTGGCGGTGCCGTAGGACGGAGCCGAGCTGGAAGAGGAGGAGTTTGAGAGCAGAGGCTGGGAGGCAGAGGCCGAAGCTGAAGCTGGCGATGCTGCTGGAGATGCTGCTGGAGATGCAGATGCTGGAGTTGTTGGTTCTTGAAGGCGCTTTGAGCGGGTCATTCAATTGCTAGCAAGTGTGGCGTCAGAACGATGCGCTCTATTGACAGACGGGCAAAAGTCTATGCGGCCGACTGTGTCCATCATTCCATACCTGTGTGATTATAACGGTGTATAACGGTGTATATGCGCGTGAGCATAAATATTGGGTATCTCGATGGTGATGCTGGTGATAATGACAATGTTGGAGCTCCGAAATCAGTGGAGTCTTTCTTCGTCCCTATGTACGAATCGTACAGCAAGCGCAAAGACTCCAAGTCGCTTGCCGGCAGTCCTATGAGTGAGCAACGCACATGAAGAAATCTACTCGGTTACGAGCAGATGTTGCAGACTGCTGCTGTAGAGGAGAAGAGGAAGAAAAAAAGAAGGAGGGCAAAAAAGAGGCAGAGGCAACAATTATTATCACACCAGACTATTGAAGAAAAAAAATCACAGCTGAAAGCAGAAGGTAGGCGGTGGGGAGAGCTAGCGGGCAATGGCACGTACTAGGCAGTAAAATGGGAGCACAATGGGGTTTAGCACCGGCCGATTTGCGGGGCGGCCGATAAGGCGTTGTTTCGTTTACTGCACGTGGTTGTAAGTAAGAATTATATCTAGATGATTTGGTTGTTATACAAGGTTGAAAGAAGAAGTGTGGCAGGTGTAGAAACAATAGCTTGGTGAGGCTGAAGCAGCTGAGATGTAAAAAGCTGGAAACAGGATCAAGTAGAAGCTGAAGAAGACTCGAGTAAAAGAGCTGACCCGGCCACAGGACCTTGCAGGGAGCAGCAGCGCCTGTAGCGGCCCGCAGTAAAGCCTTTTAGTGGACTCCTCCCGGCCCTTGCAGCGGGTCATGCGCCAGCGGCAGCGACCTGATTGGAGGGCTTGGGCGTCGCTAGAGGAGCGGCTAGCTATAGTGGTGGCATGGAAAAAAACCTGTGAAGGGAATTATCGTTGAAAAATGAAAAAAGAAAAAAGAAAAAGAAATTTGTTGGTTCTAGATGGTTGCGATAGCAGGTAGCACGATGGAGCTTCGTTGGCCTGGAGCCATGTGGCGAGGTGGTACTGGGCGTGTGGGGAAGAAGAGAGAATGCATGTATAGAAGATGAAGCTGGATACATGTAAAGATGAAGATGCATGTATGTATGTTTTGGAAGGAAATCAGTAAGAAAATTAAGTAGTTGGAAGCTTCATAGAACTTGGCATCGTTATAGTAGTAATATTTGGTGTATTGCTTGTTAGCTGAATAAGTACAACACAGAGCAATAGATGCTCGCCCAAGACCATAAACTCCCCTCAACTCGCCGTCACATGGCTTCGTATGGCTAGACACGTGCATGGGGGAAATGCTCCGACTTGGGATTCCTCGCTCCGGCACTTGAAAGAGCATCAACAGACTCTTGGTAATCCCGCACTGAGACAAGTACAAGTATTGCCTAGTAGTACAAGAGCTGGTCAACATGCAAACGCAGGCAGCTGTGACAGCGTCTTCGTGCTTCATTTATATCTCCTCAGCTCGCAGCAAACCCGAAGCCGATCCAGCGTCTCACACTCACCACCGCAGAATTGTCCCAACGCCCAGCAAGTAAGCCGAAGCCGAACCTCAAGATCGCGGCTCTCGGCGAGCTCGATCCGGACAAGCGCCTGCACCACCAACTTTCTCCATATTTTCCTTCTATCAATCTGGAAACGCCGGCACTGGACGTTGTCGATTCGATCTCGCTTGCTGTCAGTGATGCAGTGTTAGTCTTGCTACCTGTTCAAAGTGCCGAAAACACGCCTGTCTCCTAGTGCCGATTGCGTGTCTGATGTTGGCGTCTACTCACCGATTTATGACGCGCGTTTTTAGTCGTGAGATGACTCTTCAAGTTTCTAATTGCGCCGATGTCTTGCCGCGCTTAGATCAACCCAACAATAAAGATTGAGGAAACAAAGAAATATTGAACTTTAGGAAAGAAGAAGAGAAGGAGAAGAAAAAGGACGCCCGCTATGCTTTGTGTTTCCCTCCAATCGGATACCCATTTTGTTGGTGTTTTGGCTGTCAGTGAGGCTGGACATGTTCACTTTGGCTTGTTGATGTCCGACATGGCTGCGCGGATAGTCTTTGTGATGAGATTATTCGTCGGCGTGTTTGAAGTAGGAGTAATCTGACTAGATGCTGTTTTTTTTTTATATTATCAGCTCACAGTAAGTAATACAGTAATCCAGAATATGAGACTGTTGTCTCAAATCGTGGCAGACTTGACTTACACCCTGGCGCTGTAAGCTGCTGTTGCTGCCCAGCCGTTGAATCTGTACCCTCAGGCACCATTTCTCTGTCCGGCAATGACGAAAACTCGAGTGCAAGACGCTCCATGACATTGTGCTCTGACTTGATTTGGACTTGAAATGTAGACGACGACGACGCAAGGGACGGCGGCACAACTAATATTCCTTTGTTAGTAAACAATACACGGTGAGTCATTCTATGCAGGCATGCATTGGCGTCTTTTTTTTTTCTCGTTTTTCTTCGCTTCAACTTGACAAGAAGCGAAGAAACTGCAGAAAAAGACTTCAAGCTCAAATGAGAAGAAAAAAAAAACCTTGTGCGTACCTGGAGTCACTGCCTTTCCCTTGCCCGAAGGCTTGTTCAAACTCTGATTCGGATCCGAAGACATGGCCATCACCGCAACGTCTCGCAGATTCGCTCTCCAAAAAGTGTCTCCAAGTCCCGCGGCCCGTGTTATAGATGAGCAAATGGCAGTTTCCATGACTGGTCTTTTCCTTAGTCCTGCATTCAACCCCCTTTCTTGCGTGTCTTTTTATCACTTTTCTTCTCTCTTCTAGTGTTGCTTTTTTTAAGCAGAGGCTGAAACGGATTCCGCGGCCGCGGAAGAGGCATACGTAGTTTCGCTACCACACGTAATATATATCGATGCATATATACGCAATCCATTACAACGTCTGCCTGCCTATTATATATGTCTGCCTTATTAGGTGGCTTCAAAACTGCCGCTGTCACATCACAAGGGTCGTCATAGGGTGATCAGGCTAGGAATAAGCAAGGGTTATGCTCTGGGTGCTCCCCACAACGCACCCCCACCATCAAGTATAGCGGCTCTGTGGCTCCGAAGCCGACTTTTGGGCTTCTAGGGAGCAAGAATCGGACTTGTCCAGTTCTTGGCTGGTAATCTTTCCCCTTCTGGCTGGGGGCTGCCTCCGCCTGGAAGCTTGTTTATTGTCGTTTGCTGGACGTAGTGGGAACCGCTTTCTAGACTGGGATGGCGGTCGTGGGGCTGAAAGGCTTGTTTGTTTAGGGCTGTGAGTAGGCACGACGATACATGTATTACACCCAGGCATCAGTGAATCCACCTCCAAGTGCGCGCGGAACCCGAATACCTGTATCGTCGTGATTATATTTCCAATGGTGTTCTTATTACCAATCCTCTGGACAAGTCGGTTTATAAGCATCGACCACGATAGCCTCGAGTTGAATAACCCACAGTGCAGCATCACTTATACCGTGCATTCAGCTCATCTCTAGCCTATCAGGGAGTCTATGCACTCGCATCATGAGACGTAGAAAGATTGACGAATTCGTCAGCAAGCAAACTATTCGATTACCTGCTCCTTGATTTGTATCACATCGGGGTATCAAATCCTGCCGCATTCAACATCTGAGAACCGATCTTGGTACTTGCTACTCCGTAAGGAGCTCCGACCCCAGGGCCGTAGGTACGACGCAAACCGATACTAAATGCGGATCATTATCCCGAACACGACGTTATGAACAGCCTGACCGTTTTTCCTTTTCCATCTTTTTTTTTTTCTAAAAAAAAAAAGAAGCATCTCCATCGGATTAGTTTAGCATTTAGCAATCTAGCACTCGGCGAACGACTCATTGGCCCATTCTTCCATTCTGGCTCTGTTCAGATTCGTTTCACCGATCAAGCTTCGAGACCGACCTTACCGGATACACTCGCCGAGCACGCAGCGGTAAGCCGCGTACACGGATGGAGTAAATGCACCTACGCCGTATGTTGGGGTTGTGGGGCCTAGCATTGAACTTGCAAGTAGTATCAACACTTGGACTGGATACTTGCTGTATAAAGCAACTCCCTAACCATCCTTGGTATCCCAAAGACTGCTTATAGTAAAGAGTGAATAGAGGGTGTTTCCTTTAAAACCAGTCCAATACTTCATGATAGGTCCATGTGGCTCGGCATAGTCTGCCGGTTAGGAGTCAAAAAAAAAAAGAGTCACAAGTCCGGTGAAACCTCCTCGGCGTCAGCGTTGCACGCGGCCTCGGGTACAAACAACCGGTGATGGTTTATCAAAAAAAAAAATGATAGAATGATTGGTGTTGCTCTTGTCTCTTTGTTTTACGTTTTTGGAAGGGATGCTTACAGCGTGATTGGCTGGCTATAATCGCCGGCCAATCAGGGCTTGTTTTTGCTCGCCGAAACAGAGGCGGCCCACTCCGACTCCGAAGCCGCTCGGCTTGCTGTGGCCGCTGTAAGGTGTAAGTGAGAGCCGCTGTAAGTGATTCGCTGTAAGGCGACGGCGGGATGGAGTTCGTGCAGTAGTGTCCGTCTATGCATTCATCGTATCCCAGGAATCCAAAAACGTGCAGCGAGACCCGAGATACAAAAATCACGGGAAAGGATTCATTTACGGATACTACTTAGGATATTTGTGCCCAACATCGTTCGTCATGACTAAAGCAGGCAGTTGATTCCCAATTTCTCATAATGAGTGGCGTTGCGATTTGTAAGTCGAATTACTCAGGTTGCAGGGGCCAAACTCGAGTCAAATGCGTGTTATTGGTGTAGCTGACTATCTCTGTACTATACACAGCTACATCTCCTAGAAACTGATGATGCCGACCAAAAAGGGAACACCATCTATGCTATCTAAAAAGTAAAAGGACGAGATAAGAAGACAACCCTCCCATTTCAAGTAACAGCATACGAGAACATGCTGCTAAATAACAAGAAGAACAAAACTTGCTCTAAAAGCGAGCGCAACAAGAAGGAAAATTCGCAGTGGCCACCGCACCTATGCCAAAGCCAAATGTCAAAGGAACTTTGTAACGCAACGCTATATGGGTATGCAGCCATCAAAAGAGAAAGTTTGAGGTGAAGATGAAATAGAAATGTCCACATGTGACATCGTTCCTGGTAATGTACAAAAGACACCCAATACAAGCAAGAGAGAACAAGAATGAAACTAATAATGGCAAAAGAAAGCTTCCATCAAGAAAGATAACAGAAAAAGACAAACAAAAGGAGAGAAACAAGAGTGAAAAAAATTCCGTTGAGAAAGAAAATAAAAAGACAGACATCAAAGCAACAACAGGGAGAGAAGAGAAGAAGAAGAAGAAGCAGATATCCAAAGGCACGCCTGCACGCCGGCAGTATGCTTTACCGCTTCCCAACCTGAATTCCATCGCAAAGACCATGCAGAAAAAACATGCACACGCTTTAGTACCAGGTCGGCTGCGTCGCCCAGTGCCTCAGCATCGTCTCAATCGCAGTCCGCCACTCGTCCTCAAAGCAAGTGGCCAGCTGCTGCACCATCTTCTCGCTCGGCACCTTGCCCCCCCACATCTCAGGCTTGCGCGCCTCCGTGTCCGAAAAGATCCTCACCAGCCCGTCGTCGCGCATCCGCGTCAGGCACAGCCAGGCCAGGTTCCAGCTGCGGTTGCTCTCCGGGTCGGAACGCACGCGGCGATGGGCTTCCGCAACAATGTCCGCGCTGAGCGGATAGTTCCGCGTAAGGCCGCGGAGCTCCATGAGGAACTGGTTGCTCGTCACGTAGTGGATCCAGGCCGAAGTCATGGGTTGCTGAAAGGCCCGTGCGTCAGCCTCGGAGTCGCACGCTGCGGCAATGCGCTCGATGCGGCAGAGCTCCGTCAAGGTGTTGATGCGGTGGGTGTTGAGCGAGTCTACCAGTTGCTGGATGGAGGACTGTAATGCAATACAATGTTAGCATTGGCTTTCTTGCATCATCTTGCATCTGATGTTGAGCAGCTTGAGTCTCTCACTTAGGTAAGTGACCATTGCATGTTCAAACACACATGTGCAAATGTATTAACTTGCACACGATCTTCCATTGCACTCTTATAGAAAGTGAAAAAAAAAAAAGTGTCCATGATAACAACGGTGGAAAGACGCCACTTACCCGAGATGTCTCCTGATATCGAGACGAAGAGCCCCTGGAACTCACACTGCCACCGCTTCGAGGAGTAGACATGGTTGGTCGATTGGTTACGAAGCAAATCTTGGAATTGGATGGCAAAAGCGACGCTGTTGTTCGTCTTGTTCGTGTTGCGGTTGTTGTGGTTGTTGTGGCTGTTGTGGTTATTGCGGTTATTGCGGTTATCGCTGTTGTTGCTGGCTGCTTGGGAATCCTGTCTTCTAGTTGCGGAAGATGGGATCCCAAGTTTATATCATCTGTTGAAGCTTGAAAGATGTCAAGCTCTCTACCACACAGACCATCCTCAAAGGGCCTTGTTGTCTTCATTCCCGAAACGGTATGCGCCGTACGAGAGGTTGTGAGATATTTTGGTGTGCGCGTGTGAACCCTAATTTCGCAATGCTCAAGCAGAAAATCTGCCTTCTGCCAACATGGATAAAAGGCTTATTGTGTCAATAGAGAGTTAGAACAACTAGCAAGTGACTTGGTCTGAATGATGGCAATCCTTCGCAAGGCATTGTTGATAGGCAAAGGAGAGGTCAAAATGGCAATATACGGGTCGACTGTCAGCGGAAGATCACCGTTCCGCTGAGGTGGGAATCGATGTGAGTAATGAGGGCTAGGCGACAACGACAAGGTCTGCAAACTTAGATGGCTTGCAGCTTGCATGGGATGGGGGGTTTGGGGGAGTTAGGGGTGGCTCTTTGTGCTGACAACTGGCTTAACTCCCCCACGTCCATGTAGTGTTGTGATCTTGTCATGCTCTATTTCTCTCTGGTGGCAGTTGCCAACTAGTCTGACTCAAGGCTGATCTGAAGCCATCGTTAACTCGGCTGCTAGGAGAAGATAGTCCTAGCTCTTTTGTGATTGTCGTGGGGCTGGCTCCGCTTCTGCCTTGAAGACGGAGTGGTAAAATGCGGCAGCTCGCCTATGCACGAAGCTCTCAAGGCAAGGGGGGAAAATTGAACAGATCGGGATAAACAGGAGTTTAGGGTGGACTAATGGGAGCTTGAGCTGCTTCAGCTTGGCCTTCCAGGGGGCTTAGAACACCGGCTCTGAGTAAAGATAGACCACAAAACGCTAGCTAGCGGGTTTGGAAAACCAGCCTTAGCGGTAGTCGCCGGTGTGAGATGAATGACGGTTTAAGCGATAAACGATACATCCGATGCAGCACCTCGCACTTTGGGAAACTTTTCCAGTGCGAAGACGCCACCGGTTCCTGGCGAACCAGCCAACTGGAGTTGGAACTAGACCGAAAGCCGAATAGGTGGCCCATTCGTGCGGGATGGAGAACCACGGCGGATCCGAACAGGGCTGGAGGTCTGCATTGAGGCGGGTCTAACGGCGGGAGAAGCAAGACACCAAAACGTACGACCAGCGCGGTTAAGGGTGGTGAGAAACATGGTGAGCATCAGTATAAGCCCCGACCGAGACGCCGAAATGAGTCTAGGTGGACGATACGCGCGCTAAAGCCCAGCCATGCCGTCAATAAGCTGGCCGCTCGTATCCATCGTTTATCGGAAATCGAGCCTATGCCAAAGTCAGCAGGAGTACCTCTTGGCCAACGGTAAGATGCTCCATTTGCCTTTTACAGCTGGTAGGCCAGGACATGAGGATCCTGGCACGGCCCTCGTCAAAGATAGTCTATTTCCATGATACCTAACCTCCTAAGATGATGCCGTCATGGATCACGGGAAGACAAGCAAAAGGGCGCGCTTAGCATCCCAGATTGACGCAGCATCGCCACTGCACGAGCTGCTTAGACGCGCCAGAGCCAGGATCAGGGCATGGTGATATTAATAATCGCTTGGCTGAAGGACAAGTCGGGAAATTTTCCGCCTATTGTGGCCAATGACATGTTGCAGTTTAGTCTCGCGGGTACCGGATGCAGCCCAGCCAGCGTAAGCACAGCCATGCCACGCCTTGGCCCGGCTCGATAGGGCCTGCGGCTCGTCGTCCGGTTTCTCCATAAATCGTGTCCGTTTGTGGGAGAGCAGCAGAATGGAAATGGAAGACGGGCAGAAAGTCTGCCTCGCGGGTTGTCAGCTAAGGCTCGGATCTATCCTCTTCCGCGCGCTTGAGCCATCCAACCAGAGCCAAGCGAGCGCCAAATCCGCCAATCAGCCCCGCGGTAATTGCGGCCAGTGCGGCTCTTCCCTCGCGGCTGCTGAGTCATGGCTCTATTTGGGAGAAGCCTAGAAGAGTCAGGGAGGCCTCGCGTGCGACAGTTTAGAAGCCAAGACGGTAATTCTCATTTAGGGCAGCACTTTTTTTTTTACCGAGCAGCAGATAATTGCCGGCATATACGGATTTGCGGCCTTTATTCACTATCATGCGGGGTGCGAGAAACACCGCCGGTCTGCCATAACAAGAAATTGTAAGTGATAGGCCGCGGCGTTTGTTGCACCCCTGACAGTACCTATTTGGCCAACCTATCCGATCAGTAATCCGGACGCCGTTGACGTCCGCACAAATATGGGAACGCGACAACATGATTGGAGATGATACGGAATACGACAGAAACGTTGGGAATCATTCCGAGTTGCGAGAGTCATGACATGACAAAAAAGTGGTCTTTGGCAGCCTTCTCGGCCAATTAGTGCTGAATACCACCTTCAGCCTGCGCTCCCTGTTCAACTTGATGCACGATAGGCCACAACTCTTTGCACTTGGCTTTGCCTCAGAGTTGCCATAACAGGATAGCTGCTCGAGTCCCAGTATTCTGCCCTGCCGGCCGTCCAATGGCGAAAGTTGCCGGGCCAAGGTTAAGCTACTGGGCACCCCAGGTATTGACAAAGACAAAAGTTCAATCTTTAACTTTTTTATCCCCAAACAGTCTGGAACTCCCCCTACATGATTCAATCTCGCTTGGCGTCCGGTACTGCCCTGTAATGGTGAGGGCCTAGGTATTATCCCTTTACAGCAGTCCGACCAGGTGATTTTCCTAGACAGGAACTTCATAGCACCGCCAGCCCCGTTACTCCCCGAAATGACGTCCATTCCATTAGTCACGCTAAGATATTTTTACCCCATTTCGAGAATCAACTTCGAGCGCCGACTAAAGCAGGTTTCGGGTCGCATGTGAAAGCAACCAGAGAGCCAATGAAGAGCCACGCTTTGGCATCCTTGAACTCGCGGGCCTTTTCCCGGCCTCCTCCATCCATCTCGGTCAAACTTGCTGGTGCTTACTTTCCAGGTGGGGGGGGGGAAGACGCCGGTCTGGCGTTATAAAACCCGGATGCGATATGCGATGCAGCTTGTGCCGCGGCACTCACTTGCGTATAATATACTCCTAACAGGTACTGGCACTAGCAAGAAGCTCTCCATACTCCGACGGAGTATATAAACAACTCGAGACCCCTCTTTCATCAAAGGTCCATGTTCGTCTGTCCTGGAGCGCATGGATCTGCGCTGGGCACTAACATGGCTCCAGCGCGCCACTCATTTCGCCACAAGGGAGAACACCAGCCCTTACTACGCACTGCTTGCCATGCGTTCTCTACTCTCATTGGGCTGTAGTGCTTGTATAGCTATTAATACGAGCCTCATCTCTTGAGGTGCAAGTTGCGCACCGGTAGCTGGTGTGCTCTCTCTGTGAGACGGGGTTTCAATGAGGTATTGAATCATCCTACTGTTACTGTATGCACCTCGCGCTCTGTATGAAGGCTCGGAGTACTAGTATGAGGTAGATGAGATGCCCAGGTAGGTAGGCATGACGACCCTATCATGGGCACGAATCTAAAAAGAAAAGAAAAGAAAAGAAAAAGAACAATATGAGAGAAAAGGAAGCAGAAACAAAAGCAGGGGAGAAAAAACAATAACAAACAAGCATAATCTCGTCTCGGCGCAGATCTTGCCCAGAAGACTGACGCTCTGGTCGCGGTACCTCTGCCCGCACTGCCTGTTTGCTGGCCCAGCTCGTATTGTTTCCACGTCTGTGCACTCGGCCATAGCCGTCCAGCTGCCAATTAGATGCGCGATGAGTGCCAGCTGCTGCCCAATGCGGCTAGACGCTGGGGGGCTATGCACTCCTGTTTCAACTTTTGGGTCCAGGAGATGCAGGTACAGGCAGGTACAGGCTCCCGGTCCCTGAAGCGCACGTGACTGCAGCGCTCCCAGCCGCCGTCGCTGCCCCTGCGTGTAATTTCGCGACGCCGCAGCTCATAAGCGTCGTTCCCTTTCCCTCATCCACAGACAGTCTTTTTATTTTGCTCGAAATCTTCAAGTTTTCTTTCCTCTTTTTGCATTGCATTTCCATCTTGCTGCGTGCGCCATTCATTCTTTTGTCTACTGTAGACGTTCATTCACTGCCCATCCGGCCCCAATAGAAAATAGACTCACTCGCTCTTTGCAATTTGCTCGTCGCACATTACGCTCTCTGCCATCTTTAAATCTTCACAGTTTCCATCATGAAGTTGACTTCGACCATCGCGGCTGGTGCTGCCCTTGCGGCCGGTGTTTCTGCTGGACAGAACAACTACCTCGGCTTCAACTCTGGCGCCACCCTGCCTGACGAATCCGCCAAATTCGAGAAGGACTTCTTGGCCGAGTTCACCACGGCCCAGAAGCTTCCTGGCGCTCCCGGCACCTTCAACGCCGTCCGTCTCTACACCAACATCCAGGCCTACTCCACAAACACTCCCATTGAGGCCTTCTCGGCTGCCATCAAGACCAAGACCAAGATCCTGCTCGGTGTCTGGGCCTCTGGTACCACCAACATCAACAATGAGCTTGCCGCTCTGAGCGCCGCTGTCAAGCAGTACGGCTCCGACTTCACCGACCTCATCATCGGTATCTCCATCGGTAGCGAGGACCTGTACCGTGACTCGGCCACTGGACGAACCAACAAGGCCGGTGTCGGCAACGGCCCCGATGAGATCCTCAGCTTCATCAACGCTTACAAGAAGGAGTTTGCCAACACTGCGCTTTCCAGCGTTCCCGTTGGACACGTCGACACCTGGGATGCTTGGGTTAACGGCACCAACAAGGAGGTTCTCGACGCTGTCGACTGGATTGGTGTTGACGAGTACCCCTTCTACGAGACCGGCAAGGGCAACAAGATTGACAATGCCGGCAAGCTCTTCAACTCGGCTTACCAGACCACGCTTGGCGTTGCCAACGGCAAGCCTGTCTGGGTCACCGAGACCGGCTGGCCCCTGACCGGCCCCAGCTGGGACGAGGCTGTTCCCAGCGTCGAGAACGCAAAGTCCTACTGGGACCAAGTTGGTTGCGAGATTCTGTTCAACAAGGTTCCCACCTTCTGGTACAACCTGCGTGACTCCAACCCAGCCAACACGGTCAAGTTTGGCGTCAACCAGAAGCTGGATGGCACACCTTCATTCAACCTGACCTGCCCTGCCGTGTCCAAGTCCACCAGCTCTTCCATCACCATGCCCACCGCCACCGGAAAGGGCTCTACCCCCTCGACTCTCGTCACCGCTCCCTCACAGACTGGCCAGTCCGGCGCTAACAACGCTGGAAGCGCCAAGGGTGCTGACTCCAGCTCTGATAGCTCTGCCTCCAAGACATCATCTAGCCCTGCCTCCACCTCCTCCCACAGCGCTGGTTCCATCAACAAGGTCTCCGGCGCTGCCTTTGCCGGTGTAGCTCTCGTTGCTGGTATCTTTGCTACCCTTTTCTAAACAAGGAGAGATGACGTATGGGACGATGATGTGCGGTCTTTATAGGGTGTTTGTGTGTAAATAAACTTTGTATTATCTCGAGGATAGTAGGATGACAATTTTTGTGGTGGAATTTAGACTAAACCAACGATAAGACTGGTTGGACAATAAATGCTTGGATATTTTTTCTTACCCTATAACTCTCGATCATCTGGTGTATTGTGTGTATGACTATGTATGATTCGCATTGTTAGTCAACCATAATAACAGTTTTTAGAAAAAGCTGAGTTGTTTATGTTTCTAGTCTCAATTACTCTGATTAAGTCTTCAATTCCAGGATTGCGAATTAATAATGCACCTAAACTTATACTAAAGATATCAATGAATAGTATATACAATTCTTCTCATTGTTCGTCAACTATAAGGGCACTATTAAGAGAAAAGCGAGTTCACAACATTTTGTACTTCCAAGTCTTTTATTTACTTTGGTATTCTTTATTAAAATCCAGCGCTTTGCTATCAATTCTCAATGCCGACCACAGAGAGGAGAGTGTATCTACATGCCCATCTAAATATTTGTCTATGAATCATTCTTATTGCCCATCCTTGTATGCTTCCCAAATCAATCTTTCTCCATCTTCATCTCACTTAAAGGGTTCCAGTGCGGAACAGCTCAAGGTGCTGCTTCTCCAAGCTGACACCCTTCTTCTCCAGGCCAGCCCGGGTCTGAATCATCCACTCCTCTGGTCCGCAGATGTAGTACTCGGCAGAGGCATCTTTCAGGGGCAGCACGCCATCGGCTTCCAGAGCGTCGAGATCCATGCGGCCCTCGTAGTCGTACTGCTGGCCCTTCTTGTCGCCCTCCTGGACGTTCTTGAGGAAGATCTTGGTGGACAGGTTGCTGTGCTTCTTTTCGGCCTCGCGGATGTACTTGCCGTATGTCACGGCTCCAGAGTGTCGCGCTCCGTGGATCCAAGTCACGGGACGAGAGGACTGAGAGGAGCTCTCCAGGATAGTATCGAGGATGGAGAGCAAGGGAGTAACACCGACGCCGGCGGAGAGCAGCACGATGGGAGCGGACGCAGGCGTTGCGGTGGCGCTGAAGGTGAACTCGCCGTGGGGAGGGCTGAGCTGCACGACGTCGCCGACCTTGTACTGCTCGTGCAGGCGCTGCGAGACCAGGCCGGCGACCTTGCCGCTGACGACCTCCTCGACGGTGTGCTGCTGGCCGTCCTTTTCCAGCTTGACGGTGACACGGTAGTGGTCGGCGCTCTGGCGCGGAGACAGGCTCAGGCTGAACTGGCGGCTCTGGAACACGCCGTTGAGCTCCGGGATGGGGATCTGCAGGCTGATGTACTGGCCCGGCAGGAACTCGGGCAGCGGCTTTCCGTCGACGGGCTTGAGGTAGAAGCTGGTGACGTTTTCGGCCTCGTCGACCTTGTCTTCAATGGTGAAGTCGCGCCAGCCCTGCCAGCCCGCCTCGGCGTACAGCTCCTCCTCGCGCTTGATGAAGATGTCGGCCAGCAGACCATAGGTAACGACCCAGGCGTCCTTGATTTCCGGAGTGAAGGCATCGCCGAGGATCTGCTGGAACGCGCCGATGAGGTACTTGCCGACGATGGGGTAGTGCTCCGGCAGGATGAAGAGCGAGACGTGCTTCTGGGCGATGCGGTCGACGGCGCCGGCGATTTCCTGCAGGCGCTCGATGTGGATGGCGGCGGCGAGGACGGCGTTGGAGAGGGCGATTTGCTGGGCGCCGGTCTGCTGGTTGCGCAGGGAGAAGTAATTTTGCAGCTCCGGGTGGGCGGCGAGCATGTTTGCGTAGAAGGTGGTGGCGACGACGGGGCCGTGCTCGCGGAGGATGGGGACGGTGGATTTGATGATGGCGATTTGGGCGGGGGTGAGGGCGGCCATGGTGGACTTTGGAGTTTTTGTGTAAGAATAGTTGTTGTAACTGTTCTATAAAGAGAGGGTTGACGACTTGTATATATAGGTTCTATATGTCTTCTTTTGTATGCAAGGGGGCTTTCGATGCTGATGGTTGCTGACGAGCAGAGTTGCCGTTGTACCGTGTATAAAGTCTAATAAGTGCAAGTCTTGTCTTGATTATTCTATAATAAGCAATCAAACTTAAACAACACTAAACAAATCAGAAAAAGAAGGTAGCTGTTGATTTTATTCGTGATAGTCTGAGTGAGTATGAAGCAAGATAGTTCCTAACTTCACCTCCCTTCAGTCCTTATATATCCCATGTAGGGACATCCCGAATGGCGAATAGCCTAACACCAAACCAAAAAAAAAAAAAAATCTCTCTTCTAGGCTCTTGCTCTCAAACGTTTTCAGCGTCTCCGCGCGCAGAGTCTCCTTCGGTTCCAATGGCTCCAATGGCTCCAATGGCTGTGGACCTTATTCCTGCTTACAACGCTCATATTGCAAAGCATTAACAGGAACACAGACTTGGGAGGTTCCACAAAACAGCCATTGCCCACTAATTTTGCGCCCCGGAGATCCGGAGACGCTGAATCCACGCGGCGCCCGGGCAAGCCCTTTTTTCCAACGTTTCAACGGAAGTGCCCTTTTTCTTGCTTATACGGACTGAATAATTTTTTCTTATAAGCAGCGCATGACGGGAGGGTTCCACCTCGGTGGGCTGATTGTTCGGTCCGGAGCGAAAGGCCACATGGAAACAGTCGGAAGGAGATGTTCACGGTCGGGCGTTTCAGGGGTCCCTTCTGTTTACGAGTTGCTTTTGATCTAGACTTGTCTTGCGGAGACGGGTTAGGATGGAAAGGTGATAGACTCCGAAACTGAGAAAAGAGTCATTAACACTTTATCGTATGTTTTTTGCCTCTCTTTCAGCTGTATCGTGGGGTGAATAGGGCTGATGTAGATATATCCGCGGAAAAAGAGAGGCTGGAACAATATTTGCGTATATCGTCATATAGGCGGAAGCTGCCGAAGAGTTTCTTGAATGTTTTTCTTGTCTGGTGACGAAGCTATCGTGATTGCTTGACACTAACATTTGACTATCGGAACGGCCATACGGAAGGCTTTTTTCCCCCCTAATCTTTATAATAAAATTTTCACACTATTTCCTTAGACTCTGTATATATATAAAAGAAGGAAAAAAAAAAGGAAGCCCAGTATCTCTTACGTGCAATTGCTAGGCTGTTGTCTGTAATGTTTTATATGACCCAGGTAAGCGTAGGTATGTATACCAAAGACAAGCAGAATGACGTTACAACGGCCTCGCTATGGCCGGGCCAATCACAGGCGTAGTAATGCATACATCATTGCATAAATCATGGAGCCTGCGACTTCTTTGTGTTTGTATTCCCTTGTGATTGAGTTATCAAAGGTCCACTTTGCATTGCATGAGTCCTTCACAGCATTTTTAACTCTCCCCAAGGCCTTCCTTTTACCTGGGTCTTGTATACCAAGCTTTAACCTCTTCAAGGTTCCACCCATCCATACTGACCGATATTGATACGCACTCTTCACAGCATTTTTAACTCTCCCCAAGGAGATGGTGTAATACAAAATCTTTTCTAGTCAGACGGTATTCGGACTTTTCGCATGAAAATTGTGTAACTGGTTTTCACGCAACCATATTTGTTTTAAGAACGTAATATCAGTGACACAATTCATAAATGCAATGTATGAGTTTCGAATCAATTACAGCAGCGCACATAAAATACAGAGGCGATGCTGCAATAGCACCCGCAACTTGAAGCTTGGCAAGCCCGCTTAGTCATCCGGAACGGGGAAATGTGGCCGTTGACGACATCCCCACCAAAGCTGTGTCCCTCCTCCAAATGAGGCATCGAGCTAGCTATGAACCACATCGCATAGCAGCTCAATCCTCCAACTATGCGGCGCACTCTCCAATCGGCCCTGCTGCTGGGCCTGTCGTCGCTCGCGGCAGCCGTCTTCCAGGACGAGGTTGATGACATCGACTTCCACCACGCCCTGGTCGGCGTCCCGCAGGTCGAAACCACCTTCTTCCACCGGCCGAAAAAGGACGAGAAAGCGAGCTATCTATACACGCTCAGCGATGTTGGCATCCTAGGAGCGGTGAACCCCAACTCGGGCGCTCTTGTCTGGCGCCAGCAGATTGCTGACGGCGTCTCCAATGGCGGCGGCCACTTGAGGGCCCCCGAGGGCGAGAATTGGGTGGCGGCCGCGTATGGCCAGCGAGTCCAGTCGTGGGCTGCATTGAGTGGCAGGAATCTGTGGGAGGTCGAGTTTGGCGGCGAGGTCAAGGACTTGGAGATCATGGAGCTCACGGAAAGCGCACGGAAAGACGTCCTCGTCCTGTCCGAGGAGGATGGCGTCACGGTTCTGCGGAGGCTCCATGGCGCTTTGGGAACTACTGTTTGGGAGTTCCGCGAGGTCTCCAAGGACATTCCCCTGCAGGTGTCCACCAGCCTCACAAATGTCTATGTTGTCAGTCTTCACGGATCGCCTTCTTCGTACAGCTTAAAAGTCACTTCCTTGGAGCTGGCTACTGGAGGACGAGTTGACCACTGGACAGTTGGCACTAAGGGCGAGGTCCACGAGTCAAAGGATGTCATGTTTGTTGGCGCAAACTCGGCAGCTCCGATTCTGGCATGGGCCAGCACCGATCTGAACAAGCTCAATGTCCATGTTCTCGGCACAAAGACGAAGCAAGAGTTCCCTCTCCTCGCCGATACCGTCTCCGTCACCATTCATGCTCCTCACTTGATCCAGTCTCAGCCCCATTTCTTGGTTCATATCCGCACCGCGACCGGCAACAAGGGCGAGGTCTTCCATACCGACTTGAAGACTGGCCGCATCACCAAGGCATACGAGCTGCCCCTGCTCCCCGGACTTGGCACCTTCTCTACCAGCTCCGAGGGCGCCAATGTCTACTTCACCCGTGTAACCGAAGACGAGGTGCTTGTGGTGTCTTCCGACTCTCACAGCGTCCTGGCCCGTAACTCTCTCGATCCCGAGGCCCGTACAGGAGCCATTCACGCAGTCTCTGAAGTGATCAAAAAGGCTGGCGGCAAAGAGTTTGCTATCCGCTCCGCTACTGTTACCGAGGCACAAGACTGGATTCTCATTCGAAACGGCAAACTCGACTGGACTCGCTATGAAGGCCTCAGTGGCGCTGTCGCTGCGGCCTGGGCGGAAATCCCAGAGGCTGAGAATCTGGCCAAGGTGCTTGCTGAGGAGGCACACACCAACCCCTGGAATGCCTATGTTCACCGTCTCACTCGACACATTAATGATCTTCAGTATCTCCCCGACTACCTTGCATCTGTCCCAACTCGAGTTATTGAGAGCATTACTGGTGGCGCCGTCCTGGTATCAAAGACGGAGGGCCTTCATCGGGACTCTTTTGGTTTCAACAAGATTATTATCCTTGCCACCCACCGAGGTCGATTCTATGGTCTTGACACGGGAAATCATGGCCAAGTTGTTTGGTCAGCTGATGTATTTCCTCAATTTCTTGGAGCCGTTCTGGACGTAAAGGGCATTGTAGTCAATGACTCGGAGGGCACAGTCACCGTCCGAGGCTCCAAGGGTGAATTCGCTGTCATCACGGTGGCTGATGGACACATTCTCGAGGTCCACTATGGCGATGACTCGGCTGTTGTCTCTTCTACTGCAGTCGTTGGGAGCGATGGCAGCAAATGGCTGCTTGCTTTTGATCAAGATAGAAAGCCAATTGTCGATGCCCTAAAGGATCGCTCTCTTGACCAGACCATTGTTATCCGAGACGAGAATGACATCATCAAGGGAGTCAAGTTCTCCGACGAAGACGGCCAAGTTGCTAGGAATGAGCTTTGGCAGCTTCAGTTGCTCCCAGGCCAGAAGATTGCGAGCATCGCCAAGCTTCCATCCCATGACCCCATTGCCTCTATTGGCCGTGTGCTGGGAGACCGAACTGTCAACTACAAGTACTTGAACCCCAACATCATTGTCGTCGCGGCCATTGATAACGCTGCGGATGCTCTTTCGGTTCATGTCGTAGACACTGTTTCCGGCCAGCTGCTTGCATCGCAAGTATACGATGGCGTGGATGGCGACAAGGACATTTCCTGCACACTGTCCGAGAACTGGTACAGCTGTGCCTTCTTTGGACAGTATACTCTGGACGACGGCACGAATCGAGATATCAAGGGATACCAGGTTGTTGTATCTGACTTGTATGAGTCGCCAAACCCGAATGATCGTGGCCCTCTGGGAGAGGCGGAAACTTTTTCGCCTCTGGATCCCGTGGATACACCGACCGGTGTGCCTTTGCCATGGGTGGTGTCCCAGACTTGGATCATCTCGGAGCCCTTGACCAACCTGACTGTGACTGAGACGCGCCAAGGCATCACCAACCGCCAGCTACTGGCCTACTTGCCCGAGTCTCATGCTATCTTGGGCATCACTCGTCATGGAATTGATCCTCGACGGCCTGTCAATCGGGATCCGTCTGCGGCGGAGATGGAAGCAGAAGGCCTCATGAAGTACACACCCGCCATCCAGATTGATGGCCGCAACCTGCTCTCGCACGAGCGCGATATCGTTGGTGTGAGGGGCATCCTGGCCACGCCGGCCGTGGTCGAGAGCACAAGCTTGGTGGTGGCCTATGGCATTGACGTCTTTGGATCTCAAGTTGCGCCCAGCGGAACATTTGACATCCTGGGCAAGGGATTCAACAAGATCACTTTGCTGGGTACAGTGGTGGCGCTCACATGGGGAGTAGTGATTTTGGCGCCAATGGTACGTTTGTTCTTTTATACGAGTAGATTTATGTACTAACCATTGTGACACAGGTCCGGAGGAAGCAGATCAACCGAAAGTGGGAGGCGTTCTTGTAGAGACGATGCGTTAGAGGTGATAGATCATGGACATCGTGCTGGATTTATTAATAGGTAGCGCGCACTCTTGCTTTTAAGGCTCGCGCTTTAATGTGTATGAACAGAATATGAATGAAAGGTATTTCCGTTATCATTTTGGATAACAAGTTGTCAAACAAGTTGTCTATTCTAGCTGGTTTATCGTGTGCCCTTTTCTTTATCTTACATCTTTCCCTATACAGAGTACATCTATTCTCTTGGCTACTTACGCTTCAGGCCAGTTACCAGTGATTGTGACACAGCCTCCATTCGAACTCTGGCCAATGCCGTCCTCGCTCAGAAACGCCGCGTATCTGGCCACATGGCTGATGGGCACATTGATCGTCTTAGGATGCGCCTCCTTGATGGCATTGAGTCCCTCCTTATGCATGCCCGACGCAAAAGCATCAGTGATTCTCGTCTCGCTCATGCCGCCGGGCTGCAGCGCCACGGAATAGACGCCCCTGGGGCCGTAATAGCCCGCTGTGTGCTTCGTCATGGCCACGAGGCCGTGCTTGGAAACGGTGTATGCCACTCCGGCAGTGAGGCCCGAGAAGGACGCTGTCGAGCCAATGTTGATAACAAGACTGCCCTGCTCGCCTCCGCCACGCTCCTCTGCACGAGCCAGCAAATGTGGCATGGCGTGCTTGGTGACATAGTACGCCCCCGTGAGGTTGACATTCAGGATAGACTCCCACATGCCCGTGTCGCAGTCACCTACTGGCGCAAACTTGTCCATGATCCCGGCGTTGTTGACGACGACGTCGATGTGGTGGAAGCGCTGGACGGTCTGCTCGACGAGCAACTGGACGGATTTCTCGTCTGTGACGTCGACTTGCACTGCGAGCAGGCGGTCGGGGGAAAAGGTGGCGGAGAGCTCGGAGAGGGTTGTGGCGAGGCGCTCGGGGTTGATGTCGCTGATGGTGACGGAGGCGCCGCGGGCGAGGAGGGTTTCGGCGATGCAGCGGCCGAGACCGCTGGCGGAGCCGGTGACGAGAATGACTTTGGTGGAGAGGGACATGGTTGACATGAGATGGAGTGGAAGTGGTTGATGAGAAGTTGGAGAGAAGAGCAAGGTGTATATATATTGTATGTTGTTTGTATATAGGCAGATGGAGGAGATGATCGACAAACTCAAGGCAACGGCACAGCCTCTTCTTATACCCATGAGCCCACGACCCTCTCAGCACTCAATCTACTCCTGAATCTCTCCCATCTAGGCAAACACGCTTGCCTGACAAACCCGCCTCACTTTCTCAAAAAAACAGGATCACCAGGCTCCAACACAAACGTCTCATCCAACTCTCCCGCCCCCTGCATCACCAACCGCTACTGAAAAACAAGCTGGCTTGTGCTACTGTCCGTGAGGCCTCGCCTTGTCCCCCAAAGGCCGCTCTATACGCGTATGTAGACGTAAAAAGAAAAGATTGGGGGGGTGAGACAAGGTAACAAAGCCACCCCCAATGCGATTTATTCCCCCTCTCAGCCGCACCTGCGGAGGATTCCGATTTTTTGACTAACAACAAAAACTGCGGCTGCAGGTTCGCAGCTGAAAGAGAGGGATAAAAATCGGTAGTGGCTCTTAACTGGGTTTAGTTGCCAATGTCGGCAAGGCAGCGCCTTGTCTGACTCTTTTATTTTCAGCTGTAATACGTAAGGCGGATTTCCAGGCCATGCGGGTTCCTGCGGCTGCAGAGCCTTATTCCAGGCTGGAATCATCTTTGTTATGACTGTTTCTTTTTCTTCAGTGTCGAGATGCGAATACGATGATATTGATCTTCATGGCTCAACTTATACGAAATACGCGTATTGAGTTATTATCACGTAGGATGGACATGGAGTGTTTTATGGGTATCGACCTGAATACGCGTATAGACCCCATGGAGTTGCGACTTAGTCGCAACTAATGTGTGGAACTTGACCTGGCACTTTCTGTTTTGGACCGAGAAGATTGTTATCCATGCTTAAGTTGTATCATTTATGGAGCAATCTATCATGTTCGTTGTGTCTCATTATAAAATCCAAGCCAAAGTGATCAAATAGCCCATGCAAAACTAAATCGAAAAAAGTCAAATCCTCTAACATTCCTCCTTCCAGTTGTCGCCAATCCACTCGGCCAACTTGGACGTCAGGGTCCCGTCCATATACGGCTCTATATCCTTGGCGTTATAGTCGCCGCCGCTAAACTTGAGGGCAGGGATGATCCATGGCTGCAGAAAGTCGAGGAAGACAAAGTCCACCGTCTTGGGCTCTTCCTCGGCCGAGAAGCCAATTTTGGCCTGGATGCAGTTGGGCACGGCATAAAAGTCTATTGGCTTGTGCACGGTATCATCACCGTCCTTGCCAATGTCGTCCTTGGTCGTGTAGCCGCCAAAGAGATCGTCATTTCCGTCCGAGGTATCGACCCCACGGAGTTCAAGGCGAGCTTCCGTCTCGTCCGCATCTTCGTCAACGTGATCAACGGTTTCAGTTTCGTCTACGCTATCAAAGGTGGGACGCGGGTACATCAGTTGCGGAATAGTCAACTGTCTCGTGTTCGGCAACCCATTGACAAAGATCCTTGTTTCACTGTTGAGAAGGCCAAGGACCTTTTTGGCAATATCATAGGGCACATCGGGGACAAATTGGAAGCCACTATTGAACGGGCTCACGGTGAAGGTATCGTCACGCGTAAACGGACCCTTGAAGATGTCGAAGCGGACGCCGCCCGTGTTCACAATGGCCAGCCGAGGCTTATCCTTCCTGTCCTTGCTGGTCACGATGTCGGGGAGTACATCTTCCTCGAGCCAGCTGAAGATGCTGTCTTTGCTGGGGTACGGTGCCCTGGTCATCCACAAGTCTCGGGGCGCGCAGCCATATCGATGGCCGAGGTTTAGGCTCTTGCGGGCCTCTTCAATCATCTTGCTGACTTTTTGGCCCTCCTTGGTGGGAAAGGATGTCTCATTCAAGCCGGTGTGATAGTACATTCCGAGGAGATTGTTGTCCAAGTACTTGCGAGTGAAAGAGGGGCCCTTCTTAATCTCTACCTCAGTGTTGTCTCCGTCCTTGTCACCATCCTCGTCACCATCCTTGGGATGCTTCTTGGCGATCCCATCAATGGACATCCAGCCAATGGTCTCGAGGTAGCGGCCAGAGGCAATGGCAAGTGATTTGGAGTCATAGCTCACCGCGTCCCGTATATGCAAGTGGCCGCCAAAAAATGCAATGGGCGTATCCCAGTCCTCCTTGCGGATCGCTGTGAAGATGGTTTTGAACTCTTCCATCCGCACACCAACATGGCCAACGACGACAAAGAGATCGGGCTTTTCCTTGATGGCATCCTGGAACCATCCCTCCTTGACAGTGTCGGCCACCTTTTGGACGACGCTGTTGTTGGCATTGAGGTCAAAATCAAATATGAAGCCAAAGGACACAATGTTGAGGCCCAGGTTCTTGGTCTTGAATTTGCGATACCTCTGGGCCTGAGGAATCCGCTTGCCACTCTTGGGATCGATGTAGTCTAGATTCGATGCGACATAGTTTTCTTTAAAGTTGGGCACAGTGGTGTTGTGCTCCATGTCGATGGAATAGGCCTTGTACAGCTCATGATTACCGGTGCTGAGAATGTCAATCTTTTGCTGGGCAAAGATGTCGTACTGATAGAGGCCCTTTGGGGTGGAGCTGTCGTAGATGCCACTGCCTTCGATGCGGTCGCCGGTGTCGATGAGGAGGAGGTCGGCGCCTTTGTCGTCGGCCAGCTTGCGCATGTGCTGGGAGAAGGAGACGTAGTCGCCCCAGTCGGCGGAAAAGGAGGGCCTGAAATGCAGCTGTTAGCATGATGATGCCAGTGACGATCGCTCTAAAAGGGGGCCAAGTCGGAATCGTCTTACTCTAGGAAATGCCCGCTGACCCAGGAATGAGTGTCTGTCGTGTGTAGAAAGTTGATCTGCCCCCAGGTTAGGTCTCGCATGGGCGCCGCGACGGGCTTCACAGCGCCGGGCTGCGCGGCCTGGACAGCAGCAGCGGCGACGAGGCCGCCGAGGAGGGATGATTGGATCATGATGGAGCGGGGGCCGGGAGATCAAGATTCCATTGGAGAAGAAGAGAATAGATGCGTGATGATGCTGATGGCGGTGACTGATGGTGATAACGATGATAGGGAGAGTTCAGAATAGCTGCGACAGGAGTCGAGCTCTAGGTGGTGTCCATCAAGGTTCAGGTGACATCAGCGGGCCAGGCACGAGGACAGCCACTCGCCACTGGGGAAATTACAGTGCTGATGCCAGTGACAACACCGCCGCTGACTCAGCCCAGTTGTGCTGCAGCTACCCTATCACTTTTCATTCACCTTCATGTTCACTTTTGACTTATAACGTGCATCAAAGCAATGGTTAAAGAAAGAATTATAATGACAAAGAAATGCACCTCTTCCTTATTGTACTGTGTGCACATGCTCTCTATATATACAGCTGAATAAGACCCAACTACTCCCGAATTACTCATCCGTCTTGGATGTCAACACCAATTTGTCGATCTCATATACCCCAATAAACTTCAGAAAGGCCAGCACCTGCGGCGCCGTCCCGCATCCGTGTCCCGTCGGCGCCGTCGCATTAAAATCGACCAGTGGAATCAGCGAGTTCGCAATCTTGGCGGAAACGGTGTACGTCGTGTTGAGCCTCAAGTTGCGTCCAATGACCTGCAGCATGTCCAGCCCAGACTCTGGCCTTACCGTGACGAGGCCTGTTGGCGGCGGGCTGCCGTTGGAAGTGTACTTGGACGATGGAGATGAAGCTTCAGTGAGCAGCTTGTTGAGCGCGGGCTTGTTGAAGAGGCCCTGCTTGCCGAGATTCTGCGTGCCGTTGCTGGCCTTGGAGACGGCGCCCGAGACGTAGATGAGCGCCTGGCCCTCTTGGCCGACGTTGATCGTCTTGATGACTCGTGGCGGAGAGGCCGTCAGGTCGATAAAGTCGACCGTGTCCGAGTGCTCGTTGACGACGTACAGGCGGGTGTTGTCCGCGCTGGGCCACAGGCCGTGAGGCTCGACGCCGCTGGCCGCGATGGCGCCGAGATAGACGGGCATCTCGGAGGCCTTTGGTTGGGAATACATCTTGGTCTCGTTGGTCGCCGCAACGGTCACGAAGCCGTGCACCGTGTTGTTGATCACAGCAAACTGCGCGTGGTTGGTCTCGGCCCCGGTGTCCAGCGCGCCAATCACTTTTCGAGACACGAGGTCGATGACGGACACTTTGCCGACCATCTTGTGCGCCGCCCAGAGCCGCTGCCCATCCGGCGAGATCATCATGTCGGACGAAAAGAGGTCGGCGAGGCCCGTGATGTTGGCGACGACGCGGCGCTGCGCAACGTCGATGACGGACAGCGACGGCGACCGGATGTGGTTCGCATGCGCCGTCCTGCCGTCCGGGCTGAAGACGACCTTGCTGGGCCCGCCGTACGACTCGACGTAGCCGACGACGCCGCCCTTGAGGCCGTCTACGATGTCAATGCGGTCGACGCCGCGCGTGCCCACCCAGACGTGGCGGTTGTCGTGCTGGAAAAAGGCCTCGTGCGCGTTGCGGTCCACAAACGACTGCGACACGACGCTGTTGTCCTCGGTGCGGAACACCGTCACCGTGTTGCTCGTCACGGCCAGCGACACGACCAGCTTGCCGTCGGGCGAGAAGCCCAGCCCGTGCGATCCCACGGCCTTGACATACTGCGGGTTGAGGTTGCTGCCCAGTCGCAGGTCGCCCAGGCTGATGGTGCCGAGGACGGCGCCGGTGCTGGGCTGGATGACGGTGATTGTGTTGGACGACTGGTCGCCGGTGTAGATGCGGTCGGAGCTGGAGATGGGAGCGCCTCTGCCGGGGAGGGCGGAGGCCTGGTCCCAGGCCGAGGCGCCGGCGTTGAGGCTGAGGGCGAAGAGGGCGTATATCGTCCTTGATAACATCTTGGAGATATCTGTTGATAATTGACCTCTTTGACGATTCTGGGTCTTTATCCAGTTTGTTTATTTATTTAACTGCGAATCAAGGGATGCATAGGCAGTATACCGGAATAGGACTGAGGCTGTCCCTCATTTATATTGTGTAACAAGCAAGACATATTGCGTGCCTTTCAACTTGGACGGAAGTCGGCTTGTGCCCTGCTCCATCTCTAAGACTGTTGACCCCGAGCCTGCTCCGTTATAATGACATGGTGTAGCGATGCAGAGTTGCATTGACTAGGATGAGATCAATTCAGGTACTAGATTGGCATCCCAATTTAATAGTACGAGAGAGCTGTGCTTTGAGGTCTTTGATTCATGGAGCATCTTATTGGTTCCGCGGCAGACGCTGCAAACGCCGTAGACGCCATTGTCTAATACATAGCGGCATGCTCTCGATTAGGAAGTCTGCGCTGCTCTATGGCTACTACTTTGCTTATGTATATGATTTATCCATTCTACTGACATTGCAAATTGTTAACGGCTTTTACTAGTATCTTGATTAGAATCAATTGGCTTTCCTGGTACCTGACACGCAAGACCCGGCATCTACAAAAAGTTAATACGTAATAACTCCCGAGGTCCATAACATAACCCGCCCCTTACAAGTACATATCACGCCTCATAGCATCCCGACTTACAACGACCACCTCGCAAACTCCTTCTCCAGCAACCTCCAAACGGGCACCTTTTACTGCCGTGATATGCGCTCACGTATAGTCCCGTCACACTTTCAAGCAAATAGGAATATTTCTCCCTCTTAACCGCGGACCCCTAGGCTAAAATCTGACTGTAAATCACTTGAGAGTGAATTCAAGAGTGGGCACTGTTTTGGTTGATGTGAGCGAATCAACGTTTGATGTGATATAGGCTGGTTCGCTGTATAGGAAGTAGATCTGGAGTCCGTCCACCTATAAAACGGTGCATATGTTAACATGGGCTTATCGGTATTATTACCGGTATTAGTGAACTATCTGATAGAGGAAACTGTGAATGTGAAGCGGCTGTCGGGTCGCGGCTTGGTTTCAGTGCCGGTGGATATGAGAGTCTGGCCGACATCCGATCTGATGAGATAAGTTGGGGTAGGGTGTGTGCGCATCCATGTTATTATGATATCCAAAACGCTTGATCTATTTTATTGGGATTTTACTTTTCTGTCTCGCTGAATAGCCCCATGCGTTGTCATCTCTCTTCGCCGCTGCCATTATATCTTATATCCAAAAATCCAATATGTAAAGATTAATCAGTGCTCAGTCCCGCTGTTGTTCAACATCTCTATCCCCAGCCTCATCTCCTTGTCCATCTCTTTCATCCTCATCCTCGCTGTCATACCAGTCATCGCTTTCCAGGCCATTACCCCGGATAAATATGGATCCTATGCAGCCCAAAAAGGCCAAACCCCCAAACAAGCTCCATGCAAGAGCCTCGCCTTTTGGTTGGATTCCCATGGATAGGGTAAATATGCCACCGGAAACAAAGGGACCAAAGCTGCGGCCTAGAGCTGATAGTGTCTGGGCTACACCGTTCAGAGTCCCAAGACTGTTGTGAGAAGGCGCCGAATTGGTAATCTATATGCTGTGTTAGATATTTCATCATTCGTTTGTAATTCGGGGTAGACTTACCAGGAGCATCACGCATGACAACCCCCCAACTGCGCATATAGTCTTCAGTATCAGCACCGCGCCAAGCTCGATATAAAGCCACATGGTCCCACTGCCGATGCCAAAAAGGGGCTCGTCGTCGACGTAGCCAACCCAGGGCATCGCAATCATGGCAATCGCCAGGCCAAACAGCGCGAAACGATAGGTCCCCAAGTTTCCAAACCGGCTTTTGAGCGGCTGGAAGAGAAATGCCTGGAACACAATGGTGATCAAGCCGGCGAAGCTCAAGCTGATGCCAATTTTACTGGGGGAGAGATCTCGGCCCGCTGGTGAGGGAGAAGATGCAAAGATGGGATATAGGCTGTTGAAGCTGATGTTGGCCAGCTGGAATATAAGATAGGTAACCAGGAGCGTCATCGTAGTGCGGTTAAGGAGCTCGTGCCACGGTGTAGGCTGCTTATGGTTTTGGCCTGGCGGCTTTGATGCCTCGAGTCCCTCTTCGTCTGGGAGGTCACCATCATTGTCATCAGAGCCCGCATCGTCAGAGCTTGGCGATAATAAGGGCTGGGTCTGGCTCGCTGCCTGAGGGCGAGGCCACCTCGTGCTCCACGACTCTCGTCGCGGCTTCGTGAGGCTAAAGAAGTTTGATATGCGCGCCGACATGCGAGTCGTCCATGTTGGCTTCCACGGGTCCTGGTCGACATCCTCCAGCGTCTCTTCAAACCATATCCCCACCACTATAACGGCCGTCGCAAGAACGGCAGCGCTCAGAATACTCGGGCCAAGATAGGGAAAGTCTTTGCTCACGCGTCCCACCATGATGCCTCCCAGCGCAGGACCTGTAAGACCTCCCAGCGAGTAAATGATAGGCAGATAAGTGAACGCCCTACTCTGGTTCGACCGGTCAGTCACCTCGCCCAGAACCGTCGGCACACACGCAGCGTTGCCGTTGAGCATGCCCATGAGGGCCTGGATCAGGATCATCTGCCAGTACTGCTTGCAGAAGCCAAAGGCGCAGAAGCAGCCCATGAGCGAAAAGGTGCCCGCCAGCAGCACGGGCTTCCGACCAACAATGTCCGACATGTAGCCCCAGAGGAAATTGGTCGAGAGCTGCGCCAAAGCAAAGGCGCTGGCCAAGAGGCCGACATACAGGCCAATCTCATCCGCTGGGATGCCGGGCATGGACGCCACCATCCTGGGGAGATACGGGCCAATGGAGTTGAGCGCGGTTTGCTCGGCCAGAGAGAGGAAGGCCAGGAGTAGAAGCTGGCGGATGGGCAGCGGCGTCTGGTCGTCGGCGGACGAGGAGGTGGACGAGGAGTCGGACTCGACGGCGAAGCGATCGCTCTCGGCGTCGGAGGAAGAGCCCGGCGGCTTGGGCGGAGGAGTCGGAAAGGTCTGATATTTCGGGATTGAGGGCCGTCGCATGGCAGCGAGGGTAGGGATGGGCGCGCCGGCGTGGAACGAGCCTGAGGATCTGGAGAGTGACCGAGGATTTCCAGACCCAGGCCGGGAGCTGTTGCTGATGGAAGGGTGCGTCATGATGTCTAGTCGGCGCCCGGCGCTGAAGTTGCAGCGCTCTTTTCGCAGTCTTTGGATATGAATCCAATCGAGTCTATATAGCTTCGAATGCGCTCTTCTTCTTCGTCTCGCAGATCGTCGGTGATTTATTCGCGGATAATCGTCGTCGTCGTCGTTTCTTGGGCCAGGATGGTTCGTCAGACTGCGGGCGTGTGAGCCAGAACCTGAGCGACAATCTGCCGCCACAAGATCATGCTGGACAAGTAAAAGAAGAAAAGGAGAAGAGCGCAAAAAGAAAGGAGCCAGCAGCAATGATTTGAGCACGCTTCGAGGGGGATCTAGGTAGATTGAGGGCCGTTGTGAAAGAGGAAAAAGGGCCAGGCGAAATGAAAGACGTCAGGCCCTGGCGGAAAGCTTTTTGAATGTGGGGACCTGGAGCTCGGTGATAACGCCCGCTATCAGGTGGGAAGTTGCCCGATTTGGCGGCGGGCCGGGGCGTTGAACAGTGCTTGTTGCATTCCTTTGGATGCTGTTCATACTGAACTTGAGCCTTTCTTTAATTATTAGTAGTCTTCTCTTCTCTTCGTATTATCAATCCCACATGGATCCCTCAGGATTAATGGAATGCAGCAGTTCCGAGTCTGGTTCCGCCGCTTTGAGCGGCTCGGACCGTTAGCGGGTCTTGAGCACTGTGGGAGTAAAGACTTGGGAGCGGATAGCAAGTAGGCTGGATGGATTAATTAACATTGAATCAATCTATCAATGGATGAGAATATTTTCAATATCCATCAAGCAGATCAGGCTCATACTCTCTAATCATCATGAATAACTTCTGAAAAGACAGCACCTCGGCGCGACAGATCAGTGGGGGCGCATGTCTCACGCTTGGCTTTGCTACTCGCTTACACAAGTTGGTCGTCAGAATTGTCTTGAGTGAAGGCCGTTGTATTCATGGTCGAGTAAAAGGCCGTTGTCCGTTGTTGAGCATGTATTTCTTATTCGGTGTATAATGTACCCCTCAAATAAGTATCTAGTTGCAATTCTCATTCATTGTCTTTGCTCCCTTGTAGTGCTCTATTTGATCCATCACCATTCATCGCCCACACATATCACAAGTGCGCGAGTCAGATTATGCAGTAGCCATATGATCCGTAGCGTAAATTGATAAACTCTTAAAGCTTATGTACGTCAGTGTACAACGTGTAATAGGCAATTGGGCCAATCGGAATACAAAGACAGAAAATGCCCCGTAAATATCTGACCATGTTGGAAATAACATGTCTTGGCTCGTAAAATAGGCGTGGCCATCGACACTAAGAAGCGCTCTGCAATGAGCTCTCTCATTATAGCAAACATTGAATGAACAATTCCACCATGATGTTTTCTGCGTCTTGAATGAGATGAATCAATTGAAATCTATAGTGTACTCGATTCGCTTTTGCCTCTATAATGGTAGGAAAGCTATCTAATGCCTGCGCCAATACCCATTTATGCATTACACTGGATATTCAACCGATAGCCTTCTTTTCCAGATCAAGTACTCTACGGCGACTGCAGCAAAAATGAGACCCTATTTCATTCCAAAGATATTTCCTAGTGCAGTCGCAACTGATGCTAACTGGGGAAATATCTGGTACTATATCTTGCCCCTTCACAGTAGTAGGTATGCCCACAATCCAAATTGCCGCCACAACCCTCACCCCAGATAATCGGCGTATTATTGTATTTGAATAACAGAAAGAAAGTCCACTGTTATTTTTACCATTAACCTATAGAATATTGCAATATCCTATCATGGCGTATGTGAAATTGGAGAAAACCAAGCCGCCACTATCCGTCTACGCCCTCTAACAATTTCTGCGCCCTCCAAGCACAAGGTCCGCATCGGCAGCGAACCCCCCGCGATAGCCCACCAGCATTTGCCATTTGGGAAGATAAAGTTTCTTGTAAAAGCTAGATGGGTAGTATTCTGGAACACCAGCCGTGCCAATCAGCGAGAGTGGATGTCTTGCTAGTGATGCAGGATCTGCGGGAAATGGGGGGAAGTGGCTTGTTTTGTGTGGTTGGATTAGCGTAACGCTGAATGATACAGATAGTCTCATGGATCTCATGATTGCCATGCATGCTTGATCAGCCTGAGATTCTTTTTGATTGTCCGAGATCGGTTGCTGGATAGCCGAGGATAACGACATGCTTTGATTGCCATCTGTATGGTAATAACGAGACGGTGATGTATATAAGTCATGAATACGACGTCCTTCTGATACCGACTTAAATACAATTCATATCATTCAAAGCAAATAATTTCGACAACAACAATTGATATACCCAATTCCATCATCCATCCATCATCTTTCTGGTATCTCTCTCTTCCAAACATTTCGTTCCCCAAACAAAGAGTCATCGCATCATCCCACATCCAATGGCCCTCAATATCCCCGAGCCCTTTGCCAGCATCCCCTACGAATCCCTCCTCTTCGGCCCTTCGCCCATCCAGCATCTCCCCCGTATATCCGCTGCCCTCGGCGGCAAAGTCACCGTCTACGCCAAACGCGATGACTGCAACTCGGGCTTTGCCTACGGAGGCAACAAAGTCCGCAAGCTAGAGTACACCCCCTCTTTACATGTATAGCATCATCTGCTTATAGATATGACTAACAATTCATTCAGATACCTCGCTGCTGAAGCCCTCGCCCAAGGCTGCGATACCCTCGTCTCTATCGGCGGCGTCCAGTCAAACCATACCCGTGCCGTCACCGCCGTCGCCGCCAAGCTGGGCCTCAAGGCCGCCACCGTCCAGGAGCACTGGGTCGACTGGGAAGACGCGCACTACGAGAAAGTCGGCAACATCCAGCTGTCGCGTCTCATGGGCGGCGATGTACGTCTGGACCCGTCGCCCTTTGGCATTGAGCATAAACCCACGCTGGCCAACCTGAAGGCCGAGCTGGAGGGCAGTGGGAGGAAGCCGTATTACATCCCCGCGGGGGCGTCGGATCATCCACTGGGCGGGCTGGGATTTGCGCGGTGGGCGCTGGAGGTGGAGGCGCAGGAGAAGCAGATGGGCGTGTTTTTCGATACGGTGGTTGTTTGTGCGGTGACGGGGTCGACGATGGCGGGCATTGTGGCGGGATTCAAGCTGGCGCAGGTGAAGCTGGGATCACCGAAGCGTAAGATTATCGGGATTGATGCTTCGGGGAAGCCAAAGGAGACGTTTGACCAGGTGCTGCGCATTGCAAAGTTCACTGCTGCCAAGATTGGGTTATCGGAGGCGGATATCACGGAGGCGGATATCGTGCTGGACGAGAGGTTCAATGCCAAGGTGTATGGTATTCCGGATGAGACGACGATTGAGGCTATGAAGTTTGGTGCGCGCACGGAGGCTTTCATCACGGATCCGGTGTATGAGGGGAAGAGTCTGGCGGGCTTAATGGGGCTGATTAGGAATGGGGAGATTGCGGGTGGGAATGTGTTGTATGCGCATCTGGGGGGACAGATGGCGTTGAATGCGTATTCCTCTCTTTTAGACTGATTGATATTGAATTCGATGCCGTGTTTTGAGTCTCTGAAACTTGGTAATAAATGTTTTTCTTTATAGCCCTTCTATGTTGTTGTATGGTTAATATATCTTGATGCCCCTTTTAAACTTTATTTCTTCATAATATCACCATGTGCCGGTAACTCGCAAATCCCTCGAGCTCTCTCCAACCGAAAAAGTAAACTGCCCATCTGGGATAATCCAGTTCTGTCTCTCCACATCCCAGTAGCTCAAATCTCTCCTCGTCAGCACAAACTCCACCGTCTTCGATTCTCCCTCTGCAATTAATACCTTTTCAAATCCGCGCAGAACTCTGATAGGGAAGTCGATCGTGTCTGACTCGGGATATGAGAGGTAGAGCTGAGGAACGGCTTTGCCGCCACGTTGTCCCGAGTTGGTCACTTCGACAGTCACAGTTACGAGGGGTTCCCACAGCGATGGGTTGCCGCCTTCGCCGCCGCCTGCACCGGATACGGGCTGCTGCACGTCGTAGCCGTCGGGATAAGGATACTTGCCCTTTTTGATGTCATCGACAGAATCAATGTATGGGTAGATGTACTTTTTCAGTTTACGAATGCCCGCCGGGTACAATGCCTCTTTGGCGTCGGGAATGGTAGAGGGAAATTGCGGCGGCTCAATCTCAGGTGCTGGTCTCTCGTCTGGGAGAGGGGATTTCGGTTTCGCACCGGTAATTTGGAGATTGTTGTAATCGAACCGAGTATACGAAAGCCCGAATCCAAATTCGTACCGTGGTTCGATGTCATACTTGTCATAGTGTCTATAGTCGATGAAGAGGCCCTCGTTAAAGTCTTGCTGCGGGACAGCTCCGTTTGGCAAATACATGACTTGTCCACCTTCTCCGTAATCGCTGAGAGACTTGCCAATGGTGTAAGGGAGCTTGCCACTTGGATTCTCCTCTCCAAATATGATGCTGGCGAGGGCGTTTCCACTCTCTTGGGCAGGCAAGTTGGCAGAAATGAGTGCCTTCACACTGGGAAGATCGATCCATGCATCCACAGTCACAGGCCCGACGGAGTGAATAATGACAATTGTTGTTCCTGATCCGCCGCCGCAGTTGGCTGCAACTTCAGTGACGAGCTTTTCGCCGCCTTTTTGCGCCAAGAGGTCGTTGCGGTCACCGCGAACTCCCTCCCAGTTGCGATACCCCTCGCCCGAGTCAGAGTTGATGAAGACCAAGCAAATGTCTTGGTTTTTGACAACATCTGCTGCTGGTTTGTCATTCTTCAGATGCTCCGTGAGCTGCACCTTTTCCTTGTTGAATTTGCCACGGAGAGCCTCGACTGGAGAGACCAGGTAAGGAAACTCGACCGCGCCGCTTCCCCAGCCAGAAGCAAGAGTACCTTGGTTGCATGATCTGTCCTCGCAGTAATTCGGTCCATTGCCAGGGCCTGCGTCTTCTCCAAAAATGCCAATCTTTACCTTGCCATCTCTCTTGGTCGACTTTGGGTCATTGCCGCCCAGAGCTCCATCAACATTAAGTGGAAGAACACCTTCGTTCTTGAGCAAAACAGTCCCCTCTATGGCGATCTGACGAGACAGGGTCGAATGATTGGCTTGCACGTTGACAAATTTGTTGACCTCGATTCTATCTTGAGGCGATGAACTGGCGGGCGATGTGACACCCATCTTGTCATTTGTCCACGAAGAAAAGTTGGGTCCTTTCCTGTCAAACAGGGACATATCGTCTTGCCCAAGCTGATACCACGACGCGACTATTCGAACAACCATGTCGTTTAAACGCTCAAGAGGCAGCGAGCCGTTGAGAACAGCACGGGAGAGGTTGGGTCCCCAGAGCGAATTGCCGTCTTGCCAACGCAAACCATCTCCCGGCATGCTCATGTCCAATCCAGCCAAGGCACTTCCCACGCCTGATCGCTGCGCAAGCCAGTCTGACATGACGAAGCCCTGGAAGCCCAGCTCGTCCTTGAGAATGCCATTGAGCAGCTTGGAGTTGCCACAGGCGTATGAATTGTTGACCATGTTGTAGGAGCACATGACGCTGGCAACGCCGGCCTTGACGGCATCGCCAAATGGCCAGGCGTACACCTCGTGCAGGGTGCGGTCGTCGATGTTGGACGAGAGGGCGTTTGGCAGCACCCATTCCCACGCCTGGCGGAAATGCTCCTGCTCGTTGGCGATGAAGTGCTTGATGGTGGCCATGACGCCCTGGTCCTGGATGCCTTTGATTGTCTGGGAGCCAGCAACGCCCTGGAGGTATGGATCCGCGCCGAAGCCCTCCCAGTTGCGTCCGCCAGCAGGCATCCTGCCCAAGGGGCCAATGGCCGGACCCAGCAGCACATTGATGCCCTTGCCGCGAGCCTCCAGTGCGTGAGCTTTGCCACGTTCATACATGAGCTCCCTATTCCACGTCGCGCCGACTGTGACGCCAGCCGGGAAAGCCGTGGCATTGTCTGCGAAACGGATGCCCAGCGGCCCATCTTGGAGAGCAAGCGCAGGGAATCCAACGTGAACTGCTGGCGCCGTGTTGCCCACAGCGAGGCCCATGCTCCACCCGGTGCCCGTCGTGATGTTGACCTTTTCCGGCAGCGTCATCTTGGACACCATCTCGGCTGCTTTTTTGTAGCTGTCGGCCCATTGGCGAACCGTGCCTCCCCTGGGCGTGGGATACCATGGAGGTGATTTTCCATCCAGAGGTGTGATCCTGAGCTTTTTGATGCCGAAGACGCCCCCAGCGGCTAATAGCAGGATGAAGATGCCGACAACGCTGAGAACGGCGATGCAGCAGCGGCTCTTGCGAAGTCGTCGCGGCAGCATCCACGACAGACGTCCAGGAACGGCGCTCCGCTGCCTCGCACCACCCAGACGCGAGTCGTGCGTGAAATCTCCATCCTTGAGCGCGGGGTTGAGCTCATCCAGATCGAGGTCTTCGTCTCTAGAGTCGGTTGAAATGCGATGCTGGGCGAGTTGATGCTCCCGCAGGAGGCCCTCTTTGGCGGGATCTCGATTGGCCGCCATTGTTTAGAGACGATGAGCGGCCATTGAATTGGAGGAATTGATGTTTTGGCCGGTGTAAGCGGGTGATTGTTTACAAAGCGTAAGGTGGGCAGCAGCAGTGCCTGATGAAATGGATGGAAGCCATTGGTCGATGAATAAATGGCGTTGCGTCACTGATAAGCAGCGTTCGTATACTGACAGCCGACTGATTGGTTGCAGAAATGTAGCTCTCAGGCACTTGGGGGAGCTTAAAAATGCTGTGAAGCAAAAGAGCCTCGTGGTGTCTGCCGTACTGCAGCGTTCGTATACCGACAAACAGACTGATTGGTTACAAGTAAGCAGCTCTTCGGGGGAGATTAAAAATGCTGTGAAGCAGCGGGCACGACACAAGCCGGCAATGGTTAGCCGGCAATGATGAATAGCTCAGCATGGGGCAGCTCGGCATGGAGCAGTGAACACAGAAATCACACATGAGGAGCAGGCCATGATAGACATTTGGAGCAGCTGGTTTTATGCCACCAAGGCACCTCCTGACGGCAAGTTTGCATCCTGAATTTTTTTAAAGATGGAAATAACTCATAAAATTACAGCTAATAGTACAGTATCTTGTTTAAGTTTTCGCAATTTCATCGCAGCGCATTAACAATACATTATTCATTCTACTCCCCGCATCAATACACCCAACTTCCAAGGTATCGTAACATTGTGTAAGTGAATCAAGTAAAATCGTATAGTCGTGGTATCATATGTGCTTCTTTTACAAGCCATGGCCTAATGCAATCAACAGTCAGCAAACATCCAACATCAGTTCATAGGTAATGATGACAACTTACGTCCAAGGCCCTGTCCCCTCTTGGACACCTCCCTCGCCTGCTCCTGCTTAATCTTGGCCCTCCTCGCCTCCTCCTTGGCCTCCTCCTCCAGCCGCCAAACGTGGTCCTTGGCCGCCCTCACGCGCATCCGCGCCTCGCCCAGCGCCCGGTCGGCATCCACCTCGGCCGCCTCCGCCGACATGACATGCTCGCGCGCCTGCAGGATGCTCGGGTCCAGCGCCTGCGCGCCGTGGTCGCGGTGGAACAGGCTGCGCCGCCCGCGGCTGGCCGAGCTGTCGGTGCTGTGGCGGAAGAGCCCGCCCGAGTTGCTGCCGTTGGTGGCGTTGACGTTGTTGTTGGTGAAGCCGCCGGGGCCTGCGCCGGAGCTGGCGACGGAGCCGTGGTGGGACGAGACGGGCGAGACGTCGCGGTTGCGGTGGAAGAGGCTGTGCTTGCGGGCCGGGGGTTCAGCGGCCATGGGCTGGGGCTGGTAGACGGGCTCTGGGGAGGGCTCGCTGCGGCTGAAGAAAGGCATGATGGATGTATTGATGGTCTTAGACTTAGATCCTTGGTATAGTGTATTGGAGTGTAGTGTGTGTAAGTGGGTGGCAAAACGTATTGTGCCTTTGATGTATGGATATATGTAACTGTGAGACAGAAATGTGTAATGAATAAATAATGAAAAAAAGATTTATTTCTCAGGGTCCTATTCGAATATTTATTTTTTTCTTGGCGCACCTTTTTCTCCCTCCTACAATGCGTGTACTGGCGATGACGCCGATGATGATACCATCCAGCAAACCTGTTTGGTCCCTTGAAGCGATGATCGCGCGATCGCCGCCGCTGTGACGTAAATCGTGGTGTAGCTCACCACCAACAAACAGCTGGTTGCCATGGCCAGGAGCCAATCAGGCCGCCGCTATGATGATGCTGGTGCAGAGATGATGAAATAAGCAACTTATGCATGCTGCAGCTACTGCGTTGGCGGCTTCAGCCCCGGATCGGATGTCATCACAGCTTCGCAGGATCGGGCAGGAGAACAGGCTTGATACCTCCATGTACGATGAAGAGCTGCAAGTTACAGAAGAGGCCATCGAGATGCTGCTGCTAAGAATAGCCACGTCTTTGTTTCCCTGCGCTGGACTGCGTGAAACCTGTTGATTAGCGCATTGCATTTTACACACTCTCACAGCTCATACAGCACAGCGTCACGCCTCGACACTAAAGAGAGCCAGACACAAACTTGCACGTCACACCCATTTAAACAAACGAAACGTTAGTATTCGATCCTGGTCTAAGACACAAGCAAATAGCCCCCTCTTTAATACAAAGCGTGTACACAGAACAAAAAAAATGTGATGAGAAATCTAGCCTGCGTCGAAATACGCTGCAGTAGCGCGTAGTGTATCAAACATTTTTTCTCCAGCCTCAGCTCCTTCGCTCCATTCCAGGAAAATTACAACAAAATAAAAAAACCGGAAATCGGTTATTCCGCAGTCAAATATGTACGGTGAAGGTCCATGATAGATTGATAAAACTTGTTGGAAAGAAGACAAAGAAAAGCAAGTGGTGAAGAATGAAGAAAACACCATGTTGTAAGAAAAAAGAAAAGAAAAAGAACAGTAAAAGTGAAAAAAAAAAAAAAATTGAATGCGTCGTTGCTGTTGCAATATTGCTTTTCCGCCGTTTCTAGCGGTTCAAAGGTATATCGAGGGAGGGTATCAAGAAGAGGACCCCGATATCAAACGGAGCGTTAGAAGCTGCAAATCCTTTACATGATTGTGCACTTGTTGTCTTCCCTCTCCTTCTTGACGCTTAGCGCTACTCGGGCGGCCTCTGTGAATGCCTCGTTGACGCCGCGGTTCTTCATGGCCGAGCATTCGAGATAGCGGGATGCGCCTATTCGCTTGGCGACCTCGAGGCCCTCGTCGTAGGAAATGGTCGGCGGCTTCTCGCGCTGTGCGCTGCCGTCTGCTGCGGCTGCTGCGTCGGCCTCTTCTGGCTCGTCCTCGCCCATCTGACGGAGATCGCACTTGAGGGCAATGAGAACCAGCTTGACGCCGGGGCAGTTGTCGGCAATCTCTCCGACCCATTTGGATTCGACGTTTTCTAGCGAGTCTTTGCTATCGACCGAGTAACAGAGCACAATCAAATCGGTGTCATCTGCGTACATACAACGTTAGCCACACAATGGAATGGAATGGAGGTGGGGCGGCCAGTAAATGAACAGGGCGTAATACCGTAGGAGAGCGATCGTAGGCGGTCGAATTCTTCCTGGCCAGCTGTATCCCAGAGCGAGAGCTCGATGTGCACGTTGTCGACGAAGATGTCTGCGCCACGAATTTATTAGTCTCATCATCATGATTCTCTGCTCTGCCAAGAGAAAGCAGAAAAAAAAAGCCGAAGGGAGAGCCGCTTGCGTGGCACACAGTGTCGTACCATGAACGTAGTTTTCGAAGACGGTAGGCTCGTATACGGTTGGAAAGTATCTATCGGGCAAGCGTTAGGTCAGATCGATTGCTGGACAAGGGCGAATAGGCGACGAACCCTCTCGTGAAGACGTTAAGCAGCGACGTCTTTCCACTGGCACCATCGCCCCTATAGACACGCAAGAAGAGAGGTTAGCAAGGCATCGCATCCTGCAGTTGATCAGATGGCTCTGGTGTTGTCCACGTACAGAAGAACCAGCTTGCGCTGCACTGTCTTTGATCCACCGCAGAGAGGCATTGTGTTGTGTGTATAGTATGAGGCGGAGATAGATGCGAAGCAGCAAGAAAATTAGGCGTCGAGACTGTACGGCAGCAGTTGAATCGATTGCGCAGGCTCGTTTGTGCCGGTCTGGAGAATCGCGGAGAGTCGTCGTTGTCGCGGGGACGCGTGCTGGGAGTGGCGCTGCCTTTAGGATATCGATTGGGTGTTGAAGAGGCAGAGAGATGGAATGGAATCAGGAGCAAGAGGAGAGGCGAAGCGAAACGAAGCGAGGCACGGGAGCTGGTAGCGTAGAGCACAAGTACAAAGTACTGCCGCTACAGGCACTGCATGCAGATGCCGCTCCGAATTATTGGGTGCCAACGGGGCCTGGTGGAGCCTGGATCTGTTTATAGCAGCTAGCAGCGCGCCGAAATGGGCGGCTAAGCCTTGGGCGGGAGGGGACAGCGCACTGGCCAGCCTAATTTCTGCATCGGCGCTGCGTGTTCTGCGTGTTATTTCAGCGCCACGCCACGTACCTGCTACCTGCGCTGTACTCTAGCTTTTGAGTCGAGTGTCTGTCAGGCTAAGCTGTGCCCGTTGGTCGGGCTATATATGCGCCGCCAGGCCAAAGTCTATCCTGCATTAGAGCGCAGGCGGCCAGACTGGTTTATCCAGGAACCATCTTGACTTTGGGCTGCGGCATTACGGCTGACACCGGCGGCTATGCGATTTGTATTAGCGGGCAGTGAGGGGCAGCCACTCATGATGGGCTGCTACCTCCAGAAGACGAACCCTGGCACCGCCACAAATAGAGTTCAAGCGACAGAGCTTGAACGTTGTAATAAGCGCCGGGGGCTGAACTACAGCACGGGCTACTGCTGCTGGTACATGTAGTCTATTAGATGGTAGAAAGTGGTGATTGTTTGTTTTGCACAGAGACCGTGTGAATCAAGGGTTTGGTACGGCCTCGTCTGCTTTAGATGAGAAGTGGCCCTGAATTTAAATTCGTCTTACATGGGTGACTTTGCGCTTAGTCATGATTCAAACTCGAGGTTGCTTTTACGTGGACGTAAGGTAGCTAGGCGAGCCAACGTCTAAAGTCTAAATGGACTGAGAATATCAACAACGCTGGCTTGAAACAGACAATTGTTGGTATAGGTACTCTATTTTCTTTCATCTTGTGTCAAAGCTGTATTGGATGTAGATTCAAGTCTACTGAATACTACATGAAGCATCACCCCTACCTAGAACAACACATCGATTCCACCTGCACTTAGTCAGCGACTCTGCGCTAAACAGAAACCGCGCGCGGAGATGCGCTGTAATTTCAGGGCTGTTCCGCGGTACCTCTTGAAGCGCATGTTTTGCCCGCTTGCTTCAGGTACTCCCTGCAAACACCCTTAAACTTTTCATCTTTCTCCTGAAATTCCTATTCCTCCTATGATATACTCTCAAACTGACGATAAGGGGCGTAGATCCCAACAAGTGAATTTGACGAGTTAATATGTGTCAGTCATGCAACTGCCTCAGGCGCAAGAATCACCAGGGAAATGCGCGTTAAACCCAGTACTTGGCACATCGAATCGTTACCATGGAGAGACAAAATACAGTCCATCGCAAGTGAAATCATACAATATGAATCTAACTAAGACCAATGTTCCACTCACAAGTTTACCACGCGGTTACAGACTATCTTCCATAACAATTGATGAGAAGAAACAAAAAAAAATCTCTATGTAACGGCGTGCCATATGGACAATAGAGAGCCAGGCATCTCCCGGGGCAGGTTTCACGGCAAAAGGCGTATTTCGCTTACCCTAAGCGATATATCAAACGACGTTGGGGCTTGTAGAGATTCGGCGATCTAGAATATGGCAATTGCGCAGTTAGACTTGAAATCAAGCATGCTAATTTATTTCTCTAGTAACGTCTTTCTTCTGTTCTCCTCTTTTCCTTGGCTTTGGATGCGCTTCGTACATTTGGCAACTTGGTGGATGTTGAATTTGACGACTTGCGACCCCCGAATGCAGAATCCACGTATATGATCATCTTGGCAGCTACCTAAACAGAATGCGTCAAGGGTGTCAAATCCCGCAGTCTTCAATGTCCTTCCTACCTAGGAACTCCGCACTGCGTCTGCATCAGGCCACGGATACGCCAACCCCGCAAGACCTTCAGCGTAGCTCCTGTATGCATGAGGATTGCAGCGAATGACGCTGTGGATGAATAGGGCTGTTGTAAGGGCCGAGGTCGCTATGCGCATGCAGGAACAGTAAACGGCTCTATCTCTTCTTTTTACATAGAAGCAGTTTTCTTTTAGCTCCAACTTCACCTTTGATGCAATCCATGTTCTGTACACGGCATCGTCCCTAATCGTATTTCAAGATATACCGCTGCTATAATTTCAATGACTGCACACAAGTTCAGCGTCATCATTGCGGGCGCTGGGCCTGTTGGTCTCTCAGCAGCCCACGCCCTTCGTCTCGCCAACATCGACTTTCTCGTTCTCGAAAAGAGACAAAATGTGGTCATTGACGTTGGTGCTTCTATAGCTGTTGGCCCTGCGAGCTTGCGGGTAATTCACCAACTCGGCCTCTTGGAAAGCCTTTTGGAGGTCAGCCATAGGTCGGAACGCAAAAAGGCGCTTACCATTGATGGCCGCATCGTTAAGGATACTCCGTTCTATCATCATTTGAAAGAAAAGTACGACTCAATTGTCAATCATCTGAAAGGTTGACATTCCAACTCACTACCTCATAGCACTGGCTTCACGTCGATAGCATTCAACCGCGTTGACTACTTGCGACTCTTATATGAAAGGCTGGGAAGCGATAAGGCCAAGGTCCTGACGGGAAAGGAAATCGTCGACATTTCAAGTACCAGCTCTGGCGTTACGGTAAAGTGTGTCGATGGAACTCTTTACGAAGGGTCAATCGTGATTGGTGCAGATGGCGTCCACAGCAAAGTGCGCGGCATAATGCGTCAGATGGCTATTGAAGAACACCCGAAGAGAAGCTGGGACGCAGAACACCCTTACTTGACAACGTACAAGTGCCTCTGGTTTTCCACGCCTTCACTAGTCAGCGAGCAGAACCTATCTGGAAGCCCGGATATGGCGGTTTATGAAACATACCACAAGGATCACTCCATCATGTGCTTGAGTGGAAGGCTGCGTTGTTGGGTCTTTCTTTACAAAAAGTTACCGCAGCCGACGACGAAACGTCTCGCTTGTACCAAGGAGGATATGGAAGAAATGATGAATATGTTTGCAGAATTCTATATAACTGAGGATATGAAGGTGAGAGAGGCTTACAATAAGAGGATTAATTCTTCTATGGCTTCTATCGAAGAAGGAATGACGAACCACTGGAGCTTGGGCCGCATGGTGCTCGCTGGAGATAGCTGCCATAAATTCGCCCCGAATCTGGGCCTTGGCTATCAGAGCGGGCTACAAGATGTAGTTGCTTTATGCAATCGACTGCATTCAGCCGTTGCTCAAGCACCGGACGGTATACCCAGCACCCTCGACCTGAGCAAAGTTTTCCAATCGTATCATGCGTTTCGGCGAGAGCCTGCGAATACAGATGCCAAGTTATCCGCATTTGTACTTCGGGTGTCTGTCTGGGCGAATGTTTTTTATTATTTCCTATCACTATATATGCTTCCCTTGTTATTAACTGATTATATCTTGCAAAATTGGGTCTTCCCACCGATTGATAGACGGATGCTGGTTCTGGATTATGTAGAAGCAGAGGAACCATTTACGGGGAGAGTGAGCTGGGTCTATAAGATGCCGACACCTTCAAAGGCAAAGGAAGACTGAGGTTTCGATATGATATCTAGAGCTTGTGGGAGCTCAGCAAACAATAAACAACAATGATGATAACGAGGCTTCCAAGATGTGGTCCTCCTTTGAGACAGATAGGTAGGTATTCCGCGTGTTATGTGATGAACTATTTGCTCGCGTGTTAGTCAGGCAAGCTACTATTACTACCACATTACCATACCGAACTTGCGGCAGAGCTAGTTGCCTTTTCATGCATTGAAAGCCGTATCCATCCCAAGCCTAAGTGAAACCCTGGGTTTGACATGCCTGTTCGCATGGCAGCTCTCCCGCAGTTGGTGCCCGAGGCGGTTGCATTGGCAGATTCACCAAGAATTCCCCACCAATCAATAATTTTACCGCCTCGGCATTTGGAGATCATCTTTCGATTGATAGAAGGGGTCCCGAATCATTATGATGCGGGCGAAGGTTGACTAAACGTGGAGTGCATATGCAGATCACGTTAGCATTCTGATAGCTCATCTTGGTGTTGGGCTACGTTACTTGATGCTGGCTGAAGAAGGATTGTCATTGGTGTTAGTGTAGAGGGGGGAGGTGTTGGAGATCTGTCTTAGGGTTGTAGAACATGAGCTAAGATGTGTTTCGGGTTGATGCGAATGGCTTATTCATTTTTGTGGGAAAGAATAAGAAGCAATTGGTGGAAAAAAAGAAAGTGAATAGGCTGGCGGTATAGGTTTGTAAGGTGATCTGCGAGCAGAGGCATGCTACGAACTCTTCCTGAGAACTCACAAGAGTTCTATAAAAGGCGATGAGATGCAAGGTCCGAAATTGGAGATCGTAGAAGTAAGTGTCGATCAATACATTTTCACAGCGTCTTTGGAAACATAGCAAAGCTAAAGCAATTGGCGAGAACCATCATTTACCATGGCTCCCAAATCCATCATTAGCCTTTTCTCTCTTCTGCCCATCACGGCTGTCCTTGCCTTGAATCCGAGCTGTGCTCCCGGAGGCAATTTCGACTTCACCGTTTGGAGTCTTCAGCTTCCCACAGGCAGCGACGGCAGCGTCGACACCATCAAAAGCAAAGCTCTTCAAGGCTGCAGCGGCTACACTGGTCCTACATTCTACACCGACAAGACCAATGGCGAGCTCATTCTCACGGCACCGGGCAACCCGGACCTCACCGGCTGTGCCACCACCTCCGGTAGCGAGCACTGCCGGACTGAGCTGCGCGAAGTAAACAAGAGCGGCCAAAACACCAATTGGCCTCCTACTGGCACCAATACGAATACCGTAAGGTTGAAGGTTGTCAAGGCAGACGACGGCACTCACGGCACCGCCATTGGCCAAGTGTTTGCCGCAGAAGCCAGCAAGCCGCTTGCTGAGATGTACTACAGCACCAAAGGCGATATCGTCGTTGGCGTGAAGCAGGATGCGGATAGCGATCAGGTGGTGATCAAGCTTGGGAACGTCCCTGTAGGAACGTACTTTACCTATATCATGTCTTATTCGAACAATGTCTTGAGCATTTCTATCAATGGAAATAAGACGACGCTTTCGACTTTCGACTGGGACTCTCCCAATTGCTATTTCAAGACTGGGAATTACAATCAGGGCAAGACGGCCGTTACATCGGAGGTGCACATCCAGTCTATAAACGTGGTACATTCTTAAAAGCTTGCAAGGTCGATGCGGTATATGGTGATTTGAACAGTTTCGGCGATGGCGGGATATGGAGATTAGGGGATGCGTGAATAGTGGTTTAGGGGGCTGTAGAGGAAGGAGTTGATGCTACCTTGGGCACGCTAGTTGTCGTATATACACATGGAATACGAAGCTACTATCGTTTTCACTTTCCTATTTATACCGAGTGCATTAGCGTTCTCCGATCATCCCATTGGAACAAACTAGGATAGTCTTCCTGTTGATTCATGGCCACATGTTATTTGTATGTATTGAGATGTAGGGTCGGTCTTGTTTATTCCGCCTGCTGATCATGTAACTCAGTATGTCACTGTTTACAACACTGATACGTGCTCTTGTTCCAACAATGGCTGTCCTACATCGTTGTCTGTCATGAAGTCAAACGTCCGCAACTAGATAAGACTCCTTGAATCCACCCCTGTCTAATTACATATAAATACGAATCCTTCGAAAAGCTGGCGAGCTAGGAGATTCTAGAAGGTTAGCTGTGAACTGTTGTGGATTCCCTCGCTCACTACCAATATGAGTTGAGACAGCTACCCAAGCATGTCTCATTGGTGGACAATTAAATCCCACAGGATCAGCAAATGTCTATAGAGGTCCTCATGCATCTTTTATCTACCCTATCTTGGTATGCTTCATAGCATCACAACTGCCTCTCGCGCTTCTGGAAATTTGTTGACTCGTTGTTGACCGGAATGGGTTATTGCTATAGGAGGCAAGACTGACATGGTCGAAAAGAGTAGTGGTAGCAAATGGTAGCAGTAGTGGCTAAATGTTTCGGTAGCAACCCGAAGAGTTGCAGCATGTTCCCGCATGCATTTAACGTTGCTCCATATTAGGAAAGAGCTAAAAAAAAGCTAAGCAAAAGCTTGTCCAGAATTAAGTGGCATTAGTGTTGTCTTTGCAATTTACCGACGGAATCGGAGAATCTATTTACTATTGACGTGTGTTTGTACTCTAATGCGGATCTTGCCCGTCGCCCACGTTGAGAAGGATAGGGAAAATGTTCGTGTTTCATGCTATTAATGAGGACTATGGGCATATGCGGTATGATCCAGAGCAGAGGTTAACTTGTGTTGCGCTGATTTGGAGTTCTAGCTTTGGAAAGCGCGCTGTATCCATGTTTGATGTAGAAATGGGTACTCTGGAAGTTCAAGAGCTGACCTCAGGAGTGTAAAGCATATTTATGATCTTGGAGTTTGTCTATCGCCGCTCAAAAGATTGTTGACTCAGTTACTCGGCTCACATGCCCGAGTATCAATGACCAAGCACAGTTTGAGTCCAAGCACTACTGACCATTGTGCCTTGTGAGTCTCTGAGTTCCGACCCATGACACAACGTATGGTGGGCTGCACTGGAAGGTGACAGTCCATCTCCACTTTGCTCGCGGCCATGGCCGGAACATCGCATACAAACTCCTCTTATTGCAAAGACCTTTGCTCTAAACTAAACAAACGTGTAGACTTCTGATAGAAGCTAATTCGTTAATCTACAGTAATCCCTTTTTCTGCTGGTCATATTGAATAGATCTCTCTTCCAACTTGATTGGTGGAATCGCCGATGCAAACATGTATAAGTTGGGCACAGCTCACAGCTTGTATCCACGTTGCCAGGCTAGTGAATTGCTAGATCGTTTCTAGTTGAGAACAGATCCTGCAGCAAGCTAAATCCCCACATGGTCCTGATACGGTGGCTGCCGAGGTGTTTAATGACAGGACCTCTCAGGGCAGAGATCTGCGCCATTGCACGACTAATCATGCCCAATGCCCTGAATTGGAGCCAGACTTGCTTCTCTCTCAACCCTCCTGCTTGGCGTAACGTTGAGAATAGCTGCTGCAGATAGGTGAATAATTTGTTGGCTGGCCATTCTGACTTCTAAGAGCTGTTCTGACACTGCAATGCGTCAGACAATCTGATAGCAGCGCGGTAAAAGATGGTCAGCAGTTGGTGGATTATTCATTATATCCCTTGGCAGACACTTAATTTAAGCTTCAGCTTCCTTCTATAGGCTAGAAGTTATGCTTACTCACCACTTTCAGCGGTGACATCTGCCCACGGCATACACTCAACTGAGCTATAAGCTGGTTATCTGATACGAGATGATTCGATATTACTAGCCTCCTGTACGACTTCCATCGCGGAAAAAAAATTCAGAATGTCCATTCCTCGTAAAAAAGGACTTGCCCTGGCTGAAAGAGGAAGCTGGGTGTAAGCCTTTTATTAACGTTACAACTAGTCACAGAAAACAAGGGGCGATGACCGATTCAGCGCATACAAGCAGAATTGTGGCTGCGGCAGGTCGCGAAAGCCGATGATGTAGAAGGCCTAGCGCAGGGGGCCGACGAGCCACTAACACGGCGGAAATAGTATTGGCTATGTTTGCTGTTAGCAATAGTACATGTGATGGTATGCCAGCAAGGCTGGCCTCGGAGGGCTCCCTTGTCAGAAATAGCTATACCTCTCGTATAGACAGACGGAATATCGCGGGGCCAATGGTTCTAAAATAATGGGAACTTTATGCGGAGGTGCCGAGGAGAGATGTCACTGTTCAGCCCGATGTTTATATAAACCGCTTGTGCTGCCTCGATTGAAGCTGAGATCTCGCTCCTCACCTCCAGTCAACTCTCAACACAGCTCGACAACAGCCACTCGATCAAGATGCGCAGCTTCGATACTCTCCTGTTCACTGCCCTCGCGGCCTCACCGGCCCTGGCTCGCCAGGTTCCCGCCAATGTCCAGAGCTTGTACAACTCGATCCGTGCTCAGGGCTCTTGCAAGAACATTCTCAAGGGCGGCTTCTACAGCCAGGAGGGCGACTCCAAGAGTGAGTCGATAAGCAAATACATCCCGGTTATGCTTAAACGTGGTTATTAACTGGGACTGTAGACTTCAGCTACTGTGGTGACCACTTGAACGACTACGGCATCATGTACCTCCAAGGCACCGACGGCAACCTGGTCAACATGGATATCGACTGCGACGGTGCTCTTGGCACTGGCGACGGCAGCTGTGACAGCTCCCAGGATACCCAGGGCGAGACCGCCTTCAAGGACACCATCACCAGCTACAAGGTCGGTGTCAAGGATCTCAACGCCTACATCCACTCCTACGTGGTGCTGGGTAACGAGGGTAGCAAGTCTGGCTACGTGACCTTTGAGCCAGAGTCAGTCGGCGTTGACCCTCTGTCTCTCGTTGCCGTGGTTTGTGGCAACAAGATGGTAAGCAGTCAACTACCTATCAAACAGTGGGCTCTGAAAGACAATTCCAACTAACACCAACGTCAGTTCTACGGTGTCTGGGGCGATACCAACGGCGACGACGGCCCACCATTGGTCGGTGAGGTCTCTGACGCTCTCGGCCGAGCCTGCTACGGCAGCGCCGTCAACGGCAACGCAGCCCACGATGCCAACGACGTGCTGTACATCGCCTTCACCGGCGCCAGTGCTGTTCCCGGCGCCAAGGGAGCCAAATGGTCCGCTTCCTCCTTCACCGACTTCGAGGCTTCTCTCGGCGCCCTCGGCGACAGCCTCGTTGCCCGTATCGGCAGCTCCGGCGGCTCTACTCCTCCTCCTGCGTCCTCCACCAAGCCCTCTGGCAGCCAGCCTACCTGCTCTTGGTCTGGCCACTGTGCTGGAGCCCAGTGCAGCAGCGACGATGACTGCTCCGATGACTTGGTCTGCAAGAGCGGCAAGTGTGCCACCGACAGCTAAGTCTGCGGCTCTTGATGAGACTGAAAGGCGATGCTATTTTCTGCGAGCTTAACGTTTCGGCGCCAATTGGTGGCTGAGACATGGCCTTGACGGCATTGCCTGAACGAAGTACGACTTGGATTATTTTAATTAATTGTATATAGATGGTGCCATGCGCCGCCAACTGTATATACTCTTATGACAGCGTGGATTTGAACAAATATTTTATTTGCGAGGATAACTTCCCTTTCCGCAATGAATCTTGATGATGGCTAATTGTTTGTGTTGCTCCGCAAGCAACTTGGCTCTTGTCAGCCATGTGGCCATGAACACATTGTAAAACATGCCAGAAACATTCCTGAATTCCGAGATCCGCAGTTCCATTTCTGGTAATCTCAGCTGAACTTCATGGAAACTACAGCCACGGTCATACCGCCCGTAGGGGATGGTAGTGCTCCGTGGATGCGAGGCATTAATCTTTATTAAGGTGAGCCAATGCCCACATTATTCGGCACGGCGCCACATGGACGAAACAAACGTCGGATGATGTTCCCGCACATGTAATTACGACTGATTCTACGACTATGTTACAATTGCACTCCAGCATTATTCACATTACATCATGTCACAATACCAGTGGGAAAAAGAAGCATAGAGTCTCTGCAGAGTAATATCGTGCAATTCATATATACATTGCGAGTCATATATACGTCCACATCTAACGTATCGGCGTCGCCGTCAACAATATGTACAACTGCCGGCGAAGAATCATATGTGGTGTGTCTGTATTTAAAAAGCCTTTGTTAGTCACACGAAACAGCATGGCCGCAACTGGCGGAGGAGAGCGTATTACGAACCATCAAAAGAGGTTATGTACAAGAAGGAAGCCTCACATTACAGAGGTAAGTTGCGTCATTTATGCGGAAGCCTTGGGGGCGTGGCCCTCGGGAATAGGACGCTTGTTGGCGTACTTGAGGTCGACGAGGTTCTTCTCCCGGGTGGCAGTGGTAGAGACATCACGCTTGGAAGCGGCAGCCTTGGGAGCGTGGCCCTCAGGGATGGGACGCTTGTTGGCGTACTTCAAGTCGACGAGGTTCTTCTCCCGAGTAGCGGTAGTGGAAACGTCGCGCTTAGAGGCAGCGGCCTTGGGAGCGTGACCCTCGGGAACAGGCCTCTTGTTGGCGTACTTGAGGTCGGAGAGGTTCTTCTCGCGGGTAGCAGTAGCAGCGGCCTCGGAGCGCTTGCCAGCAGGGCCGTGAATGGCAGCGGCATCGAGAGGCCTCGAGTTGGCGTATCGGAGGGCAGCGACCTCCTTGGTCTGCTTGGTGGTGGGAGCAGCAAGGGCGAGGCCAGCGAGGGCGGCGGCGATGAAGGTGGCGGTCTTCATGGTTGCTAAAGTAAAGAAGAGTTGGAGTAGAAGGCTGGTTCGAAGGCGTTTGTCTACTATGCAAAATCCGGGGCAAGACTTCAAGAGGTTGAGAACAGTTCTGGGGGCGAGAAGCAGCGCTTCTATATACTAGATGCTACTGATCGATCGAGAAGCCTCCTGAGCCAAGCAACTCGCCAACGCACTCATCCGGTTTGTTCACAACCCCAGGTTTGTCTCCTGCTCCTTGTAGGTTCGCGCGGGATGCATAGTAATATGCATTTTGACCGAAAGATGTGCCGATATGAGGCCCAATCAGGAAGGTGGATTTCCTAATAGGTGGTCAGGCGCTAAAGCTTCGTTTGGCCGCTTGCGGAAGGATAATGGTGCTAAAAGGTCCGCTGAGAACAGGCAAAAAGAGGGAGAAGCGCACCGTAAGCACGGCTTGTAGAGGGAAATAAGGACCTGGTGCTCAGGTGAACTCTTGGAAGGCGTCACGGTTTCTGATCGTCGATATCAGATGGGCGGATATGGGGAACAATGGAAGCGTGCAAGATCTTGGTAGCACATGGGAGGCACATGTTGCTACTTTCGCACTATGCCTGGGCTCCGCTCACATGAAGTGCTAGTGTTATTACAGGTATCTTCCCTTCATGCTCCTAAACGACCACGCAAGGCACCAGTCAAGAACCCAGAAGAATACGCACTTGTAGCACCACTAGTACCGATATTTTGTAGGCTCTATCCCCCTTGGCAGTAGTACTAACAGTAGCAGGATTCTATACCTGGCAGAGCAGCAAGGAAGCACGGAAGTTTTCGTCGATATCGGTGGGCATCTGATTGCCAGGCCCGGTATGGCTAAATCACCCGCATCGCCGTACCTTAATTGCTCAGGTGCCTGGGCTCTGCATTTAGCGTCGCCATGGGTGGCCGATCCTCCACCCCGCCGTTGCCTGTAACTACCGCTTAGAGGCATCGCCAGGAGGAGGATGGAGTGCAGTAGACAGAATCAGGCTGCTTGGCATCATCTATAGCCGGGTCAGAAGGCCCGTTTTCACTGCTGGGCCATGCTTAGGGTGTATGAAGTATATATACATGTTCAGGAGATGATGGCCCAGTGACGACGAAGATGCCTGTCTTACGTACTATTTGTATACGCACACGTACTGGTACCTACTACATCATGCGAGAACTCCAATAGTCCTACCATATAGGCAGGCAGAGAACATGGTTCAATAGGTGCCAAGCGTTCTATTTTCTTTATCAGCGTATTGAATCTCGCATTACCGCCTGCCCCTTTGGCTTCTAACGGATGCTCTCAACCTCGGCTTCGTAAGCCGCCATGTCGACGGATCGGTGGAACTGTTTACGCGCGACTTGTTGAGTGTCAATAAGTCAGATCAGTACCTCCATGATTATGTTGCCAATGCCATTTTTTAGTGCTATATGCGCCGTTGGGATGCGGTAGGGTCAAGTAAAGGGGCACAAACTTGAAACAGATATGCGCTATAAACATCGTGAAGGTACAAGTAGACAGACTAATACCAGGCTTTACAGCTTATTACCCTATAATTCGGCATTTGACGGCATCGTAAATTGCTACCATGGCCAAAGATGGCTAGTACACCTTTTGTTCTCCGAATGTTTCTCCTGTTTCTCTTGTTCCTACTATGTCCCATGAGCTCGTGGAGATGGCGCTCGTAACCTGGGAAAGGGCTACGACTATCATGATGCGGAACGCCATTTGAGTGGACAACTCTTGTTGCTCCTATGGCTGCAGTATGGTGCCAACGTCGGCTTCTAGCGTCATGATATAAACAATTTGAGTCATGCAATTCGAGATTTTGTCGATTCGGCGTAGTTCGATATCGCGCTCTACTTGATCGCTAGGGCCATTCCGCCTCAAGCTGGCCCTTGGATGCAAGGCTAAGGCTCCAATGCAAGAGCTGGGTTCCAACTGAAAGATCTCTTACACAAGGCTCAACGGAGAACTGCTTATTGTTTATTGTATATGCCATTGCAACTCTGAGAATCGCGGCCTATCGCTGCTCGCCCATTCACGCCTCGCCTTGGATTCTATATACAATCTTTTCTCCGCTAATAGGTCGCATGTAGTCCTCTGTACGGCTTGTATCCTGCCTCTTTGACACAAGTCCGCTGCCCAAGAGGGTGAATCCGTCTGGCACAATTCTCTCTAGTCCTCCTGGCATGAGTCGCACGGGATTCGGCTCCAGTTTCACATTCCCATCGGCTGCGGCTGTGCTCAAGAAGTTGAAGAACTTTGTGGCAAACACACGTGCTTCAGGGTTGGCAGGAAATATTGCTCCTATTATAATTATTAGCATTATGGAGTCTTGGCATCATGGTGGTTATTATCGCAACTCCATTTAAGAATGGACGATGGGGTATCCTCAACCTACCGTTATATCCGATTTCATGACCCAGTCCCTCCCAGACGGCTCCGTAGATGGGCTTGATGCGTAACTCCGATGGATCATATTGGCCTCCCTTGGGTCCACGGAATACAGCCATCTTTGCGGTTGCAGCTAAGGTGTCATGGACACTATACACAGTCTGTCCCTCCGATATGGAATCCACCGCAAAGTCAATACCCTTGCCCTCTGTAGCCTTTTTCACCTTGTCAACCCAATTAGGATCGCGGTAGTCAACCAATACATCGTAACTATAAGGGGCTTTGCGAAGCAAATCATGTTTTGAGGGGCTTGCAGTTCCGATGAGACGTATTTTGCGGCCAGAAGTGCGAGCCGCATGCTGAACCAACTGAGCAGCGTATAGGCCAAGAGAGGTAGATGCACTATAGATGAGCACGTTGGTGATGCCACTTCCATTGGTTGTCAAGGCTCCAGTTTGGTCATCGAAGGGGCATGGGAGTCCAAGACGCGAATAGACTCCTTGTGCCGCAGTCAATCCGCACATGCTGATGGTCGAGGCATCTGAGAGTGACATGCCATCAGGCACTGACCAGAGAAGATCATATGGAGCAGTGATGTACTCAGCAAACGCTCCCGGTCGATCATTGGTAGAGCAAGCTGAAGTGTCAGGGCTGTCAGTCTATCATGCTTAAGTCGCCGTGTATGCAGTCTTTGCGTAACTCACCACCTTGATGAAAACCTGCAACGCGGCCACCAATTCTAGCACGAAGGTCGGTTGAGGAACTCAGATCAGGTCCAACTGCGGTGATCACTCCGGCAAAGTCGGTTCCAATAACGCGTTGCTCTTGTTCTGCAATTGGATGGACCACGTATATAGAATCTATGGGATTAAGCGCCACAGCATGAACGCGAATGAGGACTTCGCCGTCGCGAGGCTTGGGCACGGGGATCTCCTGAACAGAGACATCTTTTGTCGAAGGGGTGAGAATGAGAGCCTTCATCTTGAAGTTTGGCTATATGTCAATCTAAAATCAAGACAGAAATAGATAGATTTTGAAATGAAGACTGGATATAAGAGTCCTGATGAATATCGGCGGGGTGGAGACCGTATAATAGCAACTCGACGCTAAGTATACGGAACAGTTTACCATAAAAGGAAATCTTAGCAACTTTGGAACGAAATGGAATTTCGATCCTTATTTATTCAAAGCCCTTTTTCCTTTTACCCCGCTGATAGCTAGACCAATATTAGGACCAAAAGCTTCATCTTTAGCCATTTGTAAGCCTCAATGCTAGCACGAACTCTCTAGCTACAATGTCTGCATCGCCAACTACTACCTCAGCATGCGCTTGTGCACCACAAACCGAGGTAATAAAAGTCTAGATGTCAATAAAAGGTCTCAATGATTAGTATCAAAAAATTGGATTGATAATTCAAAATTGGCTTTTGATTTATAATAAAGGGTTCTGTTTGTTCGAAATCTGAGCATTATGACATAGCCCTGTCGTTTTAGGCTCTGAATCACGGCGGTCATGGCGCTGAACGAAGCGCGAGATAGGCTGAGTGCGCGCTATCAGGAGTAACCAGGTACGACTTTTTCTAAAGCGGTGTTTGGGCTAACGTGGCGTTCTAAGGCGTTGAGATATCTTGCTGTCAGTGAACTAGAGCCAGAGCTTAATAGAGTAGTTTTAGAGATTGGCAACTTAAAGATTGTAGTTCCGTGAATGAGCAAGTCGATTAGCATGGGAGTATTCTCTTCAGTTTCCTATACCGAATTTAAGAGGCTGAGACAAATCCTGGTTTATCCTTGGCTTGTTTTCAGCTTAATCGAAGACTAAAGTCTCCATGTCTCCTAAAGACTCAAGGCTCCTATACTGGCAGCGCTAATACAGCTAAACTTGATCGCTGGATTACGGGGAATGCATTTCTCATCAGGTAAGCTCTAACGAATCGCTAGCCCTATTAGGATTATGTAGCCACTTATTTCTCTATCTGGCGTTTGCCCAAGAAGTGGAACTTCTACTTGTGATAAAACAACCGTATTCAACTTTCTCATCATTGGCCCACACATATCTATTTGAAGATTAATGCCAGTTCTGTTTGTTTAAACATTTTTATGCAATAAACGCTAACGCTGTGAGATCCCGTTTCTTTCCGCTGCGTAGCCACTCACTGTCTTCGCCACTTATATAAGGTAAGCAACATGCGCAGCAGCATGTCGAAACCCGCATTGGCCGCATTTATCACAGTTTCTTCCAAGGTCTCATTGGATTCTTGTGCGGAAATGTTCTTTTTAATAAGCATACACTTTGAGAGTCTGAAAGAAGAGTATAAGAATCTGCCTGCAACGCGACTAAAGCGGAACTGTTTTGCCCTGGCTTTAACAGGGTGAATGGTTGGTTAAAAGTGCAATTCACAAAGGTTTTGAGAGATCTGTTATTGACATCAACAAGATTTATGAAGGTGGTGGTCTCATCATGGTTGAGAGAGAGAGATGTACTATTTAAATATAACCTGCCCATATGTCGCAATTCCAATTTTGAAGGTGAGCAAATTTTAGCAACAGTTACTGAGTAGACATTCAACTTGAGATAGCTTGGTATTTTCAAAGCCCTTGCTAGGTCATAAAACGCATATTGACGGACAGGCCCTTTTGTGCTTGGACAATCGCTTCTATCTGCTTCTATTTGCTCATTTCACAAAAGTCTAGCACTCGTTCTGGGCTCACCGATCCGCAAGTAAAATGACTCAATCAACTCAAATTTTACGATGTATTAGTCAGACAGCCATCAAAGCTGATGCTCTCACTTACCTGGGAGATCATCTCATATACTATTGCATACTGCGTAGCCATCACCGTCACACATCCACTCCGGTCAATACTGCCTAGGTATGGTGATACACTGCTTGCGAAGTTCGTCTTCGATGCGAATGGAGCAAGCATTGATACCAGTGAATCCAAGACTGAAAACAAAGGAGCTACTTTGCTTTTGTCTTTTGTAACACGACTGATGAGTAAAAATACCGAATGTCTTCATATTAGTATGGACCTTCTTGATAGATAGAAGCTGCAAGTTTGAATCCGTTTCAGTTTGGAGAATCATGAGATTGTTCTAGGCTGTGGGAGAAGATGTGTATCACGAACTATTGTGACTTGGTCAGACATCAGCATGTTTCTTAGCTACTGAAGGCTGCGGATATATCTCCTAATAAAGAATGTATCGTACGTAATGGCTGAAATTGATGTAGAAACTGCATATTTTCTCAAAGATGCGTGATTGCCTTCATTGTTCATGCAGTGAGAGTAGATACGATAAGAGAGCGTTTTATATTTTTTTTACCAGTCCCATAACTATCATTGGGAGCTATTTAGACCCGAAGCTTTGGATTAGTAATGTCAACTTGTATTGGTATTCGAAATCATCATCTTATATGCATGTGCTGGCTCGAGAATTGGCACAGCGATCTCGTCCGTGGAGGTAGTGAACTTACGCTAGCTTACGTCAAATCACAAGTCGTACGCCCTTGGTACGATTTATCAGCGATAGTCTATTTGTCAGCTTCTTGAGAATTTCTACTGATTGTTGTAAGGGATCATGTCGGCAAATATGGGATGACTTGGGCCCTGAAGCCCGAGGTAAGGATGCATGATTCATAGAATGGGTAATAGATGGCGATGGAGTCAATCACTCGTTACATGTATTCGAGATGATTAAAAGTGTAGATAATCTCATTAATACAATTTTCAGTTCTAAATCATGCCCAAGATCAAACGTCTCAGCTATTCGGTGTGCTATGCGATATAGCCGGTATATCCATGTGAGAGACTGGGTTTACCTGCCTCTAGAATAAAGTATTAGAATATCCAGAAGTGGGACAGTAAACAGTACTTCAATAAAATTATACAACGTATATATTGATGATCAAGAATGATGAGATTAGTAGCGTAAGCTGGACGGTACTAAAAACTGTCCGCCGTTTATATGATCTTGGAGGATACGATCTAAATCAAACTCTACTTGTAACGATCGGTGCTGCCAGTCGAGGCAAATAGGTTGGCTTTGAAGCCAATCAGGTGTGAATAAATCCATATCAAGACCTTGTTGTTGATATATGTGAAGACTTTGCTCAATATGACCGTCTGGTAGTCGACGTGACAAATGTGCGTCACCAAGAAGATAATACATCAAGCCATCATTGCTCATGAGCAAATCATCTATCTCAGCTGGCTTCGCATAGTACGTAATAAAGTCAGTGCCATTCGCATCTGGGATGAGAACTGATATTGTTCGCGATGAGGGTTCTGGATAGCGCAATTGCAGATCTTCTTGCAAAGCGCTATTATTCACCTCGAATGAATGCCAAGTCTCAAGGCTAGCGGCATAGACCAATCCGTTATATAGTCCTTGCCTCCCGGAATGTTTCATCAACTGTGTGATCCAAAGCAACCAGGAAGGCTCAGGGGAACACTGTCCGATTATGTAAAGCATAGACAACATTCCATTTTCGAGGTCTTCGCAAGGCAATGGAGATGAACATCTCGCACTCCTACTACTCGGCGCTATTGCTTTGCAGGCTCCGTCTGTTGCCGCAAATCGCAACGTTTCGTAAAAGTGCAAGTGTGCCAGGCGTTTGTGTGTTTCTGTATTTACGCCGCCTTCGAGGATGGACAATAGCCAAAAGGTGCGGCCCAGAAGAAAACTACAAAGAGTAGCAGAGTTATCGTATAATGTCGTCGTCGAGTAGAGAGGAGGTGGAATGAGAAAAGGGTCCTCTTGAAAGTTTGCTTCGTCTGATTCAGCCATATCTGAGGCCAAGGGCAGCAGAATTGATTTGTTTGCGTCTCTCCACGCTCGCAGTTTTTGTTGCAGCCAGTAAATCTTAGCAAGAGCCATGGATTTTGAATATCGTGGCACAAGGTTCCATATAAAGTCTTCTAATCCAGATTCGGCCAAGATGTTGAGTAGATTCTGCCGCAAAGATGTCGGTGTCCCAGGAACGTCTTCGGATACCGTAAGGGTTTGCCTAGTTGAAGGCATTTTATTTTGTAGAGGCAGTGCCATGAAGCACATCCAACTCAGATTCCGAAGAGCTGTATCGAGGCAATCTAGAGCTGGAGTGTCTTTTGCTTTTTGACGTGAAACACTAGCCTTGTATAGCTCAAAATAATGGCTTGCCGAACGTATATGGTTGCACGCTGCCGTGATATTGCATGAGAAGCACTGTAGTTTATTCATTAGATTGTAAAATCCGAAATAATTTTGATGCGGATATTCTTCGTTACCTCAAAATATGCCATTAGTATAAGAGTAGCAATGAAAACCTCTTGCATCTTCTTTGCATCTTCCAAATTTCGATTTAGCTCCTGAAGAGCATGAGTGTATGATTGAATGGCAATCACTTTCGTGTCTACTCCGCGATCCTGGTCGCTTTCACCCGGCATCGACATCATTAACACGGCACGATGCATACTGCCGAGCGATGAAAACATCATGTACAAGTATTCGATTCCCCATCCTTCTTCGCATAATCTATCTCTCCAAAACCACAAGTGTTCCGCAGGAAATAGAATTGGCAGCGTGCGAAAGAGGAACTGGTGATACGCAAGCACTTCTCGAGCCCCTGCTAGTGGCCTCTGGGAGGGACGAGGGTTGCTGGGTAAACCAACAAGTGGAAGTCCATCGCTGCGGAACAGTTGGTGGGGATAATTGGCGACCTCCCCAGTTGATGAAGGTGATGAAACGTCTGATGGAAGAGAATGTGGTGGTGTTGAAGCAATGTTGCTGAGAGATGAAGATTGTCCTCGACGACCACGACGTCCGCGGCGTTGCGACTCCCGCACTTCTACCTGCTTTTTCGGAAGATAGCCTGCGCATTCGATATTTCCAGCTTCGCAGCGTTCGCATTCGGGTTTTCGTTCATCACACTTGACATGCCGTGCTCTGCAGGTGAGGCAGCCTGTTCGTCTCCTGCGTCTCTCGGTCATGATTCACGAACTTGTCAATACGCGTGTATAATCGAGTTGTTACGCCCTTGGATCCAACAATCTGGGATCGGATAGATACCCTTTGATAGTTATCGAGATAATCGAGTCAAGCGAGGTAGCCGTCTACGCCCCTACTTATTAAGCAAATTGGCCCGAGTTCGACCGACCAATGAGGCATTAGTTTCAGAACAAGATCCGCCCTGAACTTTTGGGTCGGATAGACATTCAGGACTCTCTAGCGTAATACGGAAGGTCTGCCCTATGGGCGGTCGGATAGACCACTCGGGATACGCTAGCGTAATATGGAACAATAATGCCACTGAGTGGACTCCGCGGAGATGCCACGAGTTACAGCTCAAGGAACAGAGCCTACCCGGCTTCATTAATCAGCTGAAGATATAACAAAGCTGAATAATGTTCAAAGATATTGTTAGAAACTTCGTGATGAACAATCCACTGAGTAGAATTGACGATATGTTGATGGAAAGCGACAGGAAAATATCTATAAAGGTTAAAGAGTGTGTCCCATGAGTTTAGGAGTTGTCTCAATCAATTAAAAGCATCATCATCAGCATCATCAGTTTCATTTCTTCAAAGACCGAGTTTTAGCATTCTTATCGGGCTTATAAAATCTTACATAACAAACTAAAGGCGTTTTCATATACCTTCAACACCATGTCTGCTCGCTCCAACAACACTGTGGTCATCATCGGCTCAGGCCCGGGAATTGGTTCCCACACCGCCTCCATCTTCGCTTCCAAGCGATTCAACAAAGTTGCTCTTGTGGCTAGAAACCCTGCCCAATTGGAAAAGGATGCAGCCACTGTGAGCAGTGCCGCTCCTGGACAGGTTCAAGTCAAAACCTATCCTACCGACATTGTTGATAGCGAGAAGCTCGCCGCTACTCTTTCACAGATCAAGAATGATCTTGGAGCTCCCGAGTTCATCTTGTTCAACGCTTCTATTATTGCTATGTCTCCGCTTTTGGAGTTCAGCGAGGAGGCAGTTGTGCAAGAATTGCGGATCTCCACTATTGCTCTGTACAACACTGGCAAGTGGGCTATCCCAGAACTTTCAGCTCTGGCTAAGCAAGATCCCACCGCCAAGCCAACTCTTATGGTTACAAACTCTCACCTTCCCGAGACTCCGATCGCCGATCTGTTCTCCCTATCTCTTAACAAGGCTGCTCAGAAGAGCTTGACCCTCTCTCTTCGCGAGAAGTTTGCCGCTCAGGGCATTCACATCTGCTTGCTTGTTGTTGCTGGAGCAGTCGGCGATGAAAACCCCAACCTCAACAACAAGAATATTGCTAGCAAGGCTTGGGACTTGTACAACCAGGAAAAGAGTGCCTGGTCTGAAGAGATCAGAATCAACCCATAAGCAAGCTACAATTGTTTACTAGCAAAACAGCAGAGCAGTAATTATTATCTAGACACGATAGAGATTTAGAATCCATGGGCATCTATTCCCAAATAGGCAGCACGAAAACAATACTACTGTTTTATTACTCCAAGTCACCGTAAACGGGTTTATTTCTCGATAGCCCTGTGCTTATTATACGTCAACCATATGCTTTATACACTACTAAAATGACACTACCCACTTATACATCTTGAACAAACGCTGCATCGGGAAGATCCGTTTCTCAATTAATCAGCTGATGGCATCTTAGTTTCTGACTGTGTATATTGGTCCGGTACATAAAGCACATATTGCTATTATCGTATCTAAGGCTTAGGAATCAAATCAAGATCTAAGATGTTAAACATTATGATTTGTTACTACCATCTCTAAGGCGGAGGAATTAGGTCAAGGCCCTTAACCTCCAGATGGAAAGAGTCATTCCGCGAATAAGATCCCGCAACATCTAAATCCAATCGGCCTCTCTCACACTCTTCCAAGTCCAACTCCTGGATGAGAAGCTCACCATCCTTATCCCACAATGGGCCTGCCAAAACTTGGCCAAAAGGCGAGACGATACAAGATCCTCCGGGGCTGACCATTTTGCCCTCTCGCTTAATTTCGGTAATCCACTCGGGGAGTTGGTCATCCCGAACAGCTTGATTAGCACTCAGCACAAAACAACGACCTTCGTACCCTATTGTTTCCATCAGCGGTAACCACGTCGGGCGAGCATCAGCTGTGGGTGCCAGGTAAAGATTTACATTCTGCTGGTATAGGGCCTGGCGTAGAAGGGGCATGAAGTTCTCCCAGCAGATGGCGGCGGCAAGACAAATTTTGACACCCTTGATCGTGGTACTGATGGCTTTGAGAGATTTAGGCTGGCCTTGGCCCCAAATGAGGCGTTCAGATGCAGTAGGTTGAACCTTGCGTCGTTTTCCCACAACGCCTTTGGCAGGGTCAACATAGACGACAGAGCAGTATAGAGTGCCCGCAGAACGCTCCAGAACGCCAGTGACGATGTACACTCCGGTTTCTTGAGCAATTCTCTCTAGCTCTTCTCGAACACCGTCTCCGCGTATCCCGTTTTCACTAGTGGGAAGTCTCCGATGGATCCAGTCGTCATCTGCACCTTGAGGCGTGTCTCCCAGATCGATAGCGCCTTGGAAGTAGGTCAGGTACTGCTGATAGCCATCTGGAGTCCTCTGGCCAATCTTGGCACCAAATGTTGCGAACCGGGGATATCCGCCCAGGTAAACTTCTGGGAACAGGATGAGGTCGACACCTTGAGCGGCAGCCTCTTTGACCTTGGCCTCAAGTTGCTTTAGACTGTTTGCGTTTGTGTCAAGAGTTCGACACTGAGCCGCAGCAACTTTGAGGATCTTGGGCATTGTGGCTGATTTTCTTTTCTCCTCCTCCGGGAACGACGGGTAGAACGGAATGTCGGTATGATTTGTGAAACTAGTAGAACTTCGCCCTCAAGGATATGAAAGATGGGATGATGAATGCAAACGTCTTTGGAGAAGATTGGGGCAGCCCTTTCCGTCTTTTATCTAACAGATCATGAGTATTCCGATGACTTTTCGAAGCTGCCATACGGTTACCCCACGAATTGCAGAGAGTGAGACTGTGTTTAGTTTCCGCTGCGTTCCGTGGTTCACGTCGGAAGCGACTTAAGCGACACAGACGGCGCGTGCCTATTGGATGCCCCCTTACCAAATTAGGCAATTCTCACCGTAATCACGATGTTCTTCCTGTAAGTCGTAATACCAACTTGTATAACATCTATATAGGAAATATATAGTCTAGTTGCTATTTTTCAATATTGTAGCTATATACTCATAAGTGGCTGTGGTGTTGGATCACTCAGGTTGCCTCAACTCTCAGCATACCAAAAAGGCCATCGCCTGTTGCAGGATATGGCTCCTAAATCCCAGCAGAAACTAAAAATTGCGACAGCGCAGGTCCATACAGTTCACGACTCTCAAAGGGCACTCGATGTGCTTGAAACTAGGGTGCGAAAATTGAGCGCTGAGCACGTGGATCTTGTGCTTTTCCCAGAAGTCTTTGTCGGCGGGTTTCCACGACTGTCTACCTTTGGCAATTCTGCAATCGGAACGTTTGGAGATGAAAAAGACTACAACCCATGGGTGAATCATTGGCGAGCATCTGCTGATCTTGGAGATACGCCTAAAGGAGCCGGTCAAAGATGGATAAAACGGGAACTGCCTCGACCTCCCAATCGTGCCTACAGGGGAGATGGAACGAGAGAGCGACTGGAGAAGATAGCAGCTGATACCGGCGTCTTCATAGTAGTTGGAGTTGTAGAAAGATCTGGCGGATCATTATACAGCTCTATTGTCTATATATGTCCCAGGCTGGGGATAATTGGCAAGAGACGCAAGGTAATGCCAACAGGGCTAGAGAGAGTTGCGTGGGGCCAGGGAAGCCCCTCGACACTTGAAGCGGTCTCAACGACAATCAGAGGAGTGAAGTTGAGAATGTCAGGTGAGTAATGAGATATTGCTTTGCGCTTTATCGAGAGGCAGAAAGCTAAAGATAAGGATCTAGCTGCAATTTGTTGGGAAAACTGGATGCCGCTGTTACGGCAAAGCATCTATAACCAAGGCATAAATCTGTTTCTGGGACCTACCGCACATGCTACAGAGATCTGGGTGCCATTGATGCAGACAATCGGAGTTGAATGCAACGCGTTTGTGTTATCAGCAACGCCTTGTATCAGGGCAAGCGACCTCCCAGAATGGATAACTGAGGCAGCTGAGCGCGGAGACGAGATAGTGAGCAGAGGAGGGTCGGTGATTGTGTCTCCCGGTGGCGATGTTCTCGGAGGCCCAGGGTGGGATAATGAGGATGAGATTTTTATCGCAGAAGTTGACTTTGCGGATTGTGAATCATCAGGAGATGACGGGGTGGCAATGGCTCATGCAAAGAACAACGGCTTTGTTTTCACCGTTGACGGGCTAGATATGCGTATTACATGATATGACACGCACACACAGCAAGATTAACTAAACAATGAATTAATCGTCAACAAATTCTCAGATCGATGACCTTGTGCACCAAAATTGGCTCAGCAGCCAAGTCAAAAGGCTAAGTGAAGGTTTCCTCTGTTGCACAAGTCTACCTTGGCCTTAGTAGATACTGCAACTTCGCTGTCAATGAGATGACCCAATCTGCTTCTACTCCCGCGGAGATCTGCTTTTTCACACCGTCGTTGATGCGCCACAATTATAATTCGCTTGCAAAGCATTGTCGCTTATGAAGCAAGTCCGCGCTTAATAATCAAGCTAAAAATGAAGCTATACACATACGAAATATAGCGTAATATAGCACTGAAGAGTGAGGGTCGATGTGTTTGTCCGTACTCCATATCCTTCTAATAGCATTTGTCTTGTCGCCGTTCGACGGAGAAGATTCAGCGACTGGGAAATAGGCCACAAGTAGACCGTGGGGCGTAAAGTTAGGCCAAAGCCGAAATTTCCGATCCAATAGCCACATACAGACTGCGGCTGGATTACAGTTTTGCTTTAGCCAAGATTTACAACTGAGTCGCGATTGGCCGCTAACAGACCACGAACTGGGTTAGAAGGAAGTGCTTACTTATACTGTGACGTCGATTGTCCAACTTCATTCTTAATTCGAAATCGATACATATATTCAAGCTTTGAGCATTAGCTGTATCTTGATAGCTTACCAGAGACATATTTTGTGCTCGCTGCCTTGACATCAGAGACCTCGCTACCATGGCCAAGACACTTCCTAAGGGCCTCTATGCCCCTCTCCCTGTATTTTTCAACGACCAAGACGAGATCGGTAAGCTGGCATTCAGCAACAGTTAGAAGCCAAATCTTTTATTGATAGATGAATTGTAGATTATGAAGCATTCGCGAAGCACGCGAAATGTAAGTACATTCAATTCAAATCGGAAGTGGACAGCGCAAAGAGCAGTGGAATATTACCGGCTGCTAATATGAGGAAAATAAGACGTCACCGCTCCTGGAGTCTTGCCCGTTGTTTCTGCAAGCATGGGCGAGGCGGTACACTTGGTTCGTTGGTGTCCGGAACGAATCTTTGTCCTTTTCGCTTCTTTGTTAACATCAAATTTCAGACTCCACAAGAGCGCGTAAAGCTGATCGAGACTCTACGAAGTGCTCTCGATTCCATTGGCTTACAAGAGACGCCAATTGTTGCCGGCGTAGGAGGCAATAGCACCCGTGAAACAATCCAGTTGGCTCGCGATGCTGCTGCAGCCGGCGCAAACTTTGCTCTTGTCATTGCTCCGGGATACTGGGCTGGTTATCTAAAAGGAAACCCGGCGGCGGCAAGAAAGTTCTTCGTTGATGTGGCTGCAGCCTCGCCAATCCCAGTGTATGCCCCCCTCCCGTCTGTTGCACGACAGGATCATTCGCTAATATTGACGTTGGAGATAGCGTCATATACAACTTCCCTCCTGTAGCAGGAGGAATAGATTTGGACAGCGATGATGTTGTAGAGATAGCAAGACTCGCGCCCAATATATGCGGCATCATGCTATCGTAGGCTCCCCAATCTTCATATGTCACATCCGCCTCTACTAACATGAACATAGATGCGGTAACGTAGGAAAGCTTGCAAGGATCACCGCTGTGCTCGACAATACCTCTTTCACAACACTTGCTGGTCTCATTGACTTTCTTCTCCCCTCTGTGGTAGTGGGATCCGCTGGAGCTATTAGTCCTCTACCCAATATTGCGCCGGTTCGTCAATTGTTTATAATTATGGAGGAATTAATGGCTAACATTGGGCTTAGAAGTTTTCCATGAATCTGTGGAAATTGACGCAAAATTTGGAAACAAAGGCCGATTTTACAAACGCACAGTTTGCTCAAGGACTCGCTTCTTTAGGAGAGGCTGCGCTGTTAAAGAGTGGCGTAAGTTTTAGTGCAAAGCCGTGCTTTACGTCCATCACAAGTTAACATTGGACAGGTTCCCGGATTAAAATCGTTGCTTAACAAGCAATTTGGATATTCCGCAGCACCCAGGTCGCCGCTTATGGCCTATGGCGATGTGAATGGCTTATCCGAAAATGAGCATATTGGCGACGTATTGAAGTTAGAGGAATCTTCATAACGCATGATGATAACTTCTTTCTATTGGCCTATTTATTCATCGCCTACTAATAACTAGTACCATAAACTTAAAGCTTTGGCAGGTTCTCCTTGATATACAGTGCAATGTTCGGGCGCTGTTCGAATGTCTCTTTGAACTTTATGATAGACGTTGACAGGTTTGCCTGTTCAAGGTGAAATTAGCGACAGCATATTCACCAAACCATAACCCAGAATGGTGCTTACTGGCAGAGTACCTGTCCTTTGGTCATTGTCAATAGACTGATAAACAGCAAAATCAGCGTAGGTGATTTTGTCACCCAGCAAGTAAGGGCCATCAATTTCGGCATAGTACTGGGCTATTGTGTCGTAATAACTTGGCACAAAGGTGTCCTTATACTCGTCTGTTTTTGTCCCCAGATTTTGAATCCATTTAAACTTTATACGTCAGTTTTGCCATACAAATGAAACAATGGGGGTACTCACTCGCCAATCAATGTAAACATCGGATACTGCGTCTACAATAAACTTTTCCCAGTTTGTTTCTCCATCATAGCGGCCAAGATCTCGGGCGATATAGCGTAAGGTTGGAATATGCTGGTGAAGTAAATCAATATCTCAAAGCCTTACTAAGTAACAAGTCAGAAGTCCATACCTGATTCAAAACTACACCCTTGTATTCTACTGCAGGGACTTTACCAGTCCTTGTAAGCCCCTTCCGCTTCAGTTCATCGCTGGTCTGGGGCCACGTGTCATCGCTAGGATATCGGATGTCTTGGTATTCAATTCCCGCATCTTTCAGAAAGAGACTTAATAGAAGGATTCAAAATGATGAGTGATTCAAGACATTAATCATATTTGATTTGTTGATCAGATAAGTCAGGGCACTCACTTGACTACTTCGCCACGACCGAGTCGGCCAATGGCCAAATAATGAAGAGCCGAAACGGAAGACCGAGCTGCCATAATGGAATTTGTGAACAAATTCATATGAGATGATTCGCAATGTGTGTGTTAACTCAAAGGTAACTCCGTAATCTTTGGTGCCCAGCTGTGAATCATAGGCTTCTTACGAAATGGATTTATCTCTCTACGCGTGCTTTGCATAAAGGGCGCCGATAACAAAGGAGTGGCGCCAACTATGCTGTATTACAAATCCAAGCCGCGAAGATCGATGAAACTATCTAGGAGGTGAATGCATCTCCGGTCCGCGTATAATAAAAGTTACTGAAAATCGGAATTCAGCAACCGAGTTTACCTAGAGCGAGTTAGACGACATAGCCGAGACTAGCGACAGTTTACAAGATGCGCTGATCCTCATGATCGTATGCTGTGGTAATGGCCAAAATGGAATCATAGAATGGATGGTTTTTAAATGAAAATATACATGACTCTGGACTAGATACGTAATGCTTTTATGTAGTTGAGCATTTAAGTAGACATTCTTTGTATTTGGCTTTGGCGGCATATGAGGTTCTAGAGTTGCAGAGTGAGCGCCGTTAACATTTGTCAGTACGAAATGTTTAAAAAAAAAAAATGAATCCTGACCATTACAATACAGGATAATTCAATCGCGATGCCGACGCCTCAAGCTTCTCAACTGACACTCTTTTACTCCCCGGCGGCTTGCTCCTTCGTTCCCCATGTCGCCCTCTGCGAGGCAGGACTGGATTTCCAGCTGGTTCTCACTAAAATTGGACATATGACGAAGGAATTCGAAGCCATCAACCCAAAACGACGAGTACCGGTGCTCATAATAAACAAAGAAGTGATTACTGAGATGTCCGCCGTCCTCACAGCAATCGCAACCGTTGCGCCGGAAGCACATATCTTTGGGAAAACTCCGCTCGAGAAAATCCGAGTCTACGAGTGGCTCAACTACCTCTCGACAACAGCGCATGGTCAAGCCGTTGCAGAAATATGGCGAACTGAGAGGTTCACAAACAATCCAGAGATCTATCCTCAACTTCGGGCCAAGGGATACGAAACTATGCGAGAAATTTTCGCTCACATAGAAGCTAAATTTATCGAAGGAAACGTCACAGAATTTGCAGTGGGAAACGCTTTTACTGCTGCTGATTCTTTCCTCACGGTTTTATATCTCTGGGCAATCCGATTCAAAGAGGTTACGATTGACATTGATAACGACTATCCCGTATATGCGGGCTACGTGAAAAGAATGCTCGCAAGAGACGCCTTTATTCAAGGTAGAAGGATTCATAAACTGTGAAAATAAGGGTATATAGTATCATAAAGTTAGTTTATTATATTCTTATCCTGCAACAACCCTGGGAGTTGCATCATATCTCACAGCCGGAAAAGGCAACCCGAGGAACACATATAAGTAGTAGAGGTACAATGACTAACGGAAACTTCCCGACCGGTTTGATTCCAATTAAATTGTGGTACTAAGTCAATCTCCGCTGTTTATGTTGGATCATCGGATTACCCACCTGGCGCCGGCTGGTAGCGTTCCCCTTAAAATAAACATATTTCCTGGCTTGATTCACGATTAGCTGTTTCTATTTCACTTCTTTGAGTATAGTTCCCGGTGGCATATAGCGTCTAATTTATCTGCCATCAAGATACACAGGATGATGGAAACTTGTCAGATCGAGCATGAGCTCTCCGAGCTCCACGAAAGACAAGCCACAGACGGCGCGGTATCGAACTTGGTCGAGTCTCCTCATTCCAAGGCGGCAACGAGCCCTATTCCGTCGAGAAACAATGTTGGTAAAAGACCAGATTGCTTCAAAAACACTTTTCAAGAGATTTGTTTCATTTTAATGGCCACGCTGGCCCTAGCAGCGAACAGTCTCGTCACTGGTGCCATGATAATTGTCACAGCTTCAATCGGAAGAGACCTGCACATGACACAGGCTCAAATAACTTGGATTAGTGCCGCAACGACGTGAGCACATCTTATCTCCCTATGGATTTAAGCCTTTTTATGTCTTTTGTTACTGTATTTATGCTGTGGCTAAAGTTGTATCCAGTCTTTCTGCAGGAGCCCTTCAATTGCCTCTAGGCCAGCTTACCGATCTTCTCGGCCGCAAGGCTTTCTTCATTGCGGGTATGGTTGGCTTTAGCGTAAGCAGCCTCATACTAGGATTTTCTCGAAATCCGTTCTGGATGAACATTCTGTGTGGCTTTCTTGGCCTCTTCTCAGCTGTGATTGTCCCACCGGCGATTGGAATACTCGGAGCGGCGTACGCGGAGCCGTCAAAGCGCAAGAATTGGGCATTTGCGTGTTTCAGCGCGGGCAACCCTGTCGGATTCGGACTCGGCAGTATCATCATGGGAATATCTGCTAGGATATTTGACTGGCGTGCGGGCTTTTTCTTCTTCACCATCCTCTGGGGACTATTAGCCATCGTGTCAATCTGGGTTGTGCCTGACATCGAAGCCTATGAGCCTGGGCCATTTGGGCAAGATTACGTGCCGGTCTTAGGCAATTCGATATCGTCGGAACTGCTTTGATAATCGTTGGCGTTGGGCTATTTATAACGGGTCTGACGTATGTCGATAATTCACAGCTAATACGGGAAGATGTTTGCTGACGTGATATGTAGACTTGGGCCCGGAGACGGCTGGAAATCCGCCCATGTTATTGTAATTTTAATTATTGGCTTCTTCCTACTCGTAGGATTTGTTATCTGGGAAAGAATTTGCCTAAACCCTTTGATGCCGCTTCATATTTGGAGGGATAGGGGATTTTCCTTTGTGAGTTTTGCATATTTCTAGTTGGCCGCTCGGTTGTATCATGAAGTCTGACCTGCGTCTAGTTAATGCCTGTTTCTATATTTGGTGTCATGGCTATGCTTTCATCGAATTTTTGGCTTGCCCTATTCATCCAGGAAGTCCATCACCGTTCCGCTCTAGTAGTTGCTGTATAACTTTTACCGCAGGTCATATCTGCAATTATTTCTAATATCGTAGCCGTAAATATTCTTCACCGAGTCAACAATAGCCTCATCATGGTGTTTGGTGCCGTCATGTATCTCGTTGCGAATCTGTTACTTGCTGTTTAGAATCCTTTAGCAACATATTGGGCCTTTATTTTCCCGTCGTTATTGATAAATGTGATGGGACTTGATCTGTAGTTCAATGTCACTAATGTGAGTAGTTGCGTTCCCCTGGTGAACTTCCTGTCTAATTGCTATATAGATGTATGTTATGTAATCGCTTCTATTTCACCAATAGTCATTAGCCGGTGGCATCTTCAATATGTTCATTCGCTTGGGCACGACTATTGTTTTCGGAATGTCCACGGCAGTATATAGCTCAGTTAAAGATACACCGGGAGGAGAAGATAATGTATTCAAGCCGTTTCGGAGCGCATTTTATGTTTCTCTAGGGTTTGCTGCTTTGGCTTGCTTATTTGTACCTTTTCTACGTATTGGTACGCAAGGAAACTCTCCAAAAGAAGAGTAACAAGTACCAGTATATAGCTCACTTATGTATAGAGTCGCAGCGTAACGTTGTGGCTCTCTCAAGTTTCTATTTGTGTTAACCTGTAGTCAAAAAGCAAAGAGATTGTTTAGTCCAGAACTCACTGAATTGACTAAAACACGAAATGAATGGCAAGGACATTCACTAATGCTTGGTGCGCTGACTACTCGTAGAGAGTTATGATTAAAGATAGCCACACTTATAACAAAATGAAACACATTTCGTCGTCTCTTCAAACTGCCGACCTCAATTGCCACAGCTCGCTTTGAGGTTCCATAGCACAATAATTTTGGTGAGCAATCTTGCGTCAGGGCACAGATCGACTTTCGGCTTTCGGCATCTCCCATAAGCAAAACGTACTGTTCTCATTGGGCCTCGCTTTTCGCTCACTGCGTACAGAAAGCGGCGAAAGCGGCATTAGTGCTGACTTTCTGCACATGAGGAATCTTTTTAGCCGGCTCGACGTTATGTAATAGTCGCCCAGCTAATAGCTACAGCTGAGATTTGCCGATGTGGCTTCCGCCCGATTATAGGGCTTCTATGGTCTACGCTGTTGCTCTGTAATTAATCATCACGGTACGTCATGCGGTGGTGTCATTCCTAGTGTCGTTGGTTTATATGTATATGTAGACTTGAGCTGAAACGCGTAAATACATACACCATTTCGGGTCGATAAAACTTGTTCACAGAAAGGAAGAAAGAGACCTACGAGTCTGCCAACGTGAATTATACTACTCGCCAGCAGGTAAAACCGGAACATTTTACAGCTGTAACAATTGCACATCTTTGCACTCATGGCTGTGTCAATATCAGGTCTTCAAGGATGGCATCCCGGAGAAGTTGCCATGCAGTCGAAATTAGGCTTTGCGGAAGCAATGGCTTCTTCATGGCACCTAATCGAAGACAGAATGCGCGAACAACATCGCATTTTCCACACAAGGAACTTGCCCTTTATCCCGATAACCACCACAGACGATGAGGGGCGGCCATGGGCTTCGCTTGTTGCTGGCGCCGATGGAGAAATTGGATTCGTAGAGGGTCCTGATCTAAAAACCCTCATCATCAACGCAAGACTATGGCCTGGAGAGCCATTGTTGGACACACTCAATAAATGGGTTGACGGAGATGGCCAGACTCCGACCGCACCAGAGAGGTATTTAACCGCCGGCATAGGTATCGAGTTTCCCACTCGAAGACGCAATAAGTTTGCGGGATACATAAAGGACGTAAAGCGAACGACAGACATGGACTTTAGACTGAATTTGCAGGTTAATCAAACGACTGGGTAAGTCTCGGAGGCCAATCTCATTGTGTCACTTTTTCTTCGGGAGGGGATTCTAACGTCATCGTTGTAGAAACTGCCCTAAATACATCAACATTAGAAAGCTTGTGGGCTGTAAAACAACCAACCCAACCATTGCATACGAGAAGCGGCATATGGCGCAGTTTGAGAGACTTCCCCAAGAAGTTATCGATTTCATTACAAGTGCTGATACCGTATTCATTGGTTCAGTCTACCGATCCGACCCGGTCACAGCAGCGAAGTTTCCATCACATGCAGGGTCGAATGCACGAGGCGGATTGCCAGGGTTTATGCGAGTCAGTCCGTCGGATGGATGTTCAGTGGTTCTGCCTGACTACTCCGGGAATCGATTTATGTCTAGTCTCGGCAATGTTGAGTCGAGCAAGCAGATGGCCCTCACCATTGTCTCTTTTACAACTGGTGATATCCTGTATCTTACTGGAACGGCGGAAAACCTTGTCGGTCCTCCTGCTCTCGAAGTCATGGTCAAGCACGCAAGCCTCACTGTGTTGAAAACTAAAGGATTCATCTTCGTTCGGGACGCCCTTCCCGTACGGCAGCAGTTTGGCACAGAGATCGAGCGCAGCCCGTACAGTCCTAAAGTCAAATACCTTGTCGAAGAGCCTGAGGGCCAAGCAAGCGCCGCTGGACTGCACAAAGCTAAATTGACCAGTGCAACACAGCTCTCGCATGATCTTGCTGTTTTTAGATTCAAAGTTACCTCGAAGCCTGGCGCTGAACCAATCAAGATACGGCCCGGACAAGCTATCGCTTTGGACTTCATGGACTGGATAGGGCCTCCGGCATATCAACACATGGCCAACTCTGCACCTGGGTCGGTCAATGATGATAGAATACGGACCTGGACTGTTTCAAGTACTCACGAGAATCGGGACGTTACTTGGTTCGATCTCACGATGCGCGAGATGAAAGGAGGCGCGGTCACTGGGGCGCTGTTCGATGTATTGAGGAGGCATTCTTCCAACCAATGGGAAAAGCCCATAACGATTACCGAAGATGTTGTCTGCGAAGTCGTCGGTGTAACGGGTGACTTTTTCTTGGGAGATGAAAACGTCAATATGCTCTGGGTTGCTGGTGGTATTGGCATCACCCCTTTCCTCGCCATGTTTAGCGCGTTGTCTGAACGAAAAACAAAAGCGGATGGCGATGTCGTACTCGCCTTATCAACACGAGAACCCGAAATGATGCTGAGACTGGTCCAGGCTTCTCTCCGAAATGCACTCTTGAAGGTCAGGCTGCGAATCGATATTTTCACAGGCAAAGAGCACGTAGATATGGATGGCATCGATCAGCAGAATATACAGATTAAGATTCACAAGGGTCGACTGACGATGGGTTATTTTCCAGAGGTGGCAAGCGATCGAGATGTTTTAATATGTGGTCCGGGCGGATTCGGAGATTTGGCAATGGACGGGCTGAGAGCCGCGGGAGTACCGGACGAAAAGATGTTACGAGAAGGATTTTATTGATGTGGCAACGAATGGGAAAAGGGGGATTGATTGGCGTTATGGGGTGGAAACGATATTGGATAGCACATGAGTTTCATTCAACGATGAGTTTAAACGACTTTTATGATGTACAACTACTCAAATTTTATTGATATAATCATCCTACGTGTTCGCATTCTCCGTTTTTTTCACCATGATGGCTTGCTCGCAGATGAACAAGGACGGCCACAATACCATTGGACTTGATCTTCATGAATAAAAGCATTTATTGCTCTATATCAGCGACTCGATAACATCGCTCGTCATATGTGACAGTTGACTAGATTAAAAAAGAGATACACCTCGGCTATTGTGCAGCTTAAGCGATATAGGCGAGATACACGATTAGTAAACTCGGTGAAGTCGGCGGGCGCCATTGGCATTCTTTAGCGGTCCGTGGTAGGAAGAATATCTTAATTAGGCCTCGATTCCAGGGTTCATTTTATGGCTTTTGCTGTCTTTGGCCTTATTTTACTGTCTAATACCTAGGCTTTCACAGCAAACATTTGCGGCTCTCTACCCATCCTTGTACCTTTCAAGCTAAAGAGTGAGATTACACTACCAAGGCATAGCAGTTCAAAAACTTTCAGTTGCCGGCATATCTAGTTCGCCGGTCTGATTATCAATTTCTAACCATGGCTATCGCTCCCGGTTCACCTGTGAAACTATGGTATTCGCCTGGAGCCTGCTCTTTTGCTGCTCATATAGCACTTCTTGAAGCTGGGCTTCAACCCGAGCTAATTCTTGCTCAAACGGGCAAGATGACGGAAGAGTTTGCTCACGTGAATCCTAAAATGAGAGTCCCGGTCTTGGCAGTTGGCGACGAAGTTATCACCGAAATGCCAGCTATCCTTACAGCTATCTCGGCATTGAACCCTACTCGCCAATTACTGGGACAGAATACAGCAGAGATTGTTCGTTCATACGAGTGGTTGAACTATCTCTCCGGTACGCTACACGGACAAGGATATGGAGGACTCTGGAGACCGGAGAGGTTTGTGAGTGATGAATCGTTACATGCGGCAGTCCAGGAGAGAGCGAGGCAGACCATCAAAGATTGCTGTGCTTTTATAGATGGCAAACTCAGCGAATCCAAGAGCACCAATTCCGTGGGAGATTCCTTTACAGGCGTAGATGCCTTTCTAATGGTATTCTATATGTGGGGATTCAGGGCTAACATCAACATGGACACCGACTACCCGGCATATGCAGCATTGGCCCATCGCCTCTTGCAAAGGGAGTCTGTAATCGAGGCTCGAAAGGTCCATGTACATATGTGTTAGTAGGATTGTGTTATAATCTAACACTGATAGTTATAATAATAAGCCTATAGGGTAGGCAGCTTTGGATTAACTTGGGACTAAATAATTAATTAATTATAAGTGTGACAAACCGTACACTAGATAGTTAGTAATACAAGGGATTCCTAAGGGATAAACCTAGAGTTTAGTTCCAGGTATATATTAGCGGATTAATTAAGAAGCTTTTAGGTAATATAGGTAATAGTTAATAAATATCACTGAAGAGAGCTATAGATAGAGACAATGGTGCAAGTCAAGATTGACAGGCATTGAAAGTCGGGCTTCAATTATCTCGCTCTTAACTAGGTATGAAATCAAGCATCAAGGTATTCGTGCTAACTGCAGTTGCAATTAGCTATTATAATTGGCGTGATGCAGCTCTATAATATTTCCCATGCGGTCCCAACCCCAACCTTGTGATGAGATATTTAAGAACTTTTTTTCAATACGATATTCCACCAAGTTATGTATATAAAACTCTACCCTTTGAAATCTCGATGCCCATGTCCAAGGCCCAGAGCTATATTCTTCCGCTCTCTTGCTACACACTGATCGATAAAGTATTCTGGTAAATGCCGAGTCTCTATATAGTAAACGCTTTTCATCAGAACCTCATTCGCTTTCCGCAGGTATTCTTTGCTGAACGTGGACCAAAGATCTTTATCTACTTCGGAATCCATTTCCGGAAGTGGATAGTATGGATCGTTTTCAAAGAATGCAAGGACTAGTTGGCTGATAACATCTTCCGGGCGTTCCAAGAGTGCTTTCTCTGACCAACGATTGCAAAGGTTGAAATCAAGGATCCACATTCTATGTGTTCGTTGTGGTAAGAGAATAGTGTTGGAGTATCCGGGTTCAGCTTCTTCTAATACAGGGATTTGTTGTGAAAGGATATCAGTGGCTTGCTGCGTATGCGCAGAGCCAATCTCCCCTCCCAGAACAAATTCAACGTCATAAGCGTCCACGTGAGCAGCCCAATGAATAATAGCGAGAGCTTCGGCAATATCAGTAGCATATTTTTTCACAGGGAGGTCTAGATCGATCATTTGATCAAGGCATAGATTGTAGTTGCGGAGAGAGAAATTTGGCGGCGGAGGAGCGTTCGAGTTACGACGTCGACCCAGGTATATTCGTAGAAGACAGTCTCTATTGGTAGGATTTGATATAACGTCTTCTTTTAGACTTTCTGGGCAGTAGATGTCTATCAACGCATGGCGGAGCACTTGTGGCAGCTGGGGAATACGCTGCGTGACAAGGCCCATAGATGGAAGTGGAAACGTGCTGCTGCGCTCCATGAAGAGAGGTTTGTTGGCATCCCACCAAGTGGCATCTGTTTTAGAAATAAAAGTATATACGAGCGGCAAAAGACATTCTGGTTGAATGGTTTGCTTGTTAAATGCTCTATAAACGCGCAGGTGACAGAGAAAGTCATTCCAAAGGCCCTCGTGAAAATGTGGACGTGAGACTTTAATCACAGTCGTGGTGCCAGGCTTGGAGAAAACGAGGCCGCACTGACCAAACCCAATTTTTCGATAGCCTATACCAAGATTGAATATGTCATGATTCGCTGAACCCAGTGAAGGAGTGACGCTGACAGTTGACTGTGGTTGGAGAAGAAGCGACAAGATGTCCTTACTGGGAATTTTCTCAGTAAGTCGAGCAGCAGTTTCAATGGCTTGGCTATTCTGACGATCAAGTAACTCAGACAATTGGTCTGTTGCATGGAAGTTGATTTCTTGCATCTCTGGAAATTGCAAATCTTTTGGCATAGCTGAAATTGTATCGCGATGCGTACCAAATGTTAAATATTATTGAATGGAGAATTGAAATTATTATTGAAAAGGTAGATTTTGTTGTTTAATTAATCTTCTGCCTAATTTAGGCAGCAGTTCTAGCTTACTTGTCGGTCCATATTGGCGCTGCTTGATGATAAATTTACCCAGTAAACTTGATGATAAATTTACCCAGTAAACTTGATGATAAATTTACCCAGTAAAATGTAAGCCGAATGATCATGGTTTAGTGTCTGAAAGGCATCTGCCTCGCCTCTATCATTCTTAGACTAGTTCTAATGAATTTTCTGGTGGTTTTGGATGTTGCGATTGTTGCTATGACAATTCCACGCATAACTAATGAGCTTTACTCCCTTGATTAGGTGGTATGGAATAGGTCGGTTTCTTAAGCACATGGGCTAAAGTGTATAAGTGTTTTTATTCCAAGTAAGCTTCATCACTTTTATTGCTATCTTCGAAATTGGCAGTCTGCTTTGTTGCGTGGCATATAACAGTATCATGAGGCCCTTCTGAGAAGATCCTGGTAATTTGCTTCAACTGTAATTGGTCTTAGTGTAAGCAGCGGAGATGGAATAGCTGTTGGTAAGGAGGCTAACCAGTGTAGGGCTGCATTGTAGCGTTGTGTTGTAATTGCACACTTGTGAGATCAATTTTCTCTATATTGCTGACCCAAGAATAGCTTGGACGAAGCTCTTTGAATCTGTGAGATTGAAGAAGCTTATGAAAGTAGCAATGGAGCTATAGATAGAGACGGTGGTGCAAGTCAGGATTGACAGGCATTGAAAGTCGGGCTTCAACTATCTCAACCCCGCATTAGAAGTTACCTAGGTAAGTAGGCCATGTAAACACGTAGGTAAACGTGATTAGAACGTTGTATGTGTACCCAGCTTACCTGATTAATTGCAGGATGAATGCAAAAATGTTGTTTCCGTAGATAAACTCGACCAACTGAATTTATGCCTTTCAATTCATCTCATAGGAATCACCTAGCTTATAATACTGCGAAACTCCGCTCTGCATGCACAGCACACTGGGGCCTTGTCAATTATAGTGGCAACTCTAGTGCTCTTTGATGCTGCGTCCCCATCACGATTGGATTGTTCCAAGATATTGTAGATTCAGAATATCTCATACCGGTTCTAAGACAATTGTCTACTCGTCTCAATAACCTCGGAAGATCAAGTATTACTCAACACATGGTTTCACCGATACTGGCTTGCTCGAAACTCGTAGACGGCTTGTCGTAAAGGCGTTTGGTCGGCGTGTTGTGGGGTAAAGTGTTATAGTTTCAATCAGAAAGTTACAGCGTGTTTACTCATCTCTTAAATCCGATACCAAAGCTGTTTTCCCCGCAGTATTGCTTTTATTTTTTCTCTCCCGAAACCTCGTTATTTTAATTGCTCACTATACACAAATTATCTGATCATGGCTAGTAGCTCTTTTCCGCTCTCGAGGTCATTCGGATCCTTGGACGAGTATGCCAAAGCCAGAGAGTCCCTCGTGAGGGCTGAGAAGGCGCACGGCTATGAAGGCCTAGTCCAGAGAACGAGTCTGGAATCGGCAGCTGAGGACATTATCCAGCAACTCAAGGCTTGGGAAGATGAAAATATTTATGGTATCAAGAGCGACGGGTCTGGTTTCGAGGCAGGCCATCGGTTTTTCCACGGGTTGGATGTAGCACCGACGAGCAAGCTGTTTGAGGCTGCCGTCAAGGCCCCCAAAGGCTGTCTTTTACATTGCCATTACGACTGTCTTTTACCTCCGGATACAGCTCTCAGCGATGCTCGCAACCAGCCGAACCTTTATATCAAGGCTGACGTGCCATTGGTCTCTGAAGGGCTCTTTGCTTATGCATTACCACAGTTTGATGTGTTTAGCCAAGATATACCACTAGTTGACTCTAGCAACATGTTCAGCAAGGGTTATATAGCCGGATCCTGGATGCGCTATTCGGAATTCCTGGCTAGATTTCCAGGCGGAGCTGCAAAAGCAGAAGCATGGCTGCATAAGAGAATGGTGTTGAAACCAGAGGACTCTTATCACCCGAAGCAGACAGTTGATGGGTGAGTGTGGGCAAAACTACGACTGATTACAAAAGTAAGTCAAAGTTGTTAACGGTTTTAGCATTTGGCAACAATTCATCCGCTCAGTAACAGTTATTCGATCGATGCTCGGATATGAAACTGCGTACAGAGAACAATTTCGAAGAGTATTGTGGAAGTTTGCACAAGACGGCATCATGTATGCAGAGATTCGAGTAGCGCTCAATTATGGCTTCGCTATCAAGTCTGATGATGGTACTCGGGAACTCAAGCAAAAGGAAGCTTTGGAGATTTTCCAGAGCGTCCTCAAAGAAGAAATCCCAAAGATTCACGCCGCGGGCCATGTATTTTATGGTGTCAAGGTTATCTATGCGTGTATGAGGTCTTCTTCCAGAGAGGCCATGCTATGGTGCATGGACAACTGCATCGAAATGAAGCAGCTGTTCCCCGATTTAATTTGCGGTGAGACACCAGGTGTTCAATTTACTTTCCAAAGCTAACAAAGTAACTAGCATTTGATATGCAAGGTCAAGAAGATACTGGCCACCCGCTCTCTTACTGGGTCGCCGATCTTCTCGATATGCGCGCCAAAATCACTCAGTTGAATCTTGATTTGCCATTCATCTTTCATGCTGGAGAGACACTTGATCACGGTGGGGAGACTGACTCAAACTTGTATGATGCTATCCTTCTTGACACGAAGCGCATCGGTCACGGTTTCAGCATTACCAAGCATCCGCTTCTGATGCAGCTTTGCAAAGAGAGGCAAATCGCAATTGAGACTTGCCCCATTTCTAACGAAGTGTTGGGATTGGTCCCTACAACGAAATCTCACCATTTACCAGTGCTCTTGGCAAATTGTGTACCCTGCACCGTCAACAGTGATGATCCCGGATCTTGGGAGTAAGTACTTCCGTCGGTATCTAAATGGTGATGTTAATACTAACTTATACAGAGCGAGCATGCTATCCCATGACTTTCATCAAGCAATGATGGGCAGTGAAAACATGACGCTCATGGGCTGGCGAACCATCGCAGAATGGAGTATCTCGTACAGCTGCACAAGTGAAGCGACGAAGAAGGAGATGCTAAACGACTACAGAAACAAATGGACAGAATTCTGTCAATGGATTATTGATACAAATGGAAAGAAATAGAGTTATCTGAAACGGATGTAGGAATAGGGTTTGCTTTGGTTGGTCAAGGAGTTCAACAATACTGATACTCATTCTCAACGGAGTATTATTGGATGGTTCAAGGAATTCAACAGCAATAGTACTCATTTTCAACGGAGTATTTGGTGGTATAGCATTGATTGATTTTCTTTCTTGGTATTTCAACACTTTATGAGTCAATTTCATGGGCGCTGTCACTCAACATTTGGCAGCAAGATACCCAAGAGTAGATCGATATATATATATTTGAATAGCTGTTTGCAAATCACTTTTGTTATTCTGTAACCGCTAAAGCTGTTGTTGCAAAGATAAGCATGAAGTCTGCGCACAATCACGCCTTTCTATCGATGCCTTAAGTCGATGATTATATGGACTCATATCTTAGGTTAGTTTAGTTTTATGTAACGAAATATACAGTCCGTTTAAGCTAGTTCGAAGATGTTGAGAAGTCTTAGCGATCAAGTTATAGACATTTGCTAGTCCAGTTACCATTGCTTAAGGCCTTGTAGAACTTGAGTTAGTATACTGATGGCTCTGTAGCCGCGGCACCTCATTGACATAATACTCTTGAGGTGTTCTTTGCCACATACTTTTCCGGTCTCGTTTCTACAGCTAAGTGACTTAGCTTCACGATTTTCTCTTCTAGAGCTGACAAAGAAGTATACAAAAACTAAGGAAGTAAAATGAGGAAAAGGAATTGAAGTCTTAGGGATGTGTACAGGAGTGAAGAATCTTGTTCAAGGGTCCTTACCTTCTTCTGGCTCCGCATCGTTTCGTATCTGCATCTGCATAGCCCTCTCGGCCATATCCGAGCCCGACAAATCCTTAATATACTTCATAAACTCTTTTCTGTTTTCTAGCACGGCTTTGATGTGCTGCACTTCAAGGAATTTGTTCTGATGCCTTGCAAGATTTTGTGCCGCGAGCGTAATGTTGCGGATATCGCGACCGTTGATCTCGAGGCCTTCTGTTCTGCAGATGTCTTCTATAAATTCCATTATACGTGAGTAGTATTTTACTTTGTATTCACTGATGGAATGTCCCCAGACTTTTTGTAGCCTCTCGCCTCGCAGAGGAGGAAAGTTGATAGCAAGATCAGTGTAAGACCAGACGGCTTCATCTAGATCTCCCACCCTGCTAGTAGTTAAGATGAGTATACTGGTGTATGAGTCCATTGATCGGATTGCCAACGTTACTGCTGAAGAACTAGCCTCGTTTCTCGATCTTTGTGTGAGAAAAGCATCGGCATTTTCAAGGACGAGAATCGCGTGCCATCGCTGGGCCAGTTGAAACATCTTGGACAACTGGCGTTCCACTGAGGAATTATCTCGGATTCCAATGGTGTCTGACAGTAATGGAGTCTTTACTGTTTCCGCAATACATGTGGCAGCGAATGTCTTGCCTGTCCCCGGACCGCCATGCAGTAGCAGCGTAAGGCTCTTTTCTCTCTCTAATATTCCTGGCCGTCTTTGTATAGGTGGCTTCTGGCCTTCGTATGGATTCATCAGGTATCTGGCGTCACTTTCGCCTGAATCTTCGTTTGAATTTTTATTTGAGTGCATCTGAGCCAAGTGTGATTGGACGAGAGAAATGGCGAGAGATTTCTTTTCGACTTCCATGACAAGCGTGCGAAGCGCTTCATCCAGAAACTGAACATTGTCTATCTCATCGATAAGGACAGGAGCTTTGAGTTGTCTTTAGTGAATCAAGTAGTCTAGTTGGGTTGAAAATATGATATATATGGTTCAACTTACTCCAAATGTTCTCTTCAAGGTTGTATGCGTTGATTGTTGGTGGAGAGACCATTAGGATGCGGGGCTTTACGTCTTGATGAGGCTTGATCACGAAGTCTCCCTCAAAGTCAAAATCTGCTCGAATCTCTTCTGGAACCGACTCTTGGTCAATGACAATTCGAATAGGCTCCTAAAATATTGGAAATATAGAATAGATCGTCAAGTCAGCGTTTATTCCGTGTAGACGTGGAGAGGAAAACAATGTGAAGTAAATGCTCTTCAAGACGGAGTTGGCTGTATTACCCCATTCTTAATAATCTCCTTATGATGATAGTTGCAAGATAGAGCAATGTATTTTCGTCCTCGAGCAGCTAGCCTTTTCCGCTGCTCGGCTTCATCTCTGAGGTAGCCCGCCGGGATATATTTGAGACTTGTTACAGGCTTCTCCCCTTGGAACTGCGACGTGGAGAATTCGTGGTAACGTTTGGTTAGGCGCTTGCCATCGTGATCTATAGACCACACTCGTAGACGGAACGGCGCATACATGTCTCGAGTTTGCTGTTCCATGCCATACACAGCGGAAACTACAAAAGCCTGGAGCTGGCCGTCGTGGACGGTGTATATGATAGAGCTTAGTGGATATATCAGGGGCAGCTGCGAGAACGTGAGCCTCTGGCACCTTCTTTCTTGGATCTCCACTAGCTTTTGTGGTATCAGCAGCATATCGTCTTGCATAATGGCCAGAGACAGCCGGCGCAGCGGTTCCCTAGAGTGCATGTCGGGCGTTGTCATGAGAGCCATTTGCTCTTCCATCGAATCGGGCAACTCAAGACTTAGACTCCTGCTGAGAAGAATCTTGATGAGCATATTATTGTCCTGTACGAGAGCGCGCATGTTTGCCATCACTGTCTCTTTCTCACTCGAGCCGTCACTGGCCTGGGCATCCTGAAGGTAGTCGACGCTGTCGATGATGATGAAAACGCAATCGACTTGGCTCTCTCGGAGACACTCGAGAAACAGCTTCCACAGTTCAGAAATGTTACTGGCACACTCCCTAGTGAGGCTAGCCAGTTTTTGGCCAAAAGACTTTGGGCGCTGCTTGAACATCTGAACGATGAGTGCTTGAACAAGAGTCCGGAAATTGTTGGTCTTGGTGGAAGGGTTGTCCCCGCCGAAATGTCGCAGCACAAGGACCGATTCAAAGGAGCTGTCGCCGAAAATGAGTAGAGGGCCGACAAATAACGAGTTGAAATCGTATCTGCCGAGCACCGAGCTACCATCGACTAAAAGCAGCTGTGAGACGCTGGATTCCACCCACTTGATAATCTTCTCAGCTCGCAGCAGGTTTTGGTTTCGAGTTCGGTGTGGTCGCATCTCTGGCAGCTGCTCAATTGTTCTCCGATGCTGTCGCGTGTCTTCATCGAATTCGTGGAACTCCACGAACAACTCTCGAAACAACGCATCTATGTCTTCTTCGTGGAGAAAAGACGAGCCCTCGGCTGTCGTCGAACCTGCTGATGACATTTGTCAGCACAATTGCAAGGAACCAACTCTTCGTCTTCGATACTTACCATCATTCTTGACAATTTTTCTGTCTGTTTCTGCGCTCATGCTGGAAACGGCAGGTTGGTCGAGCCCTTCGGCTACGCGCTGCTGAAAAAGCGCAGCTATTTGAGCGATATCCTCTTTTGTCGCCATAGTAACCGAGATGGCTTCCAGTAGCTGCACTCCGCCGCTGATTGCTGTAATGCTTGTACTGAAGCTCTCAAGAATTTGGTCTAGCTTGCCTACTGCCTCGTTCACCTTCTGGTTGATCTCCGCAGACTCTTTCAGCCGATCTGCTCGTATTTCAGCTATTGGCTTTCACATAGGGTAATGTGTAATGCGAAATAAGACGTACACTCGTGTTGGATAAGAGGTAGCCAGAGATCCGTGGCATTTGCAGCCGTGAGCATCTTGTCTTGCAGCTGCTGTAATGGCTGCTCTGAGAGGGAGTAAAAACTGTACCATACTCGACCTGCACAGAAAAGATTCAGTCTAAAGACGGAGTAATAGAGAAGATCTGTCAAGATAGCATCTCACCTCCAAAAGATCTCTTCCTTTCTAGTTGGACCATGGCTGAGTACCTCAGAATTGCTTCGTAGCTAGAGCAGAGCTTGTCCTCTAAATGGCGGACGTCAGGTATGTCTTGATTGCGATAATTGGCTTCGATATTAGCGTAGCGATGCAAGTTATCGGCAAGAAGAGCAGAAGCTTTGAATACAGACTCCATTCTGTCCTGATGATTCTCGACCAGCTACACGGCGATTATGGTGATTCAGCACAGCGCTTTGGCGCCACGGTGTATGAGACCAAACTTACTTGAAGGCCCAAAGAAATGACAGTCCACGCTGAAGCGGCTGTACAAACCGGTCAGAAGAGAAGACGTTAGTTGCTGAGCAAACTTACAATAGCCGGTAGGATCGAATTTGACCGCTGCCTCGACAATGCCCTTGCTTCGGAGGGCACATTTGAGAATACTCTTGGCACTCGCCCGCACATTGACCTTGACGCTCCCATCGCTGCGCTTGATCTTCCAGCCTCTGGCCTCGTATTTCTCACAGGCTTTCTCCACCTGCTGAGCGACCTCGTCGATGGCGGCTGTCAGTGAGAGCGGCTGGTCAAACTGGAGGCCCAAGGCCTTTCTCTCCTCGTCATTGAGTTTCTCGGCTGCCTCCTTCCAAAGGAGTCGGGGCCTTTTGGGCAATGTAGTGGCGGATTCATTAGAAGGCGCTGAAGTGGCGACCGCATCACCATCGACTGAAGTTGGTAGCTGATGTTCATCAGGTGCCATAGGAATGGTAGGCTGCTTGGTAAGCTGCGCTTTCTTCTCTTTTTCAGATTTCGAAAAAGGGTTTGCAAATTTGGTCATTCTAGAAGATGAGAAATTCTGCATTTCATTGCAAATCATCCCATAACGTCGGGCATCGCGAAGCTGGCGGCGATAAATTATAAAGTCGGTCGCCGATGCGACCGACCAAACGCGGCTTGAACGCGGCACAGGCGGACAGTCGAGATTCTCAGCCGCTCTTCTTCTCAATATGCAGATGCAGGGATTTGTGAGCCAGTATGATTGGTCAATTTTAAGCAAATCAGGGCTGAAAGTGTTACACTCGATGGCATAATAAGTAACCAAGGCAGACTCTCTCTAGCAGTTTTTGGACCCCTCTCTATTAATTCAGGACCTAATGACGCTCTATCTAGAAACCCCTGTCGAGTGTTGCGATCCGTCTTACTTTCGCATTATATACATTTTCGTATCGCTCATAATATTTGGCGCCTCAACTAAAAGGCTGTCTAATAAGAACAGATGTCGATGTTAGCAGGTGAATCTGCCTTGCCCCAAACCCAATTGGGATTCAGGACGGACACGGGGCGCAGGTTGTTATATGCCCAGAACTGATAGTCGTCGTTGCGGTAGTCATCAGCGGAGAGGGGAGGGCAAGTGTTCTTGAAAGCTGAGGTGTACCAGTCCTGGTGAACAGAGTGGTGGAATTTGCCAAAGTAGAACTTTCCGTGATCAAGGTTCTTCTGAGAAAAGTTCTGCCAGTCGTTATCTCTGTAATGCTAAATTAGCTGCCGTTGCTATACTATATTATTTTTGAGGCGTCAACTTACCCCTCGAAAGTGTCATTGACATCGGACCAGCTAATATGCACATGATTGCCGTCTGTTGAAGTGTCAGTAAATCTTCGAGATGAATAATATTTCGTGTGCAACCAGACGCGACTAACCTTGCTCCATGATGACTGATTCGCGAGTATAAGTGTTGCCTCCGTCAGGAGATGTAAACCTCACAACAATTCCTTCCCAGTCGCTCTTGTGGCCAGTATCCTTCTTGAAATACACGTAGTAGATGATACGATATGAAGCATCAGAGCCGGAGGAATCGCCATTGCAAAAGGTCGATGCCCAGTACGTCGGAATGGTGACGAAGGGTTCACCCGAAACATTGCCGTAAAATGTGTTGGCTCCTTGCCAAGTAGGCTGCACGGGACAGCCATTTGCTAGAGCATTGATATTGCAGTTGTCTGTATCAACACCGTTTGTCTGGTTGCCTTCGCCATCTTCCGCCGCTGAGGGCATGCATGTGCCAGACGGCAGGTACCACATAGGCGCGGCAGCTTGACTTTTGGGAAATCAGCATAAAGGAAGCGTTTGGCAAACATCTTTCGGAATTTTGACACTCACGCAGCTGCTAAACCCCCATTGTTGGTGAAGTCGCTAACGGCAATCGGCGTATCCGCCAAAGCATTCTTGGCAGCAAGAAGCAACAACGGGACAAATTTGGCGAAACCCATGACGAAAGCGTATAGCTTAAAGAGAATTACGAGCTTCTGTTGATGGAAATGCAAAAGAGATGCCTAATTGTTGGCGCATCTTGGCGATATCGATCAATCTTTATAGGACTTTTCTATACGAAATCGTATAGCACTATTTCATGAATGACGGGAGATTAGCGATCTTCATCTCCATAGTAAGCCAAAACAGGAAGGAGGGTGGCCAGTGGTCTGTTGATCCATATTAGCGACAACATCCAACACCTTCTCCATTGGACCTATATGTGGACTTTTGGGCAATACAACTCATATCTCGCTGAAATCGTGGTCCCTGCGTATCGCGAAATGTTTCACGGATATTTAATAATCAATGACTGAATTCGTGATGCTAATGACTTGCCGAATCGGGAATCACTCCCATTGTGGCTACGAGTGAGTATCTGATGCTGTTCAGCCAAAAGGCGGTCGAGACTCGCAATGGCCAGCGGGCACGTTGTTTTTGATCTTGATGCAATTGGGGGATTACTATACTGCGGCTTCAGTATTAATAGCTAGCGATAGTAGTGACATACATTTTACATAGACCCCATAATTGCGATGCGCCTCAAGCAATTAGTCAAGATCCTCGGGCGGGCTTTATACAGGTGGTTTTCTCTAGGGCTTACTTTTGGTGACAAGTCCTGTGGATCGCTATATCCATCTGAGCTCTAACATGTGCAATTGACACTTTGCTTGTATATCGCGAACTACGTCTGCTCGTCTTGTTAGCGCACAAAAGCCTGCCGAGTTTACCGTAATCGCTGTTGCACTGCGACATCGTGTTTGCAGAGGAAGGTGACTCTATATCGGCACGACTGCTACGGGGTTTTTGATTCCACTAATCTGGAAGCGAGGATTGCCAGGGCCGACGGATGTGGTGATTTTCTTTCACCGACAAGCGGAGTCCTTGAGGCTACGGCCGATCCTTGCTAGTCTCAAAATCATGGCTTATATATCGTCACATTAAGTAAGCTAAGAATGAAGCCTAATTGGTACTTGGATAAAGATGTATGTATGTACAACCATGTCCTCCCTTTTGATAAAGCATTTTAACGACTTCGCTGTTACAAGCTGACAAATAAAGCATATAATCGAACGGTACGCGAGTGCTGCAAAACGAAGGAGAGGGGGAAATAGGGGGGAAATAATGAAGTGGAAGAGCCAATTAGAAAAGAGTCCTTCTTTAAGTCGGCGCTACGCATCTTTAAAGACTCTGAAGTAGATCTGCCAATCGTCGATACATGGATGTTCACCTTAGAAATCGAAAGAAAGCTAGCTCTTAGCTTTCAGTTGCACATTTTAACACCAATATTGAAGCTATAGAGTCTCACCATTATACGAGTAACGGCTATGCTGAATCTTGTCTACGTTTATGTTTTACTCCTGAATGCAAGGCCGCTTTGGGTACCTAGGGACCTACATAGGTGCATGCGTACTAATTCCAGTCCTCAAGGTACATGTAGTCATTCTCACCACGTGACTCTTGAAGTCGAATTTTTACATTATCTAATCGAGTTTATTGTCGCGACAACTTGATCGATACGTGTAATAACTGCGCCATCGAGTGTCTGAAGCGAGGCCCGTGGAGTGCTCTTTGGGTGGATTGAAGCCGCGATATCCCGGTTTATCAGGATATGAGTTCATTCGGGGAAGCATCCCAACCCGGTGCAGAATGGTTCTCTGTCGGCCTCGCTTCATCGTTTCCAGACGTGGGATCCGACAATGACAACCTGGCGAACTATAGAGCGTGTAGTGCGGATTCTAAACCAGGATGCAAAGTTTTCCAAGTACCCAGAGACGATAGCCTCCAAAGCGCGGAAGTCGCTATTAGAGAAGATGGTACCCTCCAGCGATCGGATATGAAGGGGCTCAAAGATCAAGTCTTGGTGTTTCGATACAAAGGAAAATTTCATGCGGTTGATCATGTAAGTCAGACACCGGGGCAAATTGATAGCCACCTACTTGTACCTTTAGGCATCCAATAATGACTTTTTTTTACGAGAAATGCCCTCATTCGTCGTATCCCCTCTCACAAGGCACGCCATTCGACATTGAAGATTTTGGCATTGTTTTTAGTGCTGGGCTTACCTGCCCAAAACATGAATGGTCATTCGATATATTCACGGGAGCAGCAGACCGTGGAAATTACCAGCTGAATATATGGGAAACGCAGTTGCGCGAAATGGAAAGCTTGGATTCGCAACAAACGGAAGTTGGCGCTAGTGAAGCATCAGGTATCACGGATAAAGAAGTATGGGTTAGGAGAAGACAACCAAAGGGGTAGTCAACTACGAGATAAGTTCACGTAATGATCTAGATTAAAGAATGCTCTTACATAAAAGAAACTGAGTACATGCGTTTTCGCAGGCATCGGGAAGTTTCTTAAAGAGCGTTTTTTTCCCCTATATTGTTATGTCAATTAATCAGCATCCAGGAGAAAACGCTTAATAATTAGGGAATGGATCATTCATAGATCGCATCCTTCCAATGCAACATTACTAAGTCATAGCAGAATATGAGAGCACCTAGATAGTCGTCAATCAAGCGGGATACTTGTCAGTCGATCGGACATGCTTGGCAAAACAACAGATACTTCCCACCACAAGTCGGATTTAAATTTACCTCCTCCTATCTCCGCCAAGAAAGATTGATATATATATATATATATATATCTATATCCTGTTATAAACAGAGATAGTTCTATTGACAACCACCTCTTCTTGTGTCAACTGTATTGCATCATATAAAAAACTCAACTAACTTCCAAATGTCGAACGTATTGGTTACAGGAGGAGGTCGTGGCCTCGGCCTTGCTCTTGTCCGTCAATTGGTAGACGACTCAAGCATTGCAAAGCTCTTTGTTACGACGAGAGGAAGCCTGCCGGCCGAACTAGGTGCTATCATTGATACCTCTGGCAAAAAGGTCATCCACATCAAATGCGAGGTTGTCGAAACCGCTAGCGTTCGGCGTGCTGCAGCCGAAGTGGAAGAAAAGCTGGAAGGAGAAGGCCTTGACGTCTTGATCAATAACATCGGTGTATGTAGAAAATTTGATTATTCTGCCAGCACGTTCCATGCTAACAAAATCCATTTTAGTCAATGCCCGTTACGCCCGAAGGAATTCACACAATGGATGCGGAAGAGTTGCTTCAAGTCTTCGACGTCAATGTTGTCGCAGCTCATAGAGTGACCGCTGCACTTATCCCGTCTTTGAAACGGGGAAAAGAAAAGAAAGTTATCATGGTGTAAGAGATCTATTTTCTTTCAGAGAAGCCGCTCAGCATTTTGGCTAACAAGAGTGTAGTTCGTCGTCTCTGGGTTCAGTTGCGTGGGCGGACCGCTACCGTTGGTCACCGGTATACGCGTATAAAATCACCAAGGCCGCAATGAGCATGCTGACAGTTCAATATGCAATGGAGTATAAGAAAGAAGGATTCACTTTCTTGGCTTTAAGCCCAGGAGTAAGTATTTCTGCAGTATTCTATATTGTCTTGAGTCCTAACACTTTCTATAGTGGTTGAAAACAGACATGGGTTCTGATAAGGCCGATCTCGATGTCGCAACAGGAGCTAAAGCGGTAAAGGACCTTGTCGACAAGGCGGACACCAGTTACAACGGAAAATTCTACAATATCCTCGTTTCAGGCTGGGAGCATGCCGAAGGAATAAACCAATACGATGGCCTTGAGATCGCATGGTAGAGGAAGCACAAGGCCCCATAGAGCAAGCATTTATTGTCTTCATTAAGCGACTACCCTTAGCTATACATTTAGCTAGTCAACAATGAGCAATCAAAACGTGCGATTCATGTCATTGACTTCTCATGCACTGTTATCTTTCTACAGAACCTCTAGTGTTTCTCATTGCCTGTTATGCTAGACAAGTCTAACGTAATTCGCCTTGGCTGCCTCATTTAGAGCGTAATACACATAGACTAATTTAAAATGCAATAGACATGCCACCATCTACCACGATATTAGCCCCATTGGTGTAGCTAGAGAGTCTGCTGGCAAGAAAAACGACGGTGTTAGCAATTTCCTCGGGAGTACCCGTCCTTCCAAGTGGAACAGCATCCAGCAGAGTTTTATAGAATGGATAGTTATCTCTCTTAACAATTTGATAAGAGCTCCACTGTATCGTGCCATCAGGTAACGTGATATTGGGGTTCTCAATAGACCCTGGTGCAATCGAGTTGATCCGAATACCTCGGGGGCCAAGGGTTCGGGAATAATCTTTGGCCAAGACAGCCTGGGCCCTCTTCAAAGTTGAGTAGGGGCCGGCGATTGACGGATGACGCGCCTCAAATCCCGCCAAAGAGCTAATTACGACAATGGACGCATTCTCCGAGGCTTTAGATTGCTCTTCAAGAAAAGGTATAGATGCTTCGATCAAAGTAATCAAGCCTAATACATCGGCACGAAAACTCTTCTCCCAGTCCTCACTTGTTGCTTCCACAAGGATAGGAGATGCTTTTCAGAAGCATGTTGATTAGAGACTGTTGGCAAGGGTTTGAGAAGGCAAAAGTGTATTGGCATAGCTTACCATTAGCGATAACGGAATCAATGCGGCCAAACTTTTCGGCTGCCTGGCTTACCCAAGCTTTGATCTCGTCTGGGTTTCCAATGTCAACAGTTGAGCCAACGGCCTGTGCTCCGTGACTGGCGCCCGTGAAAGACGAAAATTCGTCTCCGCGAATAGTCCGCGCGCAAAACGAGACATTCGCTCCTTCGGCTAAGAAGGTTTCCACGATAGATCTGCCGATACCCTTCGAGCCGCCTGCAATCTGTTGTTAGTGGTAGTAGGAATACCGGGTTGATGAAGGTGTTACCTGTCACTAGGACATGCTTCTTAGAGAGATTGGTGGAGAAAGAAGGCATTATGGAGATGATTTGTATAGTAAGATGCGAACTTGCAGCCCAAATAGCTGTGGCAAATTTCTGGCTGTCTCAAGTGTTTCTTGAAGAAAGCGAGTGATACCAGTTTCCCATAGTCGTCCATCGCGATTTCACAGCGACTTTATACCATGTAGGTATTGAATATCGATACATTCGATTCATAATCAGGTTTTTATTACCGGATATGGTATGTGTAAGATTTGAACTGGATTGCCGTTGTTTCATAGCGATGAGCGGACTTTGCCAAGGCTTTAAGTGAGTTTATTTGTCTAACGCACTGGATTTAAAGAAAAGTAAATGGCTCAGTGATCGGTAGCGAATAATTCCTAAGCTTTTAAAGAGATTTCACGTTAGATTACTAATTCCACAAATCTCCATGAAAGCTTTCACACATTACCTGTTCAGTAAGTCATCTAGCAAATGTCATTGTCACTCTCATCGCCGTGGAACAATTGTCTGAGTCCCCGCCAACGAAAGACTAAGTCCGCAAGCCCCGCGGAACCTACCCCTGGATGTGGGCGTTGATATTGGTAATCCGCTAATCCCAGATTGGTGACCGCGCGGATACATGTTTTGGTAATAGTATCCTCGTTCGTTCCTTTGCTCTTTCCAACGGCTGCTTGAACAAGCGGCGATAGCTTTGAAGAAGCATACTGCCGTATAGTATCATATCGTCTTTACTATCACTCTCTGCCTGTGTATTTCTAATGAGCCAACTATCTTCTAAAACGTGCTGGACTTGTCGGATCCGCAAGAAGCGATGCGACCGAAAACAACCGGCTTGCAGCGCCTGTCGCTCACTTGACATAACTTGCTACGATGGCAATAGCCGCCCAAGCTGGATGAACAATGATCGCGAGCGAGATGAGTTTGCAGACCAAATCAAGGCTCAAGTCAAAGAAAAAGCAGAAAGTCGCCGCGAAAAGAGCTATGTGAAAGTACTGCCTCTTGGAAGAACAAAACGGTCGAAAAGCGGCCTGAAAGTAGCTGCTCAAACACCTAAAGCGGATAAGACTGAACAGGAGGCTCAAATATCATCATCCGACAATGAACGCTCGAAGAATAATACAACACAAGCTGAAGATGTCAAATCGGACAGAGGCGTTACTGACCCGGTTTTACTTGGAGTCAGCAACGATATTGATCTTGATCTTGAGATCATTTTTCTGGACTATGCCTTTCCCTTTCTTTTTCCCTTCTACCGCCCTTCAATCTTTGAAGGTGGGCGCGGCTGGGTGCTAGCAACGTTGAGAAATAGTATGCCACTATTCCACACTGCAATGGGGTTTTCTACCTATTTCTTCACCTTAGTCATGGCGAACGTTTCCGCCGGGCGAGATGAACACGAGGCCTGCAGAAGATTAATTGAGCGCAAACTCACTTCTCACATTGATAATGCAATCAACTCCATACGAAAGGGTGTTAATGATCTCCATGCCAGCCCAACCCCGATATCAGTTTTTGGAAAAGCGCACCTCCTGGAAGGTGTCGTACAGCTATTAGTGTTTGACACCAACATTGCAAGGACTACAGAATGGAGCGTCCACATAACCGCTGCCGTTTCACTTCTTAAAGAGATTTTGGAACTACCCGGCTCTCGCGGTGAGATAGCTGACCTGACCTCGGTCTTCGCTATGATGCAGAGGCCGGGATGGTCGACTGAGTCGCCCAGCCACAGAATGTGGAACAGCGATCAAAGCGCCCTTCGATTTCACGTCGCTTTTATCATTTTTGCGGATATTATATCTGGGACTACTCTGGGAGTTGTTCCCCAATTGCGAGAATACTATACGCACCTAATTAAACCCAGAGCTAAAGCAGCTCACCCAAGCCAAATATTAGAATTAGGAGACTTCATCGGCTGCCAAGGCTCGATTCTTCTTCTGATAGCTGATATTGCGGTTCTAACAGAAAGAAAAAAATCTGGGCGCGTACTCAAAGAAGAACTGCTCTTTGAGAGTAAAAAGATTGCTGAAGGCCTTCAGAGTGGCATTGCTAGTCTTAATGACGGGATGCAGCAGCCTCTAACCAACCCAATTCTTCCTCAAGCGTATGTCCATCCTGAGACACTTCTACAGAATATAGATACCATATCAGTTAGCTTGATATGGGCATACGCGGCCGTTATCTACCTATTGATCACGACGTTTGGATGGCGAGAGGAAGATCAATGTATTCAGGAAAATGTTTCATCAGCTTTACGTCTTTTACAGCAGATTCAATCTCCAGCAATATTGCGCAGTCTCACCTGGCCATTCTTTGTCGCTGGCTGCCTTGCTACCAAGAGCCAAGAGGCGGAGTTCAGGCAAATTGCCTCCAAAATGGGTTCTTTGTCAGCTTTTGGCACGCTGAATGAGGCACTTAAGATCATGGAGAAAGTATGGAACACTCGTGGAGAGAAAGACGAGGAAACATGGGACTTCACTTGTTGTTTTAGAATGATGGGATCAATACCATTGCTGATATAATAATGCGCAAAATGATTATTGTCTGGCGTACTGATATCCATCCTAGCCTATCCTGGGCAATCATCCGTTTGGTGAGTGAGTCTCTGGACTGCGTTAGTGTCCCTTCCATGCCCCAACGATCTCACTCAGCTTGGTCGTCTTGATGTCGGGAAATTTGGCGTTCAAGCTGAGATCCTCAGGCACGTCAAAGTCTCCGTTGATGATCCACTTGCCGAACAGTGCAAAGATTCCCTGGAGTACTTGCTTTGGTGCCATGGCATATATGGCAGGGTGGGAAGGTAACTCTGTAACCTCACCCTTGTTGAGCTTCTCAACCGGATCATAGGTAACATTGAACTTGGTGCCTAAAATAAGGTTAACATTGTGCATAAATTGTATAGATCAAGTGAAAAGAGAATCACATAGAATGACATACCACGAGCTTGTTCTGCAAGGGCAAGAATTTTGTTGTAGGATGACTTTTCACCATAGCAATAAGTGATCTCCTCCCACTTGGGCAGCCCAAGAGATGCAACGACAAATTTGGCCACATCGGCCGTATAAGTGAAAGCAACAACATCATCTCCAGAACCAGGGATGCCAGCAGCCTTGTTCTTCACGTCAATCACGAAAGAGAGCGGCTTCAAATACGTTTTGACGTGAGGATATCCGTAGTAATCCATGAAGTAGCCGTTAGAGACTCGAGTCCATTCCAATCCAGACTTTCGAATCTCAGTTACAGCATCTTCTCGGAATTTATACATAGGAGACCTATACCGATGTCAGAACAAGTTGTACTCCAAGGACTGGATGTGAGCGCACTCTTCAGTATGGACAATACCCCATTCGCTAACGATGAAGCGCTTGACCGTACCAGACTGGCTGGCGGCTTTGATCAAATTGAGCTGCGCTGTCGAAGCAACCTCTTCCATTATGTGAATGGTGGAAATGACGACTTCCACCTTGTGGTTCGCAAGAAGCTGTGCCGTTTCGGCCACATTATTGTAATCGACCGCAAGAATAGGAGACTTGTTCTCGTTTTGCTCCGGGGCCTTGAACACTAGGTCAGCTATCAGGCCTTTACTAGAAGCCTTGAAATTTCCGTAACTTGCATTGCGGGCCAAGACAATGGTATTGTAAAGAGAAGACTTCTCTAGTTCATCCACGATGGTGCGGCCAACGCTGCCAGTACCGCCTGCTACTGCAATAACTTTGGACATGCTTCGAAGTTTTGGAAAAATAATTTGTTTGGGAGGAAGTCTTGAGTGTCGATGGCTGATCTCTTATCTGTAGTTGAAGTAATCAGAACTACAAATGGCGGCTGCACCTAGCCTTTAAATAGAGCTGATGATACACTTCGACTTGTACTTCTAGCTTGTATTCCATTGTGGATTTATAAGCTCAACAGTGATTAATCTCGTAATTGTCTCGCTTTTCCGCGTGAAAATCCATCTGTTGAAGACTCGTGTTGGTGGTTTCACCGCGCGGTGCCTAATTGGGGAAACCCCAACTATGGGATCCTTGATCTACCCCACATGGTACGATGGCGTTTGTAACTGATACTTCAATGAATGATGGCAATACACAAGAGAGATTGTAACCATCCCACATCTGTTCCGAGCTGCAAAGTCTCCGCGCGACTCAGAACAACCTGCCATCATTTTGAAATGGGTCTCTATGCGGATATTGACACATAGACTGTTGATCCTTCAAGAAGCTGCTGATTAACCGGCCAGTCTGCCGTCCCCATGTTAGACTGCGAACCTGAGATAAATGGAAGCTTCACTCGCCAAGTTGCCCTAGATATTGTATATTTGATAGTAATTTAGTACTAAATCACTGTATTCTTCAATTTTTATGCTCTTTGATTAAAGTACCGCTTTGCTCTTTCGCTCCACTATGCCCTTTTCTGTATAGATGCGCCAGGCTTTGTCTTGTTGTGTTATTCAGTAATCGTCACATGATCAGACAAATTATATTGCAATCGCAATCTTCAAAACACCGTTGCCAATATGAACTGAGTTGCGTCGCTGTATTTTCGTAAGCTGGTGGCGCAATCAGCTAGTCGCCCAAGTTACGGCTATAGAGTGCTGAAGTGAATAGTGAACACAAAACTGTTTCACGCAACAGAAATGGTTGGTTGAAGTTTATGGGTCAGATTAAACGTACATGTATCTTATATATCGTTATGTAACCTCTATAAGCGCGTCTCATAACGTGGCTTTTAACATCTAGCCGTTGATCTTCTCAGGTACCCGCATCTCTGGAGTCTCTGACGCTTATCAACCCAGCAACATCCGCCTCACATCTTAGCACGAAATTACATGTTTGACTTAGCGATCTAATTACGTGAAAAGCCATTCTGCACACATTCGTATTAGGCGTTGAACATTGACCACGTTGTCCGCAGGAGTCCGGTAAACACTATTAATATTAGGATCCTACCGAATTGCCTCTGCTAGTTCTAATAGTGTCGTTATGAGCGCACTATAACGTTGCTCATATGATACCCCAGGGCATTTTAGCTATGGGATACTGCTCGAGTCCTACGAATTGCACCAGACATTTCTTAGCGCTTAGAAATAGATAGTCTTTGACTCTTGAGCAGAGTTTTCGCTGCGATTGGAGTCACACAAAGCTAAGCGGAAGATCGGCACTGCAAAGATTGACTATAACGAGTTTCACCTCTTTATCTTGTTCGACGTCTTACAAATGACTCTTCCAATCGCTTTTAGCGATGACTCGCTTTTGATAAGCCCATGAAACAAATTAAATGGGCAGAAAGCTTCGCCATAGGCTGTCTAGCACAGTTGCGGGACACTGGGTGACTCATTGTCCGAGGACCGAGGAGGAATGAGCGCAGATTGCCCCGCCTTCAGCCGTAATTTGAGGCTGTCAATTCCAGCCACAAACTCCTTGGTTACAGGTAGTTATCGCCACTGAAAGCCAGGCTAGCGGAGATCACATGGAGATTGGCTTGCTTAGCTTCTCAGGAACCGCTGCCGTCCAAGAGATTAGCGTCGGGGAGGCTTCTCGTGGTCAAATATAAATCTCAATCATTCTTCAGATTCACATTTACGTCTGCACAACAATCTTCTCTAAGACCCTCATCGACGCATAGACCATTGCATTTAGACGCCTCTTTTCCCTGCTTACTGTTGCTAGCCTTTTTTTTCCAAGCCATCATGGACTCATTCACCACATATCCCGTACCAAACGGCGTCGATGCTATTCCTCATGATGAGCTGGATCTCCGATCTGATGCGGAAGTGGATCATGAGCTTCTTAATCCCAAGCCCATAACAGACGAGAAAAACCTGTGGTTCTTTTGGAATAGCGGATTCCAGAAAATGCACGGCTACCATCAGCGTACTGTTCGAAACTGGCACAGGAGATTCTCCAAAAAGGGCTGGGTTGTACGTCTCTTGGATGTTGAACCGGGCTCGTCTTTGAACGTGGCAAATTATCTCGACGTACAAGATCCAGAAGTATTTCCAAAGGCCTTCACAGAGGGCACCATCGGCGGCCGTCATGTGAACCAGCACATTTCAGATCTTGTGAGATTTCCTCTACTGCTAAGATACGGCGGCGTCTACGCAGACGTCGGTTTGATTCAGATTGGAGATCTCGACAGCGTATGGAACGAAACTATCGGAAATCCAAGCTCTCCATTTGAGATTTTTACATATAATACGGGTAGCGCCCCAGATCGCAGCATGACAAACTACTTCCTGGCTTCGAAACGAAACAATCCCTTCTTTCTCAGGTGCCATAAGCTGTTGCTGACACTATGGGCGGGAAAGACAAGTACTGAGGGAATGCATACAAGCCCTCTATTAAAAGGACTCCCCCTTATGGACACCGGACTTTCGATGGAGGAGGATGGCATCACCTATGGACGTGAAGAAACTGCAAAGATGTTGACGGACTATATCATCCAGGGGCATGTCGTCACCATGGTCATGGGTCTCATCGATGTGGAAGATGGCTGGGATGGTCCCAAGTACGTAGCAAACCACGTTTACGCATACGATTACATGATAGGATCCCAGCATATCAACGAACTTACCGCATGGAACGGCCCAAAGCAATTCGAACTCATGTCGCTACAGATACCGAAGGGCGATGAAACAGAAAGCGACGATCAAAAACTTGCGCGCAAGATTGTCGAGGATTGCTTGACTAAATCTTTTGGCATGAAATTGGCAACAGGCATGATCATTAGAGTCATGGGAGACACGTTGAGCTCTCTTTGGAGGAAACACGATGGTAGCGACAACGTTCCTGGCACATACGCCCACTGGTTGAGATATGGTACTCTGTACTGGCGTCCCAAGAACCACCCCCCAAAAACGGCCTTTGAAGAGATGCCAGCATTCAAGATTGGACCCCTGCTACGAGAAGGAGAGGTTGGCCCTGGGGCTTGTGCGGCAACGAGTGGAAGTCGCGTCCCAAATTAAACATCTTGGAGTTGCAAATGGATGACTGGTCAATGACCTGTTTTTGCGTCTTAAAGCGTGCAATTCGTTTCACCTAGATAGCCCACTCGGACAAGTTATTTCCGATGAATCACATGTATGCAATGGAGCAGAGAGTTTAGTGCAACAATATTTATCTTCATGCAGTTCAGCATCACTAGAAAGTCGATACAAATAGTTGCGTTCAAGAATACAACTATATCGTTATCAAATAGGATTTATGCAACACTATACGCCTCATCACAAAATGTTGGCAATAGCATTGTATGCAGCTTTAGGGTTGAAGTTACTGTCGTATAGAAGGGGGTTGCTGCCACTACGCCACGAGTCCTGTTATGCAGTGTCAGATCCATACTCCTAAACGTGATGAACAATGGGGGTTTCTTTACCTTATCACTAACACCCCATACAGTGATACCAATGCATTTAGAGACACTTAAGCATGCTTGAACCACGGCTGTATAATCATTCGATGGCGCTCCCGCGATATCGAGCTCAGTGATGGCCAGCTCGGTAACAGGTGCAGTAGCCAGCTGCTGAAGAGCACCCAGTATAGCCGAGCCTCCTCCAGAGCCAATGTGAGTTTGGGTGCCTATATTATGCCAAGTTAGCATTACACATGATAACATGATATGGAGGGTATGAGGGCCGTAAGGGATAGTGGACATACCGATGCCGTCAATTGGGACGCCTTGAGAGATCCATTTATCAACATAATACCTCATCAAATTGACTTTACTATATCCAGACTGATCAAGATTATAGTCATTAATGTAGAGGCGGGCGGACGGATCAGCAGCTCGAGCAGCATTGAATGCAATGGACACAAACTCTTCGCCCAATAATCTGGAAAAGACAGAAGAGCGAAGTGTTCCATCTTCGTTGAAAATCTCATTTACCACATCCTGTTAAGCACATTGGTCAGAATCGCTCAACATAACGATGTCATGTGTTCATTAATATACGTGGCCGGGAATACGCCCAACTCACCCATGCGCGGATTTTCCCCTTATATCGCCCAACAACAGTTGAAACATGCGTGCGAATGACTTGGCGCAAAGTGTCTGCATTGTTGATGTTGTTGACCCAGTTTGGGAGCTGGGAATGCCAAATAAGAGTATGTCCACGTATGACCTTGCCGTTTTGCTGCGCAAAGTTGACGAGATAATCTGCGTCTCCCCAATTGTATTGACCTTGATTTGACTCAAGCGACTGCCATTTCATGCTATTTTCTGGCGTCACTTGACCAAGATTGGCTTGGATAATGGCCGCATTTCGGTCCCGTTGGAGTAGGCCACGATCAGTGGCAGTTCCGAAATAGATTTTGCCTCGATTTTTGAAACGCTGGTCAATGCTGACAGAAGCTTGTCGATCTTCTAGGTCGGCAGTTCGCTCAGTGATGTTGGCACGACGTGCGGCCAGCTCTGGCTCTAGCTGAACAAATTCGGCTGGTAAAGAAGCCACAAGAGGTGCCAAAAGGCAAAAGACAAGACTTGTTCTCATTGTAACCGATTGAATCAAACCTCTCTGGTGGAACTGGAATGATGATGAGTGAAACAGGTATAGCTGTGCATTTGCTGCTCAAAGATGAAGCTTGGAGGGACACTCGATAGCTATTGTGCAATGAAAGCGGAACAGAGAGCAATTTATAACCTGGAGCTGAGAAATTGCTATTCAACTCTCAGCATAATTGAGAATGAAGCAAATAGCCGCCCTGGATAAATCCAAGGATGCTGCTACACATTTACGTTGGAGGCATTAATCAAGAACCTTTACCCCCCAATAACATCAGTCGACTTACTGCGCCAAGACAAGATTGTGTTGTATCCAAAGCTTCCCTCTGGGATTCTAGACTTTCGCATTTAAGCTTGTTTTTAAACAATGTCGGAGGGGGGGCTTTTGCCGCAATATTAGCCATATTAGATAGAAGTGGGAGATCTAATTAACCGCCCTGCCAAGAATATATTTAGACCACGTGCCTCAATCAACATTGTAAACATGTTCAATTGTGATGGCAACAGGCTCGGCATTTGTAATGCATAGCGAGATATGAGCCACCGGAGATTTATTAACCATAAATGCTTCTGATTACCCGGACAAATATGGCTAAATGGATCTCATGATACGGGAGCAGCGATATGAGCTACATGTTCTCCTATCTTATGGATAGATTAAGGCGGCAGTTAAGTATAAAAGACTAGAATTTTCTCTTTTGGTGCTGTTAATGCCGCTTTTTTAATAGTGATTTGCATGTAATTGTTAACGTGCTGGGCCTCTACTAGTGCTTCTTAGTCCGTGGTAAATCATGTATGGAAATACCTTGACAATCCTTTTCTCTGCGCTAAAATTAACGGACAAATAAATCGAATTACGTTCGATGAGTTAGGTTTTCCTGTAGCTAAGCTTGCTATCTCTGTTTGAGATAGCCGCTAGGCGAATCTTCATTGCCTAGTTTAGAGTCATTGACGTAACACAAAGACTTCACGGACTACTATTTCCTTATATACCATCATAAAAAAGGGGCACCAAGAGTTCTTATTCCAACATCAAGGCCCAGTTTTACCTCGATTTCCGAGGTAGACATGAGCTTTTGGCTATCCTCGGTGCGGCGCGGGCGTTAGATTGAGCGAAGATGCCAGGATCCATGGCATTCAAATTGTCGCGTAATTCGCACTCTATCCTTATGAGTACAATGTTTCCATGTTTAAACTCAGAAGTGCGGATGAGCCGTGTTTGAGAGCCATATCTAAGTTGCTTGGAGGTCAGGTCATCTACCGCTGAGTTGAACTATAAGGTTTGATTGATCAATGATGTGCACAGTAGTGTACACTTTGTATGCTAAGTGCAATCACCTCTCCAAAGACATATACTCGGCTGTATGTATCTATAAATAGCAATAACAAGGCTGCGTAGCCATATACGTAGCCAGTGCCATGTCACCTCGCAAACTGTTTTCCAGTGTTAGCAATTAGCTAACCAAATATATAATTAGACGAGGGAATCAAGGAGACCCACAGTCAAGTTTGATAGTTGCAGTATGCCTAGTAGAATCCGCCAAGGCTGTGCTGAATCCTTCTGGAGTGATAGTATTTTACAAAGACCAGGCTTTTTGAATCCGTCAATCTCAGCCACTTCGACAGCGTCAGTAGCATTAGCTGTCCCCTGAGGCTTGGTGCCGAGTTCCAGCTTAGCGCTTATTGCTGTCCCCCATTATCGCTAAATGTTGACGCGTCGTACCTAGGGAATTCACCTAGCATTATGTATCGAAAACCGTCCTATTCTTTACAATTGAAGTATAAATTATTAAATCTATCTCTATAAGATAGTATCACCATTCTGAAATTTGCAAAAAAATATATTCGGTCTCACTCATCTTGGGTTTCTCTTTCGACACTTTGCACAACTCAATTAATTGCCCCTTTACGTCCGGCCATGAAATGCGGCGTTGTATCCGCGACGGCAGTAGTTGTCTTTCCCCTACTTTCGTCTGTCATAGCAAGCTCATGTCCGCCTCTTGGAGCTGTACTTCCACCGCCACAGGCTCCTAGCCAGAATGAAGCAGTCAAACTAGCCAATCAGAAACTCAAGTCAATCATCGATTCAAACTTCAGCTCAAAGCTTAACTCAAGCGGTATCTCCATTATGGTCAAATCTATACATGAAGACGGACCGCTGTTTAGCTATCATTATACACCCCCGGTTCTCTCAGATATCGGAACTGCATCCATCAATGACGATACGATCTTCCGGGTGGGAAGCTTGTCAAAAATATTTCCTGCATTAGCAGCTTTGCAGTCCAAGTCTATTCATTTGGATGATTCAGTGCTTGAATACATTCCTCAGCTCAAGGAAGCCGCTGCTTCTACTTCTGCGGAAACTATTTCATGGGAAGATATAACTGTCGATTCATTGATGACTCACCTCTCTGGCCTCGCCACTGATAGTAAGAACTCTTTGCACTTCTTGTTTCTTTCATCGTGATATCTAGGAGAAGGCTAATCTTAACTTAGCGGCTTTTGACTTGGGAATCTTTCCTACTCCACTGTGGCAGACAATTGGGCTACCAGCTATTCCACAAGGCACCGGCCCAAATTGCTCAGGGCTTCCCGGCACACCACCGTGCACTCAGGATGATCTTGTCAAAGATTTACAAAAAAGAGAACCAATCTATTTACCATACACTAGCCCTTCGTATTCTAACGTTGGCTTTGCCCTCCTCGGAATGATAATTGATGCTGCCACTAATAAGAGCTATATCGACAACATCCAAGACAATGTATTTGACATTGTTAATATGAACAGCTCTTCATTCAACGGATTTGTAGAATCATTTTCGGAAAATGGTTTCGTTCCTGTTGGAGAAACCACATGGAATGTTACTTTAGGTGTTTTGAAAGGTACGTAAAGTTCTCTCTTCAGTGTCTCCACTCATAATATGATAGACAGCTGTGTTAACGCATTTCCAGTGCCGGTGGCATGTTTTCGAGCACTTCGGATCTAATCGCTTTTGCTGAGGGCATTCTTAACAACCGCTTTCTTAGCCCACGGCGCACTCGAGAATGGATGAAACCACGAAGCCATACTTCTTCGTGGGGATATTCCGTTGGCGCACCGTGGGAGATTCTTCGGAGCGATCACTTTACAGCCGATGGCCGCATTGTCGACTTATATACCAAGAGTGGCGACTTGGGCCTTTATCATGGTGTTTTTGGGCTGGTTCCTGATTTTGATGTCTCGGTTGTATTACTTGTTGCTGGTGCTGAAGTCAACGAGAACATGCCATCCGAAATCTTCAGCGCCATTGTTGAAGAGCTTATTCCTGCAGTTGACAAGGCAGGGCGGGCTGAAGCTGCCTCACTGGAGGTGCTGAATGGCACATACACTGATCATTCTACGAACTCCACCATGGTGCTGACTATCGACGCGGATAATAATTTGGCGATGGAGAAATTTATCGTGCAGGGGTTCGATGTGCTCCATCATCCCGATTTGTACAGCCTTGACGGTCTCTCGGCAAACCCGGAGTCCCTCACCAAAGCTTCCTATGTCAACGCTCGATTGTATCCAACAAATCTCGTGGCTCAAAGTCCCAATGGCAACACTCAAAGATCGTGGCGCGCTATTTATGATACTGCCACTGCTGCGGAAAACTTGGCAGAGGACGCAAAATTGGTATGGAAAAATGGCAGTTGCCAGTCCTGGCTTGAATTGGATCGAGCCGCATATGACTTTAAAAGCACAGGAGATTTCATATTCAGTTATGGAAAAGGAGGCAAGTTGACTGAGATTTCGGCCGCCGCTTTTAATGTAACGTTGACAAGAGCTGCCTGAGAGATGAGTATAGGCCATATGCCACTGATAGTATCATTGTATTGTTCATTTCAAGATTCATAAAGAAGCCCTATTTAGAACTTAGAATATTCTTAATTGAGAAAGCCATTGTATGGACGAGCGCTAATTTCAGACTTGCCCTTTTTCTAGTTGGGAGAAAAAGAGCAAATGCCACTGGCCATCAATGCCACGTTGTGAAAATAGGCAAACGAAATGTAGTCTTGCCAAAGAGGGCCAGTTTGAAGAGTCTAGGCCACTATGATAAATAGAGACCGTTGTAGGCAATAAGAGTAGGCCATCCTGAAGCTATCTACTAAGTGAAGGGCGATTCATCTGTATGCGAACCGGATTGTTAGAGAGATAACCTGCGTAAAGCCGAGACTGCACTTAAAAACTCACACAGGCTGGTGAAGCAAGGGCCTACCCTACCTTTATAAAATGTTGGCGTTGTCGTGTGCATACTGAACCCATGAACGTTGATGGCTGGTTTTCCCAGGGCTACGTCCCATTACAGGCCGCTTATTGTGGTGCCCCTGACTAGCTTATCAGAATTTTGAGATAGGTGACTATGTTGAAAACAGCCGCGGTAAGCTTACCCAATAATTGCTTAGCCAGGCACATTTCACGGATCCTCTGCTAGTACATGATAGCTACCTTCCACAAAGGATACTGCAGTCGCTGTCATCAAACTAACGAATACGTTTAGACTTTGAAACGGAATTTAAGAAGATTGAAGAATGGAATGAGGATCATACGATTTTGGAAAGCGAAACGAGTTTGATACGATAATTAAGTGGCGCATACATGAGAGCTTTTAGCTCACTTAAGTTTGCGAAGATAGGCACGCTGCTTTCGAATCAACCGTACCACAATTGCGTTAAAATTACTAATTCAGGAGCGTAAATTTGTTTTACAGTACCTCTCTCCTTTCTTTCCAATATTTGTTCGCCCCTGGTTCATCTCGCCTGATCTTATATCGAGTAACTGGCTTCTAGATATGCGTTGTAGTGGACACAGCCGTACGCATGTTCCATGACTCTGGCCAGATAGAGCTCCAAAATGATGGGGAAGCTATTGCCATATTCTCATACATTGCTATAAGTACCTCAGGTAAGCTTATATGCATCGATTTTATATAGCAAGTAGCCATATTCCATTATCAGCCCTGGCATAATACTTGAATGAGCGTTATTACAATCGTTATTGCTTGTATGTGAACTGAACACCAGCATCTGTTACAGCCTCTCAGCGCAAATAAAAGCGTTCTTTTGCAAGAAATCTTCACTGCTATAGTTCAACTTGGCGAAACGTCAAGGATTGACCAAAGCTATTCTGATTGCGGGTATTTCCGTGGCCCTTGCCAATGTTGTGTTTAGGTGGCAAAGATCTCACGACCCTGTTTAAATCAGATGTTTATTTTGTACTTTATATCGTTGATCACTTCTACACTAGGAATAACAGGCCGCTTTATTTACAGGGACTACGCAATTAGCTGATCATAGATCAAGCAAAGTACTCAAGAATTGCAGATACGGGCTCCTCTTATTATGCGGCCCTTTTTCTGAATGACGAACCAATCTACTCAATATGGCTAGCTTCTATTGATTGAAAAATGTCGACTCAATCTGACATGCAGGCTTTCTAAATGTAATATTTCGAATTAGGGACTTTTAATAGTTTAAGGAAAGTAGTAATGCCTTCTAAACCTTTATATAAAGATCATCATATTCCAATGGCAGATACCACTTCGTATACTCATTGCCACTACTCTCTAAAGCACTCAAGCAAATCTTGACCAATCAATTCTGCTGTCGAAAGATTTAAAATGAGATTCCTTACTTTCAATGCTCTCGCCCTTGCTAGCTCTGTAGCTGCTTGGAATGGCCAGATTAGTTACGGCTCTATTGACGGAGCAGCCGACGTGGTTTCTTTAACCGATTATTCTACAGGATCCAGTTACACTGGTTATATCACTGGCATTGGAAGCTCAGCACAAGAGGTCTAGTAAGTTTAAATACAATTTAGAGTTAGAAGGCTGCTAATTGGACAATAGCTTTTATGAAGACTATGATGCTGGGTATAACTGGTCGGCCGCGGTTTGGCGAACTACTGATGGATGTATCAATATAGACTTCCAGGGCGCTTTTGGCGGTGCTGGCCATGGTTATTGCTGTGGAAATCCTTGTGATCTTAGTGCTTAAGTATTTAGCTGATACTTAAGCTAATCTATTTCGCTGTAATAGGCTTAGAATTTTGTCAACACTTTCCAGAAAGTCTTGCTGATTGGCCAACATTCTTTTTTAGCATAAGAGAAAACATAGTGGACCCCATACCTATAAGTATTTTACATGCTGCGCTGAAGTTCGGAAGTTCCGAAATGTTCAAAGCATACACGGAAGTTCCGAAACGTTCAAAACTGGTATGCTTTGAACAGTGTTGAAAAGAATAATAGTATTTTCTTGTGCTCTTTGTCATGTCGAGTTTCTATTCTTGTCTATGGAAAAGAGAAAAGTTTCTCATAAATTTATTGGCGCCATCTCAAGCAAGTAATTATAACATACCTAGATAAAAGTTCAAGGTCATACCGTATTGTTTATTAAACATACCTAGCCAACTCGATTAGTACGATTGTAATAGTGTACGACACAGTCTAAAAGCTGCAGTGGAGGTAGCCCAAGTGCGGTGCCACTTGAAAAGTCCAAGGGATATTTCACGGCACGAGTTTCCACGCACTGTGCTCCGAGGAGAAACATTTGTCTCAGATCAGCGGCGGTCGGACTTGGATCATTTGAGTTGCTAATCCGCTGGCAGTTGAGCAACAAGTTTTCAACTTCTTTTCGGCTTTAGGACAATTCTATAAAGACCGAGCCTCGTCATGAGTTGTGCTACTAGAGACTTGAAATATAAAGAGCAAACAAACGGCACATAAACAAGAGGCCAAGTACAACGGCAGCGAACATACAAGTCTTCCTCGCATCTACGTATTGGATTCTTCAAGTCTTCAATTTTCCTAGCTACGCATCATTGAGCAGAGCATTGCTGCTTCTACATCCACCTCTCCTCAGCGAATTCAATTTACTCTCTTGAAAATGTTTGCAATTGTTGGGGCTACCGGCAAAGTCGGTTTTGCAACGTCACGGGCACTGCGAGAGGCGGGCAAGCCGGTTCGAGCAATTCTACGCGATGCATCAAAAGGAGACAAGCTACGTGAGATCGGCTGTGAGATCTCTGTAGCCGACTTACAGGATCCCAAAGCCCTCGCACAGGCAATAGGCAATGCACATACAGTTCAAGTCATCGTTCCACCGGCTCCACAGCTAAAGGACACCGCTGAACAGATGAGACAAGCTATTGAAAGCATTGCTACTGCGCTTGAAGAAACGCGACCACAGCGCGTGCTCGCAATCTCTGACTATGGCGCTCATGTCACCGATGACATTGGGATGCCGACAATGTGCCGTGACTTTGAGTTGCGACTCACCAAAGTCCCCTGCAAGAAAGTATTTCTACGATCATCTGAGCACATAGAAGCGGGATGGGGGCGAGCTATCCCAGTAGCCAAAGAGTCTGGTATCCTACCAAGCTTTCTCGATCCGACGGATACGCTGTTCCCTAGGATCTCGGCGTCGGACCTTGGTCTGATTGCTGCGGATGTCTTGCTGCGGCCCGCTGCCACGGAAGATGTTGAGATTATCCACGCTGAAGGTCCACGCCGATATAGCGCCAATGACGCGGCCGCAGCGCTGAGCGAGCTACTGGGGAAGGCAATTCAGGTGCAGGTTGTTCCTCGCTCTGAGTGGAAGGATGTTATGGAGCGAGTAATGAGCCCAACTCTTGCTGAGCTGCTGATCAAGGCCAATGATGCCCAAAATAAAGGCGGTATGGTCGACGTGGAGTCTAAACAAAGCAAAGTTGTCTACGGCAAGACGGAATTAATCGATGCGCTGCGACCCCTAGTTTAATTTTACCTCTTGAGATAGAGCCAATATAGACACGAGTTACAGAAGGAAGAGGGTTGACATGGTTTGTATTATACAGGTACATACAAGTTAAACATTGTCAATATATCCTATCCTAGCTTAAAGTACCCTGGCTGCAACTTCTGCCACACTCGCTGTGGGTCGTATTTAGTACTTATTGATCTTAGTTTTGCGAGGTTATCTGCTCCATATCCAGCAAAGACATCTTGCTGGTAAGAAGCGTAGTTTTGGTAAAGGTATGGATGATCGAGGGCTTTGGTACGTGCAACAGCGACAGAGCGGTCGACAATGTTTTGCGCAGCCGCGAGGACTCTCTCATCATCCGACGCATCGGACCAAGATATGTCAACATTGATCACTATTGCCAAAGTTAGTAAAGGGAGAATGTAGAAAATGTAGAAAAGAAAACGTCACGCACGGTTCAGAGGGCCTTGGCCAGCAAGCCCAAGTGCATTGCCGCCGTTCTTAGAAAAGTGATCAGTCATATCAGTAGTGATGAGCTGAAAGATAATGGAAGGTCCAATCCCTGTGACATTTTTGATAGGCTCGATTTCGTCCATGTAGATAGCGACCATGTCAGCCATCAAAGCGGCATTGTTCTGAACTGTAAAGGTCCAGTACGTTTGTCTGTATGAACCAGGTCAGTTTCAGCGAGCAAGCCGTCTCTAGACAGCGAAAACATACCGGAAACCCCCTGGGTTGGAGTTATTGAACTCCACCGTTAGATTTGAGAGGTCTGTGATGCGCAGTGTGCTTGCGATAGCACCAGGAACTGCGGTGAAATTTTGCAAAATTGGAGGATTGACGACTGGTTTGGCATATTGTAGATCGGAAGCGATGACGAAGAGATCTTCCGACTGCGCATAAGCGTATGCAATGATAACTTGAGCATACGGATCCGAGGGAGCGTTGATGCCAAGATAATAGAAGGCGTCGTTGATAGCAGCCGCCGTCTCATTTGTGTACAGAAAAGTATCTGAGCCCGCCCAGAGATCGCCTTGGGGGTAGGCCGCGAGATCGAATCTTGTTACGATGCCAAAGTTGTTGCCTCCTCCGCGAAGCGCCCAGTACAAATCAGAATATGGGGACGAGTAGCTGACTTGGCGGATTGAGCCATCTGCAAGCACGACCTATTCATGAAGTGTCAGTATTCCAATTCTGTTCAAACACATAAGAGAGTAGGAGGCACCTCATAAGAATTGACATTGTCACATGCCCATCCATGCTGGCTAGAGAAGAACGACATTCCACCTCCCAAAGTCAGACCTCCCACGCCAATGGCAGATACCCTCCCGCCAATCACAGTTACGTTGTGGGGCTGCAGATAATTGTAAACATCATACCAGACGTTTCCTGGGCCAATGGAGGCCTGCGCCTTATCAGACGAGAGCGTGATTTGATTCAAATTGATAAGATCGATTGTCACGCCATTGTCAATATTCGAGGCGCCGGCAAAAGCAGCATGGCCACCACTTTTAACGGCAAACTTGCACTGTGTAGCACGGAAGGTTAAAACGGCCAAGGATACTTCTTCTGGCGATGCGGGAGAGAATCGACAAGTCGGTCTAGTCAGAGCTTGTTGCTGCGCCCAGTATCGCGATTCCTCGAATTCATACGTTGAGCTGTTGGGATATGAGAGCTGCGACGGTAAAGAGAAGGCTAGGAAGCCGCACTAAGATCTGTGTTAACATGATCAAGATTTGCATTTTGGGCTAGGGAAGCTTACTGCTAGCTGGCAACCCGATGGGGGATTGGATGCTGCAGCGTAGGCGGTATTATGGGCTTGGTATGCGGATATCAGGGCCTCAACCTCCTTCAAGGTGTAAGCATTAACAGTTCCCGACTGCAGGAGCAGCGGAAAGACGAGATTGAAGAGGCGCATCCCACAAGACCGGGCGAGGCAGTCTTGAAAAGTTGAAAGTTGGATGTAGAAAGACGGTTGCAAATTGAGAAGAGGGTTGTTCACTCACAATAGTTTCGGTTGACAAGCGGCCACCACTTGTGGTACAGACGTCGTTAGGTGTTGGCCGGTGATACAATTGCTCCTTGCCTTGCATAAGTCTACGGAGCAGTGCCTGAAGACGGTCGAAGCTACAGGGACATTTGGTCTGTTATAGAGCCCTTGCATTGAAACCTGCCTTAGTGCATGGATATCCCAGCTGCGTGCCCGTTGAATCGGGCAGTAATCGCCGTGCTACGGCTCCATCGCCTATCTCACAGCAAGTTCTCGAGATCCTCGGCTGAATTAGTTAGGATTTCGCGCTACTATCGACTTAATCGGTGCAAAATCTGATCAAACAGCGCATCTTGTTCTGTGCCGTGCATCTATACATAGTGCAATTGGTCCGAGGTTCCGAGGTCTAGAGAATAGCTGCGGTCGAAGGATCACATACCTTGCTCTTATGAATTCATCGCGCGCTTTTCGAGGGCTCCATTCAGCGATGACATTGGCACTTTTGCAAAGTCAATGCGCGAAGCCTCAACGATCTTCAAAGATGCCTTCCAAGTCGCAAACACACCTTTATTCCGTCTCCCTGCGATCACTGAGCTTGAAAGCAGATCAATTGGCAAAAGGAATAATAATGCTCCTTCCGATTCAAGTTGCATAAGATAACCTTTGCGTGCTGTTCCCCTTCATCGCCAGTTGTTTGCATGACTTCAATGCTAGCTAAAATTCTAAATTCCTTTCAAAGTGACCACCATCATCCATGACGCACCTTGTACCTTTGCCTCAGAGTGCGCCATGGCTTCTCGTAGACAGGCTGGTCCTCCTTGGCAAATGTCAATGAAGTAGCTCCTCCGACGATATCTCATCCATTGGCTGCTGAATTCCTTCAAAGGAAGCTTCGGTAGGGCAGCGCGCAAATCCCGTAAGCTAGCAGAAAAGTTCACCATCCTATAGCGATAGCCGTGAGATATCTCCTCTTTGCTGCAGTCTTGATTCGTAACTATGTAGCCATGGATCAATTTACTCCCAAAACAACTAGCGACGGCAACTTGAGCGGCGAGCTGGGCTTCGGTAAATTAACGGCCGGATTGTCAGCTTATTGTTACGGAGGTAGGAGCGGAATATGAGCCGAGGGTAGTTTGCCATGATAGTCTAGCGCATTTACCAATTTGCCAAGTCAGTCAAAAGATCGTTTTCCCTTTTCTTTTCCTTTTTTCCATTTTTTTTATTCTCTTATTTTTATTCTCTTATGTTTCTATATAAACGCAACTGCTCAGATCTTCCCCTGTATTGATGGCCATGATAGTAATGAGTCACATGCAGCCACTTCCATTATAGAACTTGCCTACAGCTTACGAAGAAGTAAAGAAACTTTCGACACAGAATTCCATCAACTACGTCTATGATAAATCATTATTATAACACGAAAAACATTTTTGCAGCCTGTCTGCTTGTACGTGCGGCCGTTCGCCAGACCTTGAACACTTACCCTGGAAACGCCTCGTTTATCTCAGCAGATTTGACCCAACCAATTTTATATCTCTAAATACGCGTTATCACTGCAGAGGCAGTCATCTCGTCTGTTTCTGACGACGATCCTGTAATGATCGCGTGTAGCACAACAGTCATCGAGCTATATTGTGTTCCTCACAGCTCGAGCGCTGTATATTCTTGTTAGGTACTTGACGTAGCGATTACCAGGCGCAAATTTGTTTCTCTTTTGTTCTTTTTGATCCTTCTAACATGTTTAGACTATATTCAACATGCCGGAAAATGATTCGATTTTGAGAAGGGACTCTTGGTGAAAGAAAAAAAGCTGATTATTGTGCCAACCAACCACGTAGCATTTAAACGTATCCCTTCATCAATCTCTTCTACTCACGACGCAAATAAATTCTTTCTTTGCGTCACTTGTTCCAGGAAGCTTAACTGAAATTCCCCCAAAAGCTGTCATTTTGACGGTGCTAATTTAGTTCTTCATTATGCAATGATCTTTATGGAGCCCGGAAACAAAAGACGGTAAAAGCTATGTTTAAATTGTATCCTAGTTGCATGATCTTTATGGAACATCACTTGCAAGATACTCATCGGCAAAGTCAATAGACGAGTCTTTGCCGCTGCTAATGAGCTTCTAGTGCAGATAGACGAGCGATCTACAGGCCGGAAGAGGTGCGCCGGTGCGCCGGTGCGACAGAAAGCGCATTTACACTACCCAGGTTATTGGGGCTTCAATTCAGGACTAAATGGACAAAAAAAGGTGAGCACTCTGAATATATCTTGGCGAGGAATCATGAATGGGATTACTTATGGGCTGGATAGACCACTATTATGACAATGATGCCGATGTAACACAGGCTGTTAATGCGTTAGCACACCGCTTCGCGTTGTTTACGGGTACCGGATATACGAAGACTGAATTAACGTAATTAACCTTAGCACAGCTGCTCTAGATTAAGACATGCGCAATACTGAGGCCCTGAGTTCACAAGCTGAAAATACAGTTCTGGAAGTTTGACGCTTCGTCGAAGAACCAATCTAGGCGCTGCTTTGAGCTGGGACTGGATGGTGCGCTAGTCAAGATTTTGTATTGTTAATCTAGATTTACACCCAATTAGACTGCAGTTTTGAAGATCACTGCTCCCAAATAAACGTGCTCTCCTTCCATCAACACGTTGCATTCATCTGAGCTGAGCTGGCAGCTGGAGGACACATGAATCGACCCTCCCCCACACCCCACCCCCACTGTCTCTCATGAGCCCATATTTACTCCGCATATGCGGAGTATTGTTGTTTGCCTTGCAATTTGCTATCACGAGCATGTGAAGGAATTGGGGATACCATTATACAGGAAGAATCATTCGATCGGAGTGAAGAGGTGTAACGTTTTCTCTGGCATCAAGCCACGCCTTGTAGTAAACAGGGGAGTTGTGCGTGGCGTATTCGTGGCGTATTGCCATCACTTGACGCTGCTCTCGGCCAAACTGGCGGAGGAACAGACAGAGCTTGTGTAATGCACTTAGCTAAGATAGCTCCGAACTTTTAGTCTCGGTACATCGGAGCATGACGAAAACCACATGTCAATTCCAACTTTATTTCTGGATCTTGAGTTAATTTCTTGGTTCGTTAGGCAGCTACAACTACCCCAGAGTACAACAAAGCATTCGCCATAGGCCCTGAGGTATTAGCGTTGGGGTAGTCGAGTTTCTCCAGACTCGCAAAGAGTCTAGTTTCCCCGCACTTGACTTGGATCAGTTAGATTCTCCCCGAATCTATACGGAGAATATGGGGATATTTCTGTTGGCTAGAGCCAGTTATTGGCCGTTGCCCGAACAGGCAAGGATAGGGATCCTCAGCGAGAGAAGCGGTCCAATCTGAGACGGCGAGGCAGTGGCCCTCAGCGAGGCAACGCTTGCCCTAGTAAGCAGAGGCGCGGACATTTATTGGCTGCTTCAGATGCGCACCTATCACATCCACGGACTCGTACAGGGGGACCTGTATATGGACCTTGGTACTAAGCAACATCGCGCATAACATCGAAAGATGAAGCGCGTATTATAAGAGACCATGAGTTGAATAAGGCCGAGGATCATGGATATCGAAATATATATAAACCCCATGCTTGTCCTTTTCCTCATGCTGTTTGAAAGCTGTTCTGTTTTCAAGGGGACATTGCATTGATTAGGAGAGACAGCGAGTACTCCGGACAAAATGTCGTCAGGCGAGAAACAGGATGATCTGCACCTTGATGCAGCCCATATCGATGTCCCGGAGGCAGAGGTCCTTGGAAACAAGGATCTGATAAGTGATGCCATCGATGGTGAAAACCAAGAGCATGATATGGGTGTCTGGGAGGCGGTAAAGACACATCCTTGGGCATGTCTATGGGCTTTCACCATGTGCTTTACTATTGTAAGTTTGTTCTTCATGCTCGATCCATTGTCTGCGTAACATGGCAACTGATATTCGCTAGGTCATGGAATCCTTCGACATGTTCCTAAACGGCAACTTTGTGGCACAAGCGGCCTTCCAAAAACACTTCGGCGTTTTCGTGGAGGGTTCCGGATGGACGATTCCAACCAAATGGCAGAGCGCTCTCTTCCAATCAGGTCAATGCGGTGCCTTCGTCGGTGTCTTCCTGGCCGGTCCTATCACCAACCGAATCGGATACCGCTGGACTACTATCTTGGGGCTGATTCTTATGAACGCCACGATTTTCATATCTTTCTTTGTAAGGGGAGTTGTTCGCTTGCTGATTTCGATGACTAATTGGAATCTCATAGGCCGACTCACTTGAACTCCTTGTTGTCGGACAAGCCTTGGAAGGTGTTCCTTGGGGATTCTTCATTGCGAACGCCCCTGCATACGCCAGCGAGATTGTCCCCCTCCCCCTGCGAGGCGCCTGCACAGCTACTCTCCAAATGGCGTGGTCCATCGGCTCAATCATCGTTGCGGCTGCGACACTTAGCTATAATAAACGTGATGACCAGTGGGCTTGGCGAGTGCCTCTTGCACTTCAGTGGATCTTCCCCGTGAGTCTCGAGTTTCAAATTCAGCGGTAGCAATTACTGACACAATTAGACTCCTCTTTTGGTTCTCATCTTCATTGCTCCCGAGTCTCCATGGTGGCTCATTCGCCGCGGCCGTAAGGAAGAGGCCCTCCGTTCTATTGAGCGCCTTGGTGGTAAATCCGGACGGAGTTCAGCAAATACACTTGCCATGATGGAGCGTACCGTTGAGATCGAGAAACAAATGGGCGGTGCTCCCTCGCTTCTTGATCTTTTCAAGGGTACTGACTTGCGACGAACTATTATTACCTGCTTAATCTACGCATCTCAGAACTTTGCCGGTAACTTGATTGCCAACCAGGCAACTTTCTTTTTCGAGCGTGAGTACACACATTCCAGCAAATATCTCCTAATCTAGATAGCTGACCCCGAATTAGAAGCTGGTATCGGATCCGATCGTGCTTTCCAGCTTAACCTGATCAACTCTTGTCTTCAATTTGTTGCCAACGCTTGTTCTTGGTTTTTAACTGCCTGGTTTGGCCGACGAACCATCTACCTTTGGGGAACCGCCACAAACATCACTCTGCTATTCATTCTTGGTATTTGCGCCTCCATTCCGCAGACCAACTCGACCAACTACGCCCAAGCCTGTCTCGGTATCATCATCTCTTTCGTCTTCGCCGGTAGCCTGGGACCAATCTCCTATACGATTATTGCTGAAACATCCTCGGTCCGACTTCGCGCTCTGAGCACTGGCGTCGGTCGTGCTGCATACTATGTTGCCGAAATTCCCATGATTTACCTGGCTTCACAGCTCTTGAACCCCACGGGGTGGAATCTTGCGGGCAAATGTGGTTACGTCTGGGGAGGCACTGCTGTCGTGTGCTGGTTCTCGGCCTACTTCTTCCTCCCTGAGCTGAAGCATCGTACCTACCGCGAAACTGACATTTTATTCAACCGTCGCCTTCCTGCTCGGAAGTTCAAGTCAACTGTCATCGACGTGATGGAGAACCATTGATACAAAAGAGTCAAATGGAAGGATTATACAGAGCGCATAGTTCGCAACATGATAATTATAGAGATACTTAACATTTGAACCCTTGATGGAATAGAAGTTAATTATAGTCCCTTTTTTGGAACATTAAGACAGTTACAGTTGAGCAGACTTCGAACTGGCAATGTTTCGAAACACTGTGTTTGCTGTGATGTAATTACTAGTTAGACTGACTGAGAAAGCAAGCCAAGCAGCCACTCTCTTTGCATTCTCACGGTCTGTGATAACCCAAGTCTCTGAAAAATCTATATGAAATGGAAATGGCTGTTGTCAGTAACTAAGGTATCAAATGGAGTGTGTCTAATGTACATATTAATATTACAAATTATGAATATTTTTCTCATGAAAAAAAGTTCACTTCTTCCGCATATCTATTACGCATTGCTAAGGCTTAGCCGGTCCTTTGCCTCCGCGACAGAATCCCCAAAAAGCATGTTGGAGTATTTGTTGTGAAACCCTTCAAGGAAACTAATCGCAATCGGCTTATTAACGGTTGGATTGCAGACAATGCTCTCCAACTGTATATGAAGCTGTGCAGGCTGTTTATGAGCATGAGGATTTTCCTCCACACGCTTGATGGAAAATCGATGGCAACCAGCGAATTGCCCCCGATTATTACCAAAAACAATGTCAACTATACTTTTATTATCTCCATCTTTAAAGCTCGATAGCTCAATATTGGCGACTTGGAAAGATCCCCATAAAATTGCTGTTTTTGCGGGAAGCTGATTACTGGATAGCTGTGAAGTATTCCAGATGAGCTGTGTCGTCGGTGCCAAGCCTATTCATTACCTTTATTAGCACTGCAAGTTATATTATTGGGTGTAACAAACTCACCTTCAAATTTAACGAATCGAAGTCCTAATAGTCGAAGTGCAATTCTTTCTGGCATGAAAACTGGACCTGAGAAAAAGCCTTTCACAAGCGCAGATAAGATAGCCTCGTCTGATGGTGCCTCTTGCTCTGAGTGCGTTGTCAAAACGATTGAGCAAGAGTCTCCTAAGGCAACATGGTTGTGAGGGTTGATTAGGGTGCGGACTATGTTTGAGTCGTTGAGTGAGTCAGTCACACCTATCTCTTGTCGAACATGTGTCTGGTATTCTCGGATAAATCGATTGTATATTCTAAAACTGTATGCGCCGCCAGCTATACCCGCAAACACAAGTGTCGCACTTAATGCAACAGTTTGTGGCTTGAGTGCTTTTGTGAGTCGTAGCACTGGCGCGAACATCTCGACAGCAAAAGAAGAAAAAGAAAAACAGAAAAAGGCTTTATAGTAAATTATAAGTTGCGAAGGCTGAAAGCTGAGTGTCAGGTACTTTGAAAGGCTGGCTGGTAGGAGGGAACAAGGAGTTTAAAGAGAGAAGGGTACAAGTTATCACTCTCCGAGATCTTCCGCCATTCTGTCACTTGTCGCCTAGCGATGAAGCAGCTGTACGGGCTGCGGAGAAACTCGGACATACTTTGCGCCAAAAGAAAGAGGAATAAAAGCTGTTGGTAGGTAAGCGAAAGGATTCTACTAAATCCTGCGTATAAAAAGCTTTACGATATAATTACAGCGGAGATTATTATGATTTTATGGGCGGTCGTGAGGTCCAGTTGTCTCTAGGTGAAGAAAAAAACCGCTAGCCAATTCTTCTGTTTTAGGATGCGCTTACTAAGCCTACCTGGCATTTTCCTGTATCGAAAGATTAGTTGTCAAGGAAAGAAAGAAAAAGAAAACAGAGATGTAAAAGGGACTCTGATGGTTGTTAAAAGCATTGAGAGTCTGTTCTTTTACTCTGATACACATGGTTATTCGATCCAGTGCTGTTATAGGTATGCCTTATAATGCTGGGGTGTAATTTAGCGCTGTATTATGAAGATGAGTCAATGAGGTTTATGAGGTTTCAGTTATAGCAACCAAGCGCACCTTGTGTACTAAAGGTGGGTTTCGGATCGTTGAGCAAGTTACTTTTCGCCTTACCTTCTCCTGCCTTCACAGATGTTTCTCATTCGTGCTCAGACTATATACCTTGACCTATCCAGATTCGTACACAGCACAATATGTTCAGGTATTTTGCGCCAACATCTGCCGAAAATATAGCTAGTGAATACAGCAGCTCTTCATCTTAGCTTAGTGCTAAAGTAACTGCAATTTTAACGGGACGATAACACCAGCCTACCGTATCGCCTTACAGAATGCGGCTATTTTATTTATCCGAGAGTGTTAAGCAAGCAGCGTCATCAGCTTGCTTTGTGACCAATAGCAACTACGACTTCCTTGAAGCATTCTCTCACAATATTTATTTCGAAAGTGATTGAATTTATGGCTCTTGGGCTACTCCAGCTGGCATTCCGGAGAAGGCATCATAGGCACTATAATAGGTATTAGAAGGCATTTGAGATCGGCTTTCGTCATCGTACTGAGTAAATCGGAACCTCGAATCTGAGAGTTATTGTATTCAAGAGAGCCTGGAGCCCTGTAGATCACCAGCTCTAGCGCTTTTAGATCAGGTAATGCTTGGCACGCTCTTTGGTACCTGCAGAATATGCATAATCCAATCTATAAAATCCCGTGCGGCTTAGCGTACTGGCATGCCATGTATTGATGGTCGGGATTTTTTCGAGAGCATTGCAACCTTGAGCTAGTCTGCCAGAGGAAGCTGCCAAATCAGCTGAATAGTGCTAAGACGCATTGGTGGAGTGAGAAAGATTCCAGAGAAAAAGATGTTCCGTATTATGTTTCGACGCATCGATTCCCCGATATAGTGCCCATGTAAGCATCAATATTGATTACTTATATCGGCGTCAGCTGTTCAATATGGTTATGAGAGATGACCCCATCACCTATGCATCCAGCATTGAGACACTCATCAAAGTATTTGTGTTGATTATGCCAGCGCGTGTATATTGCGCTCACTGTATACGCTGTCTGCGAGAGCCGTTAGCAAAAGTGAATAAGACGAGAGATTATGCTATTGTTTTAAAGTTATCTTTTCACGCTCCCGTGCGAATGTTCCCCCATTCGGAGTACACGATGCTGCTAGCTGGTGTTGCGACTTGGCATCATGTCCGGCTTCGTATTCCACCAATCGCGCAAAATCGCCCCCGATTATAGAAGTAATCAAGACAACAGGCTATTGGAGTGGGTCTACCAATAGACAGCTAGGTACATACATTGCAATAAGTAGCGGAAATAGTAATAGTAATACTGCCACCTGGCAGGCAGTAAGACCTATTGGCAGCAGCAACCTTTAATGCAGGAGTCTTGAATGGGACAAGACGTCTTTAAGGATCTTTACGTATGCTTTTCCCCCGACATTCCCGATCCGATTCCGTAATCCTTCCGACTCTGGCCTCGTTAATACATTGGCAATCAAGCGGTATGCATCTGTGATCCTGCTTTGACTTCTGCCTGGAGCAGGGGTATGGCAAAACTTGGCGTTGCAAATCCTATTCGTATTCAATGATCCATAGCGTGGCTCTATTAACCCTTTGTTTCTCATCTCATGAGACACATTTCTGGAAGGGAAATGTGTTAAAAACTCAGTTGGTCTAATTGATAAAGTCTCTACGATGGCTTGAAGCCCGATGAACTCAAAGATGTAGCTTTTGCAAAGCCACAGCCTTCCATCTTGACTCACATTCACTGCCCGCAAATTTACCTTCTGAGCCCAAAAGCGGAGCGAGCGCGCGCATCTTGGCAAATGCATATAAATCGTCCGGAGTGTTGGTTCGATCTTGCGAAGCTCTAACTGCTTTCGGACGTATTATTATGCCTGATATTACTACAAAAAAAAATTCCAAGACCTGTAGGATTGTATACGAATCGTACGACCGAATTGTTCTTCCTTTTATGGTCAGCCATGGCTGTTCCCGCATTAGCCACTTACCTGTGCCCTTGTTTCTAGGGAATACCTAGCCATGGCATTGTTTAATAGCCTACACGCTCAAATCTGATTGTTGGTTGAAGCTGTTTGACGTCTCTATTAGAAAAGACCTGACACTGGCTTAAAGCACGTAGCTGAAAGGCAACATGAATGCCGAGTAATACATTAAGTTTAGTCTACACCATCGAGAGTATCACGGGTTGCTTTTGGGCAGTCGCTGGCTCGTTCTAGGTCCTCGCAGTGTTCATTGAGTTGTATTGCTAAATTCTTATTGAATGAGACTGTTCAAAAATAGGTTAGCTAGCTGCGCTGGCATCAGTATACAAAAATCCTTTGCACGGCAGCAGGAACAATTTGTGGGGACCCGGAGATGTGATGCTATGGAAAGAGCTGCCGAGATTTGAACTGCCGGTCTAGGTGGGAACATGTGCAGTCGATTGCACGTGCTTAGCAGTAGTGAAAGTGTCTAGATATGGTAAGTATTGATGATATCAAGAATAACAGCGAGCTGAAAATTTTGGGCTTCAGAACTCCAAGATATGGAGATAATGTCATTGTTTCAAAACGGAAGAAACAAATGGCGGCAAATTGCAAGGAACAGCTCCTGCAATCATATAGCATACGAGTAATCAACTCTTAGATGAAACCCCTGCAAGGCTCCGCCGATCCCGCGTTTAATAACCAGCTCTTCGGCATCGGCTTTGAATCCTCATGTACTTGAAGGTAGTAGTTTTAGGCCCTTGGGTCAGGTTACAGCGGGCCTAACAGGCCGCCATTAATTTACTCCGTACACTAGGCCGCTACCAGCAGGATGACTGTGTCCCAGCAAACTCAGCCCGCAAATCTCCTTCGGACCGACCTAGTGGCATATTCCAGCTTCCTAAAACGATAGGGGGCTGCACGATATTCCCACAAACTCCTGCCCCTTTCGGCCGCCTATTCGCCAAGTTTACTATCCATAGGCATAGAAGCTATTCTGAGAAGATGGGAATCTCACCCTCGTCGGATGTCGGATATAGCAGCAGATATATAAGGGCAGGATGAAGCCCAGGAAGAAGAAAGAGACTTGATCACGCCAAGCGGCTTTCTCGCAGTCACATATTTGGCCCATTCACGATGAAGTCGATTGCAGGAGCTTTTCGCCGCGCTGGCCTGACCGCCTTCGCCGTCGCCGCAGCCTTGTCCTCCCTGGTCAACGCTGAGATCGAGGTCCGATCTCTCGAGGAGCGTGCTGCTTCTGGCAACCGCCTGGTCTTTGCCCATTTCATGGTTGGTCTATTGTAAAAAATACTATGTGGTATACGAGTAAACTAACGCTCTCCATAGATCGGCATCGTTGGACAGCGTACCAGCGCCAGCGACTATGATGCTGATATGCAGCGTGCCAAGGCCTATGGCATCGACGCCTTTGCCTTGAACATTGGCCTTGATGATTACACTGATACTCAGCTCGGCTTTGCTTATCAGTCTGCTGCCAACAATGGCATGAAGGTCTTCATCTCCTTCGACTTCAGCTACTGGCAGACCAGCAACGGCACCGGTGTAGGCCAGAAGATTGCTCAATACGCTGGCAAGTCCGCCCAGCTCCAGGTCAATGGCCGACCCTTTGCCTCGTCCTTCATTGGCGGCGGTGTCGATGTCAATGCTATCCGCTCCGGTGCCGGCTCCAACGTCTACTTTGTTCCCAACTTCAACCCAAGCAACGATGCTTCTGCTATTGACGGCGCTTTGAGCTGGGGAGTGAGTATTATCACCTTCATTGTTTCCCGCGTCTAAGTAGAAATGGTGCTAAATTTCCAATAGGCTTGGGACAGCAATGGCAACAACCGAGCTCCTTCCAACGGCGTCAACATCACTGTTGCTCAAAACGATGCTGCTTATGAGAGCTGGCTTAACGGAAAGACTTACCTCGCTCCTGTCGCTCCCTGGTTCAACACCCACTTCTCAAGCAAGAACTGGGTCTTCCCCTCTGGTGATCTCATCTTCACTCGCTGGAACGAGGTCCTTCAGGAGGGCTTCCCCATGGTCGAGATTGTCACCTGGAACGATTACGGCGAGTCTCACTACGTTGGACCTCTTAGCTCAGAGCATTCGGATGATGGCAGCAGTCATTGGGCGAACGATATGCCTCACGACGGCTGGCTGGATCTCTCCAAGCCTTTCATCGCCGCTTACAAGAACGGTGATACCAACGTTGCCAACTACATCACCCAGGATCAGGTCATCTACTGGTACCGCCGAAACCTGAACAGCCTCAACTGCGACTCTACCGATTCTCTGGGCCGTCCCGATGGTTACCAGACTTTGAGTGATACCGTCTACGTTGTTACCCTGCTCAAGTCTGCCGGTTCCATCACCA